GCGTCGGGTTTTGCTGCTGCTGGGTGAGGTGGAGAAGAAGATGGCGAGCCGACGACGGGGTAGGTGGATGCGTCGGCCGTGTAGACGTTGAAGGTCAGGCCTGGGTCGTTCGGGCCGCTGATGTGGCCGGGGATGGGGACGGTTTTGTCCGAGGGGATGGAGGAGTCCGAGGGGCCCTCGATGGCGAGCTGGGCGCAGCCGACGTAGAACTGGGCGTCGGTCTTGTCGTTGGTGACGTTTTGCAGGGTGATGATCTCGTGCCGCGCGAGGTAGGAGCCTGTGGGCAGGCCGGATGGTAGGTTGATGCTGAGCAGGCCGTTGTTGGCGATGAGCTTCTCCGTCGCCCACTTGCCCGCTTTGGTGTCGAAGCCCTCGTCCCAGATCTTGAACCAACCTTTTCCGGCGGCCGAGTCGGATTGCATGTCGGAAACTTGTTTGAGGTAGATGGCCATGGGCCCGACATGGGACGGGTCGATGGACCCGGGCTGCGCGGCGTCGGCCCACTCGCGAAACTCGAGGGTCAGCTTGGCGCCGGCCGGGGCCGGGCACGAGAACGCCACGGCGTTTTGCCCATCCCGTCCTAGAAATTCGTGTTAGATCGTGAGAAGAACATGGTAGGAAAGGGCCCGTGACTTACCACAAGCCATGTCTTCAGAGTCGAGCCCGCCTGCAAGAGGGTGGGTGGCAAGATTGCCCTCCTTCGCCATACGGATGCAGGTGCCATCACCCTGGTTTACATCGTTGATAAAAAGCGTGGTGAATGCAGTATGCGCTGCTGAAAAGGGGGCGAAACTGGTTGCCAGACCGAGCGCGAAAAGAAAAGGGGAGTGCATCGTGGATCACAGATCGCACCGGCCAGCCCTTGAAAAAAGGAAGAAAGCAATAAAATGTCCCTGTCGGTTTAAACGAAGGAATAACCTTCCGCCAGGGAAGATTTTACGTTTTCTTTTCGAGGCAAACGAAAGCGAAGGAATGGGTATCCGAAGGGGGCGTTCCACGAAGGGATCCCAAGGAGTGGCTAGAATTTAAAGCTGATGAAACTGGAAGAGAGGTCGTGTGGAGCCCTGCAAGCCGAGGTCAGCCAGGGCAAATAGAGTTCAGACTGAACATTGCCTCCGGTCTCTTATATGAGAAGAGCAGTCAGTCGTAAAAGGCGGCCTGGATACAGGAGGCCGGTTCCAAGCAGCCGGAATAGAAACAGAAGGGAGGTAATGAAAGGGGCGGAGATTCTCACTTGGAGAGCAAACAGCCAAATAGGCACTCCTTGATTGAAGTCCCAAACCGAAACAAGCCAATTTACAAGAGGAAACAAAACTGATCAGTCGCAAAAATAAAGTATGTTTCCAACTCCATACTTCCCCCTGGCGACACACCCTGCCAGGGGTTGCGCCGACTTTCATCATCTGTGCCGCATTCCCCAGATCTCACCCAGAAAAATCGGTATGTCTGAGTGGCCCAGGAAGTAACAGACGACAGCACCCGCCCAGTTTGCCCTGCATGTTGCGGTTTGAGATAGAGGAATTTGCCGTTCGCTGCGTGTAACATATCACAAAGGGGGCTTGACATCGGTCGGCGCGACCTCCCCCTTTGGCCCGGCCGGACCCGACTCTGCAACTCGAGGAGATGGACTCAGGGGTGCTATGCAGGTGGATCATCATCGACCGCACCGAGTCTCGGGTGGTTTGCCGCTTACCGCCTCACACTTGCGCGCGCAACGTGAGGGCGGCGGTTAGAGAGCGAGTCAGGGGCTTCGGCGTTTGTCAACAACTGATTTTGTTTGAAACGAAACAATTTGCTGCCAATTGCCGAGAGGTGTTATGCAAGACATCTGACAGGTAATAACTTTAGTGGCACGGCATGGCTATCATTAGCTCAGATACTGAAATTTGAAAAATACGGACATGAACCCGATTGCCGTTATCATGGTACCGCTGGTGAGTTCGTCATGTTTTGATATTGCTCAAGGCGGCCAACTGCCAAGCTTCATGTTTCTTAACAAAGCAAAGCAAAGCAAAGCAAAACGGGCAGTGAGTAAAACCGACTTGTTGGGATCGAAGCCCTTCGCAAAGACATTCAAAAGGCGCATTGGGCCCCGAACCACTCACTATTTACCCAGCCTCGCACGATCCAGATCACAATGGGACAGCCCACGACTAAGACTGTGCTAGCGAGAGACATTGGCGCGATGGTCGAGCAGAACTACCGCGCCCACGCGACTCAACAGAACCAGGTAACCAGATGAAGGAATGGAGGAGTGGAGAGGGTTTTATTGCGTTAGTCTGGCACCAAGCCAACCCAAGGAGATGCACCCGGACCGCCTGGTCGATATCTGCGAAACTGCCAGGGTCACCAATATTACGCCGTTGAATGCAGCTGGCGACTATCCGCCCGGTGAGATGTCGTACATGTTTGGTGGATTTGATACATTATATGGTACACATTCGTCGCTTCGTGGGTATCTATTTTCGGTTCATTTCTTTTTACTCGTTGATCTTGGCCAGAATCCTGTGAGGGGTCGTGTTAGTCCCGGGCTGCTCCTCGTACAACGGTACGGTGTAGAAAGACTTACTCGCTGTCCCGGAAGAGGTGGTACTCCTCCTCGCCAACCTTGACGGGCGAGCCGCCGTACTGCACGCCGTGTTAGCGCCCTTGCCGCAACCGCCGTATCTTCCTGAGAATATCCGCTGTATCCGCATGCATACCTGAGGAATGAGAACCTTGTCGCCGGCGTTGACGCCCATGGGGACGCGCTTGCCGTCACGGTCGAGGGCGCCGGGGCCGACGGCGAGCACCTTAGCCTCGTTGAGTTCTTTGACGCTCGACTCGGGAAGGAAGATGCCGCTGGCGGTCTTAGCCTCGGCCTTGACACGCTGCACGAGCACGCGGTCGAGGAGCGGGACGAGCGCCTTAATGCTGCGGAGCGAGGTGGCCTGCGACGGATGAAGGTCAGTCAGTGTCTCTGTGGTCGGTTGGATGGAGGCGGGTTCTCGCGGCATTAAATGGGTTTCGGACACTCTGCACTGTCGAACCGAGAGCTCCCGCGAGAGCTCCTGGCAGCGTCATCGAGTAGCGGGGAGGGGTCCACTCACCATTGTGAAAGAGTTGGGCGTTGACTGAGGGGTACAGCTGAATGTATTGCGTTGGTTCGAGGAAGTGATGAGTCTGGCGAGAGAAAAATCGGGAGAGTATGCGGGCAGGTGAGGAAGCTCCGTTTTCAATCGGTAAGAAAGCGGATCACGATCCGAAGAGCTTCCAGGAACATCTAGAATATCGCCAAATTTTTACTGGGTCCCGGACGCCCGGCGCCAATTGGCTCTCGGAGTGCTTTTCCCCCACAGCCGTGGTGTTTTAGGGAGTGTGATTGGTTGAACAAAGCCGTGTTGGATTGGAACGCCGGACAACCACCTCAGCCGCCCATCAGCGACACCACAAACCGAACCGTTGTGATAGGTCGTAAGAGGGGAGAGAGTTATGGGATGAGAGACTTTAGAGAGCCATCTTAGAGGGGTGATGGCTAACTAGGTTCGAAACAAGAAAATCATCACGCTACCTCTTGGTGGAATGCCTTGTTGCAAACGACGATTCGGGGCGTCCTGGCAACGTGCGAAATTCAGGGGCAAAAATAGAGGGGTTGATGCCCGGGCAACAATGGAGACATGAGTGCAGTTCCTATTCACAATAAGACGCTACTCGTCTTATGTAGCTTACGGACATAGCTGTTTTCCAAAACACTTATACGCTAGCTTCGGTCGACGGAAGGCGGGATATCGCGAGGAATTAACTCAATTCTCTTGCTTTACTGTCATTCTCTAACGACGCCAATCCTCAATATCCATTGTATCTCGCTACCCCAAGATGCCATTCCCAAAACTATGCTAAACTGCCCCCAAAATATTACGGCAACCTCTGCATGCCCCGACGGAGGATCCCAATCTATATGCGCCTGCCCAGAACTCACGCCTAATCCCACCATAGATGCCAACGCTCTAGACAAAATCATCAAATGAGGACCGCCCACTATCCCCAAGCTGCCATATCCTGCAGGGTATAATAACAAGCATAATAACGACCCTGATACCGACCATCGGCTTCTCTCCGTTGATTCGCCCTCCTGCACCGCCTCTAAGTTTTCCCTAAGACTTGGCAGGCGTCGCAGGCGGCTCCAACACATGCTTGTGGTCGTCAGCATTCACCACATGCCCGCCCTCCTGTCGGCATATGACCGTGTCCGCCACCCACGGGTCGTCCAATATGTCGGCCATGGTGGCTCGCTTCTTGGGATCCAGCTCCAGCATCCGCCCGATGATGTGCCTGCTCTCCCGAGGGAGCAGACGGAGGATGCGCCACGGGCCCCGGATTACCTCCTTCTTTTCCCCGGACGGGTTCTGCGAGCTGCCTTCGTTGCCGGCAGCCGATGCCGTAGTTAAAGGCCGCTCAACCTTGCTCGACTCCTCGCGATTCACTGCCTTGTTAGCGTCGTTACGAAGGGCTTGCGGGTCAAAGTCGCGAGCCGGGATGTCGTTTAACGCTGAGGTAGAACTCGCAGGCGGGAGGAGGAGCTTCTTAGGGTCGTGGCCGGGCGTCGGGTCCGCGGCGAAGAGCTTGAACGAGTTGTCGGACAACCTGGGGAGCTTCCACGGGAACCGTCTAAGGGTCATGCAACAGTAGATGATCGCTAACGACCAGATATCGACCGCTTGTGGGTCGTATTTCTTTTCGTCGTACACTTCGGGTGCGAGGTACGGATCGGAGCCAACGATGCCTGTGTTACTGTCAGTTCCGCTTTTCCGCCGACGCTTCGAGTGACCAACTCACCAGTTGCAGGTACGATACTGGTTTCAAACGGGTATTTAAACACATGGGCACTCCCGAAATCAATAATCTTCATAATACCGTGTTCGCTGACAACCACATTGTCGAGTTTGAGATCGCGGTGCGCCAAACCCATGCTGTGGAGGTACGTGACACCGCTGAGAATCTGCAAGAAACAGCAGCTGACTTCCTCCCGGGACATTTTGCCTGTCATGACGATGGCAAAGAGATCGAACGGGGCGTACTCCATCACCTCGTACCACTTGCCCTTCTCCTGAACGATATCGAGCGTTTCGATGATGTTCCCATGATGCAGCGAAGAGCCCATGCAGTACTCGGCCGTCAGTTTCTTCACGTACTCGCGCTCTGTTTCATACGAGTGCCGCGGCCGGAACTCCTTAACGGCAAAGACGACACCGTCTTCAGGACGCTTCATCAGCCTCACCGAACCACCCGCCCCGGCGCCCAGCACTCTCCCAAGCTTTCCATATTTGGCAGAGAGGCCATGGTCGTCTCCGAAGGGAATCTGCGCTGATTTGGAACTCGGTGGTGTCTTGCCGCCGGACCGAATGGACGATGCTGGCGATGCCGTCCGTTTCGCCTTGTTGCTGGGGCCTAGTTTGAAGAAGCGTTTTAGATCGGCCATCGAGCTGTTCCTACTATGGACAAGACTTTCGTCCGATTGCCGTTTCTCGCCCAACGCCCTCGGCAGACTAAGGGTCGACGAGCTGGGTGAAGCACCTGGTTTCTTCTTCCGGGAGAATATGAAGCGTGAATCAATACCCTTCTGTGCTTGCCGCTTACTCGCAGCGTATGGATCATCCGAGTCTCCCGGTGGTGGGGCTTGGCGAGAATAAAACAGCGAGGCGGCTGCCGCTCGCGAGGGACTACTATCGCGTGACGGCGGCACCGAGCTGGCAGGCGAGTTCGAACCGCTTCCAGCGCCAACCGAAAATAAACCTCTCCGGTGGCTGCCGAGCGTTGCTTGTGTGCTTTCTCTACCGTCGGAAGTCGCGGGTCTCCGCGAGGTTCGTTCACGGTCCGCCGACATGTGGTGCGGAACCGCCAATCGAGATGAACCGGCCGACAGCGGCTCATGGGTCGAGTCTTGAGGGGTGATGACATCAGGTGCCCGACCTAGCCGCTCGCGGTCGCCAACAGGCTCTCGTTTTAACCCACCTTCGGTGGTGTCTGTCCCAGCTGGTGTAAGAGGTGGCGAGTGAATATCCGCGCTTCGTCGGCTAGCGCCCAGGCGCGGCGAGCCATGGGCAGTCGAGCTTCGAGTTGGTTGCCGGCTCGGTTCCCGGGACTCTTCATCACGAGAAATGGTCTAGAAACAATTGTCAGTTGGATATCATTGGCGGGATCGAATGTGGTCGGCGCAGCTGAAACGGGTCGCCGGCTTCAAAAAAGAACAAAGGACAAGCCAAATGCAATCCCAATGCGACCAACCACCCGAGACACAGCAAACCAAGATGCCCACCGTCATCACCGCTGACGAAAGGGCCGATTGCGGACGTTGCGTGGTGAAATACGTACCCTTGAAGGCGGTAACGAAACCGGTTCGTATGAAAATATGTTCATTCTGCGCTCCTGAAGCGGGCAGGTCCTCAACCGGTCGGAAAGCTGGCGGATGTCCTCAGAAGTCACCTGGCCGGGGTTCCCAAGAGGGTTACCGTTGGCCAGTGGTAGACTTGTTGAAGTGGCATTATCGGGCGCAATCTCTTCAATGGTAGATTTGAACCGGACTTGTGATTGTTGGTTGTTTTGGTCATCTGTTGCGACCCCGGCAGAGTCTGAATTTGGTAGTTAGCATTAGCAGCAAGGTTTGCGATCGCTTCAGTCAAACGGGTCCGGTGGCGGTTGGCGCCAGACTTCTTTCTGTCTGCGACCGGCGAGGGGTAGCGCTTTTTCTTACCCTTTGTTCGGAGCTCCCAATCTTGGGGATTCGTCGCCATCTTGACCACCAGGGGCTCGAACGAAGCCGTAATCGATGGTGCCTTCGCGAAGGTAAAGCGGTGACGGGCGCACGTACGGATCGTGTAGAATGCAAACAGCAAGAAAAAAAAAACAGCACCTGGTCTGAAAGATGACGGCTGCACCTTGGGCAGCGTGCAAACGAAGCCGCTCCGACGTGGTGGGGCTTAGCTACTTGGCAGGTACATCATGCAGGGCGTTGGCGGGCCGAATGTTGGCTGAAATCTGCGGGAGGCGCGGGTACCGTGAAGGGCCGCTGTGGGAGACCCAGGCCGGGTCCGGCCTTCGTCAGCACTGGGGTTCCTGGAGACGGTTATTTCCGGGTCCCCTGGCTGGCAGGCTTTTCCTGCGGTATTGTCTTAAATCACAATCACACAATGACTCGCGGCAAGACCTCAGGCATCGGACGCAGTTTGACGGCATTGATACGCGTTTGAGCCAAAAGAGGGGTTCTTCGGAGGGGCCCAGCCGTGTTGTCTCCGAGGATCCCGGAAGGCTGAAGGCGGAATCTCAGTGGGTTCCATCCATTTATTCCATCAACCCGTTGATGAGATTGGTGGCCCGACATCGGGAAACTCGCTTTCAAAACGAGCCAGGCGTGCACGTGCAACTCGAGGCGACGACTGATAAAGATGCATCTGTGATTCGGCTGCATCTGCGGTGCAGGTTCGGCCTTCGGCATACCCAGAAAAGCCGGGTCGACCGGACCACGCAATCAATTCGCCAAGCCCCGCCCGCCGTGACGGATGGCACCCAAGACCCGGTCCACACTGCCGTTCTTGCGCCGGCCGGGTGGAGGACTGAGAGGACCTTTTCGGTCCCTCCACCGCAAAGCCACGCGCAAGACATGTTTCATGTGATACGGTGCATGATTCCGGCCTGACTGGGCTAGTGACAGCAGAATCTATCGCGGGAAGCAGGTCCCGTGTAACACGCCAGCAACGGCTCAACACTTCAGTGTGCCCTTATGTGCCCTCCGATCCATAGACCAATATGGTACAGATTTAATGTACAGAGATAAGAGGAGCGTTGTCCCCTCCCAGCATGCTCGCATCACCGGAAAATGCGCCTCGCCAAAACCGCTCTAGAAACAACCGTAACGCCCTGTGCTCCATCCCAGTCTTGTATGCCACCGGACCTTCATGGGATGACCGCAATTCCAATGGATTTCGACTGGTAAATGATAGACCGGCAGATACCTTCAAGGGACAGACCGGAGAGTCGGAGCTCGGACTGCTTGATCTTTGCGATTTCGTAGATGTGCTTGAGGCTGAGGGTCCCCACGATTTCCTTCCCTGGGTTGCTCGCCCCTTTCCTCTTGCCCTTCTTGCCCGTCGGCGCCTCGGCCGCGTTGAGCAGAAGCCATGATGTCTGCGGTGTCCGAACCTCGAAATGGAATGTCCTGTCTCCCCTAACCGTAACCCGGACAGGCATTGGGGTGCCGGCGATCAAGTGCTGCGTTCTAGCATTGAACTCCTGCAAAGACGCATCAGCCAACTAGAAACATACCCTCCCCCTATGGTGTCTTTCTAACCTTGCAGAAGTCCATTGACTTGATACCCTTGCTACCCAGCGCCGGACCGACGGGTGGACTCGGGCTTGCTTGGCCGGCGCCGACGATGATCTTGACCACCTGATCAGCAACGGACCGTGCCTTCGACATCTTGTCAACCGTAGGCGCAGGTTTCGGAAATTGGCCGCGTAAAGAGTGAAAAGAAATCGGGATCCGCCACAGGGGCTTGAATCAGGTCGTGTCTGGGTCGCTGTCGGTCTACCTCCACCGGGAAGCTCCCAAAAATTTCGGAGCTTTGCGAGAATGGCCGGCACCAGCCACAGTTGGCCAAGTGCCGCGAAATCAGCCACAAGTATCCGTCTCGGCAAAGTCGGGGTCAAACAAAATGTCCGTGCGCTGGTTGACAGCCTGGTGACGTCCAAATGGGACAGGGGTTTGTTAGCGGCAAGCTCCTCCCGCCTTCGGGCAGCGTTTTCGAGGGGTCCCTCGACAGCGGTGAATGGCTCTCCCCAAGTCTTATCTAAAACAACCCTCACGTTCACTGAAAAACCTAGTGGCTCCCTCTCTGTCCCTTTTTGACGACGGCCTCTTGATCCCTCAACACCGATCCTACGAAACCGACATCATGTTCAAGTGGGCGCAGCAGCAGTAAGAATACAGACGTCGTGAACCCCACCTTCGTTGTCGTCGTCTAACCTGGCATTCCTACAGGCTGGCCAACGTCGCCGGCACGCAGGAGCCCATCTATGGCGCCTCTGCCATCAAGTCGGTCGCTGAGGAGGCCGAGACAACGCCTTACTCAGAGCTCACCAGGGACGACCTAAAATGGCAGGCAATGGAGTCCACCAGCGTCGAAACCCAGACCTTCTACTTCATGTCCGACAGTGGGCAGCTCGCTTTTGCCCAGGTCATTTATAGCAACGTGGCGTACGTTTCCCGTGCTGCCCGCTCAGGCTCCATGCGCTGACCTTTCAAGCGGCATCCGCACTACCTGCCAGTTCAACTGCAAAGTCTTCAGCCTCGACGGGTCGAAACCCCACCTCTGGTCCACGACGCAGTTGAGCAACCACGACTTCAGCGAAGACCGGACCGGTTTCTACGCCGATGATTGCGCTGTAGAGCTCTCGGAAGACGGAACAACATATACAATCAAGTCGATGAACGACGACAAGGCCATTGTGAACCTAACCGTCAAGCGGACGGCCCCAGGTTTCAAGGCGGGAAAGACCGGCAACACGCTTTTTGGCACCGACCTGTCCAACCCTTGGGGGTCTATGCGCCACATCTTTTGGCCGAGGTGCACTGCTGAGGGAACGGTCACGACCAAGGAGGGCCCCATCGACTTCAAGGGCAAGGCGTTCTTCTCCTATGCGCTCCAGGGCATGAAGCCTCACCATGCCGCGGCCAAATGGAACTTTTGCAATTTCCAGGGCCCAAAGTACTCAGCCATCCTAATGCAGTTTACCACCCCGCCGTCGTATGCTTCGACCGTGGTAAATGTGGGTGTCATTGCCAAGGATGGGGAGATCATCGTTGGCGGTTGCAAGAGCAACGTCACCCACATTCAAACCAAGAGTGACAGTGAGAACGACTGGCCAGAGCCGACGACCATCAAGTACACATGGGCGGGGACAACCAAGGATGGCAAGCCTGTGGAGGCCTTTATCGAAGGCGGCCTTGAAGAGAAACTCGACAGGATAGATGTCATGGCCGAGGTTCCTGGTTTCGTAAAGAAAATCGTGGCCGGAGCCGCAGGCACGAAGCCGTACATCTACCAGGTTAGTCGTCCCTGGAAAACTCATTGATCCCCTGCCTAACATCGCATAGTACTCGCCACAAAAGACGAAGCTGTCGCTAAAGCTCAAGATTGGGGACGAGGAATTTTCCGAGGAAGGCTTCGTGTTCAGTGAAGCAACCTTTATTTCTGAATAGACATCTACCCTAGTCGGGTAGCAGGGCTTTGGGTACAATGTCTGGCAAACAAGTGCCAGGACTGGCGTTGGGATGGGACCGTTAGAGACTGGACATTCGTTGTGTGGTTAATACACGTTGCACAGAAGCTGAACCGAGGGCATGGGGATGGCCTAAGCGCGAGAGATGGTCTGTTGAATACGTAATAATAAAATCCCTAGTAACTCAAGGGACTCAACAGCTGCACTAATATAATTGCCAATGTTCGAAAACGTACGAATCACGTATATTCCTCTACCACCCCCTCGCATACGAGTAGCACAATCCCATTTTCATTTTTATTCTTCGATTATAGAACTTCTTTGTCGTCGCTCAATGTAATTAACTGAGCTAAAAAGCGAAACAAGCCGGAAACGCTCAGAATAAGAAAACTGGAAGGTGCCGTTGGGAGTTCTGAGGCCAACCAACCACTGCAAGCCCCACTTTGCATACAAGGGCGCGCGACACCTTCCCGGTTTGTTTTTCCAGAGAACTTACATTCGACTCAACACCCGAGTTCCATTCACGAGCACAGAGTACCTTACTTGCTCGGAATCGACTAAAAAAATGCCGCCAACCGTCCCGCAGCGCGGAGGCCCGAGTGGGCTGAAGCGAAGCGTCGCCGGGAAGACCGTCATGAAGACAGGCGCAAAGCGCCACCGGTATGTTGTACAAACCTTCTACCGCATTCAGCTCATCGTAAAACCAACCTGCTAACCTGGCTTTTCGTGTCACAGGAAAATCATCAAGGATTGCATCCGCGGGATCACCAAGCCCGCGATTCGGTAAGTCTCTGGCAGCTATGGAGGCAGGAAGTGGGCCGGCATCGCTATCCTATCGAGTCTATTGCAAACATCTTGAGATTTCACGCACATATTTGGGGGGTTTGGGACCCGATCGACTTGAGATAGCATATCATTGTCTTTTATTATTTTATTATTGACATTATTCCACTTCTTCGTTTCCCTCTTTGTTCCTTGGATGGGGTTCAGCGCTGGTATTGTTCTTCTGAAATTCTTGTTATTATTTACTTCAACGTCACAAGGTGTTTTGGATAAAAAGCATGATCGCTAACGATAACAGTCGCATGGCTCGGCGCGGTGGCGTCAAGCGTATCTCAGCCACTATCTACGATGAAGCGCGCCATGCACTGAAAATCTTCCTTGCGACGGTATGCTTCAGCGGCTCTCCTCAGGTCTTCCTGTATCCTTAGTACCGGAGTACTAATGCATCAATAGGTTATACGCGACGTCGTCACTTATACGGAGTACCGTAACGCGAAAACGGTGACGGTTAACGACGTGAGTGAAGCAAAGCAATGGGCAGACTCCTGACCATAACTGACTGGACTTCAGGTCATCTTTGCCCTCCGCCGCATTGGCCGGCCTATTTACGGGTTTGATCCCGACACTTACAGCGCTAAAAAGAACTCAGTGGCCGTTCAGAAAGATTCTCGCGACTAACCACAAAATCCGGCCTTTTCCTTCTCTCTCAGTGCTTCAACTAGTTATGGCTGTCAGCCGTTTTCTCTGTTTCTATTGGGATTTGGGATCGGGAATCTTGGGGAAATGATAAGCCTAGCTGTTTGTTTTCTTTTTCTACGGCCGGAGTACGGACGGGATGGAGATATATACGGCATAATGTCGCGAGCTGGTTTATCCAGGACGGATCCCAATCAGCGGACGGAATGCTGGGTGGTGTTGTGACGAAAGCTCGGTAATAACTAACTGAGATCCTGTGTCAAAGTGCGGGTTTAAATTCTGTTTCGCAAGGTGAGCTTCTGATCCGGTGGCAGGTGATGAAACAGCAGCAAAACCAAGGTATCATTGAGCGAATGTCTATGTGGTATCTTAAAGGAGAACCGGTTGAAGATCCGCCCCCCAGAGTATCGCCCCCCAATCCATCGCCAAACCAACGCCGTGCTATCCATACCAAGCCAAACTAGGAAAAAGCCAATCGCTTCCATATGCTGTCGCATGCCAAGGGAACCCTCGTCGATATCCAAAAGTGCTCGAACCCTTCTCCAAACAAGCCCCAAGCGCTCCCTACCTCCTCCGCCCGTCCCGCTCTCCGATCACCCTCTCTAGCGCGCGCGCGGCCCGCATCTCCCCCTTCCTAAACGGGCTGTTAAACATCTCCGGCAGCACCATGATGCTGTTGGCATGCTCCTTCACAAATCCCACCTCGGCATCCTTGCCGCACCGCTCTCGTGCCACACGCACCGCCTCGCGGAGCAGGTCCCCGCCCAGGCCCTTGCCCCGGTACCGCAGCCTGGTCGTCCAGGCGCGGATCACGCCCCGCCCGCCCTTGAGCTTGAAGCTGTTCTGCCTGCTGTGCGCCTTTCGCCGGCCACCGCCGCCCCCGCCGCCGCCGCCGTTGTTCCCGTCCGACGAGGGCGACGGCCGCTCCAGCCGGAGGACCAGCGCGCCGACGACGTCGGGCCCGTACCGCGTGCCGAAGACTAGGTCCTCCTCGTCGCCGTCGCGCCCGGCCGTGAGGAAGTCCCAGGACAGCGCCTCGGCGGCGCGCAGGTAGCCCGAGGTGACGAAGCGGATGGCCGTGAGGTAGGTCATGATGGCGCCGCTGGCCAGCATGAGGGTGGTGCCGAGGTCGTGCTGCGAGTTCTGCGTCCAGGCATAGCGGTAGATACCCGCCAGCACGGCGAGGAGGGCCGCGAGCGGCAGCGGGTGGAACACGAGGTGGAAGGCGGCGAGCTGGCGCTGCTGGGCGATGCTGTCGGCTACTAGCTTGAGGGCGGCCGCTTTGTCCTCGCGGGAGGTTAGGAGTTCGAGGGAGAGCGGGGGGATGTTGTCGTTGAGAGCTGCTTGTGCGGGGTTGGTCCCGAGGGGGGACGGCGAGACGGGCGGGAGGGTTTGCGGTGTGTACGGCCCAAGAGTGGGCGTCGAAACGTTGGACATTGTGGAGTCCAGGAGGACGAGGTTGGCGCGGAGGAAGGTTAAAAATGCTGGCCGAGAGATGTCAACACAAGCTCTAAAGTTTAAGCTCGCTCGATGTAACTTGATGTAACGGTGGGTTGTTTGCGTTTATATTGCCCCCCCACAACCCTCTGGTGGTGCCTGTTCAATACAGTTCTCGGGTTTTAAAACAAGACCACCACCTCTTCGGAGTTCAAAGCTCACATGTAGATGGTGGAGGTTGGTGAAAGAAAGGGCAAAAAAAGGAAGAGAAAATAAAACACTAAAGCTTACCAGCACTTGTTTTCAGGCCAGGTACGGCATTGATCCTGTCAACAAGGGTGTTCGATTGACAGGTGCTCAGATTGAGCTCGGTGATGGCACCCACGTGCCGAGAGCTCGCCATGGCACAGGTCCAGGCTCGGTCCAAAATCAACTAAGCACTTGCAAGCGAAATGCCGAACCAGCCGCAACTGCATGGGTTGCAATACCGCCGCTGTGGGTTTGAATCTTCAAGCATTCCCTCATTGAGCTGAAGATTCAACAGCTCAGAGATTGGGGGGATGCGAGTGGTGTTAAAGGACGAAGATGAAACGCTGGGGTGCGAAGAGATGCGAAGAGGTGCTGGAAGCGGAGGCGGCAGAAACAGGCCTGCAAGATCGGGGCATGTCCATCGGGAGATGCCCTTATAGGAGGATGATAAGCACAAGCGGCTCGCAATATGACGACAGCACCCTTGGTGATGTGCATGCAGGAGCGGTTCATAACCCCCAATAGATAGCAACCGTTGCAGATCCTATATACCTCTTGCAACGCCTCATCCCCCCGCGCGCGCTCAGACAACCATCTCGAACTGCGGGGTTGCTCGTTTTGTTTGGTGGGCTGCATGTTGGGGATCAAGGGATGACCTGATAAGGTCGGGACACATGAAGAATCGATTCTTTGGTTAGGACTGCAAGGCCAATGGGGGATCCGATGCAGCACGAAGGTCTGCGTGACCCCATCACCAAGCACCCCACCACCGTCGCAAGCCCCTCACCCTGAAACAGCTCAAACCAGCCCAGTGGGTTTGCCTGCACGCTCGCAACAACAGTGACGACCCCGCCCGCCCGGGGGATTCGTCTTACGACCAAGGAAAGAAGGCGAGATCGACAAGAAGAATTATTACTTCAGCATAACTCTCGCAGTAATAAGCCGCCTTTTCTAGGCCATGGTGCCTGTTGTCAGCCCTGGACGGCCATGCCTGTGTGTTTTACGCCCAAGAAGGACCTGGGCAAGGGACTTTGGATGAAAGGAAGAAAACCGCTGACTATAACGTAATCTATCACCTTCTGGGACACACCACCTTGTGGGACACTTTTCTGCCCCACACCCCACCATGTCGACTTCGGACGCACCTCACAACACAAAAGAGAGTCTATTCGGAATGCATTCTACATAATTCGAGCCCTTATTTACAAGGGCATTTTCTGGCGTTGTGCTCGATTGAGCCACAAACACTGCACTTCGGCTGCGCACGCTTTCGTGCCTTTGGCGCAGTCGTGTCCGATGGCCCCACCTCTCCTTCTTCGACCTCTCGACGAGCTTCCTGGCTTCCTTGACCCTTCTGACGAGCATTCTGGGAGGCCTCGATGTGTGTCATCCCTTCTCCAATCGTCATAGTCCCTCCTGTTTGAATGAAAGCTCGGCGTGCCCGCTTTCTCTTTTGTCGACCATTTTCAGCTCGAAGTCGCGAGTTCTCTTCCTGCAAAAGAGTAGCATTGTGCATCGCCATCTGGCAGCCCTTGATGATTTTCTGAAGCGCCTGATCTGTTGGGCTTATCTCTCTCTGGTGTTTCCTTTGGAGAGAGTCAAGTTCGACGATGTTTCCTGGCGTTTTGAGAGGCAGACTTGGCGGTTGGATAGGGGTAGGAGGGGGACTCAGTGTCCGTATCCTGGTTTGTAGCCGACAAAGAACCTGAGTTGGATCGAAAGGCAAGAGCCCTGCAGCTCTAAAGCCGCTTGCGATGTTCTTTGTATTGAATGTCTTTTTCCGAGCTTCGAGAAACAGTTCGAGGAATCGCGGTTTGTCAATGTGATGAACCCCGAGTGCTATCTTCGCTTTGACAAGGTCGCCGTACGTCCGCTTAAGCACAGCGAAACAGCTAACGTCAAGGGGCTGGAGGTAGTGCGACGAGTGCGAAGGCATACACTCTGTAAGGATCCGATGCTCAGTACAGAATTTGTCGAATGCAGGCGTCGAATGGCTTCCATGACCATCGAGAATGAGAAGCCGATATCGATCAACAGTCCGGTTTCGCGTCTGTGGCTCGAAGACTTCTCGAAGCCACGCAAAGGTAAGCTCATCGGTTGTCCAGCCGTTATCGCTGACTCCAATCCGCCACGTCTTTGGCAGTGCTGAGCTGTCGTACCATGACGAGATGTGGACTTTTCCTTCGAAGATGATCATTGGATCAACACTCCAACCTGTCGCGTTGATGCACTCAATGACAGTTGTCCACTCTCGATTTCCCGGCTGGATAACAACAGGTCGATTCCGTCGGTCAGATCGAGTGACCACTTTAGACGTGCTTGCAACACCCATCTGGAAACCAATTTCGTCAAAGTTGTAGATGTCGCTGTCAAGAACACCGTATTCGTTGATGGTCCTTTGCACTCGTGCAAACCACGCTGAAATCTTCTCTGGATCCTCGCCTAAGGCCCGTTGATAGTCGTACTTTCTAGAATACTTCGTCTCCAGATGGGGATGCCGATGAAGAAGCCGCTGGACCCAGTTCTCACCAACAGTCATTGCCGGGACCGGGGTGGATGTAAGAGACGCGTCGAGTAGAGTGAAGCCTCCACGCTCGCGGAGAAGAAGGTCAGCCATCTGTCGGATGTAACCGATCGTCGGCGACATCCCACGGTCGTCCAATGACTCGATCCATTGAATCAAGGCTGCTTCTTCAGTTGGGCGTAGCTTTCGGTTCTTGACTTGAGCTTCTTGACGCGTACCGCCCCCCTTGACGCGTCTGTGGAGAGTGGACTTCGGTACACCAAACGCATCCGCAGCGTTGCGAATGATTTTGATTTGGCCTGAACGTAAGGCCTCGAGTGCTAATTGGATTCTATCTTCGTGCTGTAGAGGCTTTGGCATTTTGCCGGGCACAATGGCGTAGTGGAGTGCGTCCGAAGTCGACGTGGTGGGGTGTGGGGCAGAAAGCTGTCCCACAAGGTGGTGTGTCCCAGAAGGTGATGGATTACGTTACGGCAAGGGAAGAAAAGTTGTCGATCCCAGTTGCAGGCAAAGCCCCGGAACCAGCTAGGAGGAGATAGGTGAATAAATGGTTGCTTACACAGTTAAGGGGCTAAATAGGAAGTCAATCAGTCGAATACATTGAGACAACGTCGATTCTGATCAGACATCGACGGTGGGGTGCCCGGTTCGAGATCATCCATAGCTCAGATGCGCAGGGGCCACACCGACCGACCCAGGCGAGACTTCATGGTGTTGCAAACATTGACCCTGGTTTGGGGGCGGCGCAGGAGGATGGCAAACACTGGCGCCCGTGTTTCATCTCGCATGCACTGGGCACACCCGCCAGGGTGGTGCAAGTGAGTCAGAGAGTCGCAAACTGGCACAACTGGCTGGACTGGGTCACCACAGAAGCGGCAATCGCCATCGTCCACCCTCCGAGTGGACCTCCGCTTGGCTACGAATGGAGTTTGAGGGATCGAACATCGCGCTGAATCGGCAAACTACGGCCTGTAAAGTATTTCTTTACGCACCAGGATTTGCGGCGTTGCTCGCCTCATCGAGGCGTTGCTTCCATTGCTTACTTGTTAGGGAAGATCTTGTGTCCTTGACTATCTACGAATAAATGTCCAGAATCAAACCATGGAAGCTGTTGGAGAGAGCACAATGACTCTGCGGAACAAAACGGAGGTGTGCAAGGGCTGCTGAGTCACGCCCGAAAGATTCCGACGCAACTCAATGCCAAGCACCCAGCTGGCCCAGACACGAATGAACTTCCGCCCCTCCAACAGGTCGAAAGTCCTTGTTATTCAGGATCTCGTTTTTCTCACCCTTGGCTAAGCCCCGGAGGCACGGGAATGACTGGAGAATGGCAGTTTCTGCTTGTCAGGTTTTGTTGTTAGACCGGACGAGACCGGCCGAACCCGGGCCTTAAGATTTTCGAATGCCTGTCTTGCCCGATTGCTGATCTCGGTTCCTTTTGTGTGGCTCATTCTAGGAAGTTTCCAACAGCTTGATATAAAAAGACCCCAGGCACATTCCTAGAGACGCCTGATTTTACGTTGATATCAAACCACACACCATAACTCGCTAAACACCACACAACTGTACCCACATACGTAACTAGTTACTTTGTTCACACTCATCCCAATGATCTCCTTTGAGGCAAGCAAGAAGATCTGCTCGCCCAAACAAGCAGCGCAGCTAAGCCGCGCCGTGGCACCCTTCTTCTATCAAGCCCATGCTGTGGGGCTTGGCTATCCTGCCACGGTTCGTCTTGCTGCAATCACTCGCCAGTCCCGGATTTCTCTCCAGCCCACTCCTTCCGGCAAACGAAGCTTCTCGACGACAAGTGTGAACCAGCTCCGAGATGTCTTCCCCGCCAAGGACACGCCGTTCATACGCAAGACACCGCCAGCATGGGAACACCCAGGCTACACCGAGGAGGAGATGTTAGCAGTCGTGCCTGGTCACAGGTCGCCCGAGACTGTGGGCGATTGGGTTGCGTGGAAGCTAGTCCGCTTGGCCCGGTAGGTGTTGCGAGCTCTAAACAAGCAAGGAAGTCTCGCTAACGACAAGCACAGGTGGGCGACTGATATTGCCACGGGTATCGGACGGGAGCAGCAGGTCGATATGAAGAACCCGACCACCGCTGTAGCGGCAGAGAAGCCGTTGACAGAGGCCCAATGGGTACGAAACCACACTATTATCCATGTTTGTGCCTGATGCGGCTTGAGGGGGTGGTTAAGGGTCAAATGTGCTCACAAGCGTGGCCAGTTGCAGTCCTTCACCTCGAAAGCCACCCCCAGCCCACGCCTTGTCCTCTTTAGGCCATTGAGGTGATAGCAGCCTGTTTGAAGGGAAATGTGCTAACTTTCATTTACTAGCTCGTGAGAGTCATCTTTCTAGAATCAATTGCGGGCGTCCCCGGAATGGTTGGGGGCATGTTGCGCCACCTCCACTCTCTTCGCCGCCTCAAGAGAGATAACGGTTGGATCGAGACCCTCTTGGAGGAATCATTCAACGAGAGAATGCACTTGATGACCCTGATGAAGATGGCTGAAGTTGGGTGGTTCATGAAGACGATGATCCTCGGGGCACAGGGCGTCTTCTTCAACGCCATGTTTCTGAGCTACCTGGTCTCGCCAAAGATCACCCACCGGTTTGTGGGCTATCTGGAGGAGGAAGCGGTGCACACTTATACTCGCTTGCTCCGCGAGATCGAACAAGGTGACCTACCAAAGTGGTCCGACCCAGCCTTTCAGATCCCGGAGATCGCGATCACCTACTGGCGCATGCCCGAGGGGAAGCGGACGATGAAGGACCTCATTCTTTACATCAGGGCCGACGAAGCCGTCCACCGTGGAGTCAACCATACATTGAGCAATCTGAAGCAGAAAGAGGATCCGAACCCCTTTGTTTCCGAGTACCGAGTCGGCGAAGAAAAGCACAAACCCAAGGCAGCCTTGAAGCCGGCCGGGTACGAGCGACGTGATGTTATTGGCTGAAGTCGCTCTCTGGAGGGGGGGGAAGCTGGATGGTAACATTTACTTTCGGATACACTTGGGTTTGCTTGGGCGTTCATGGTTTAGAGCGGACTGGTTGATGGCGTTGGGGCTAGATAGACGATATACCCTCTTCTCTCTGTAAAAGTAAGGTACGGGCGTAAGAAAACAAGACTTGCTAGATGCCTAGCAAGCATGCAATATAACGCTGGATTCAGCGAACCTCTCCTCAGACGTCTGTCCTGGTCAAAATGGTCCCCGCACTGACTCTGCTGAGTGCCGAATCGTTAGTTATCGATCACCAAAACGAAACCTTCCATGCAGTTATCGCATGGACCTACCAGGCCCGTCCAGTCAGGCACGCACCGAACTCGATGCCAAGAAATTAACTCAGACGTGCAGTAGGGCTGCAGCAAGTCCAATTGCTGTCTCACCGTTTGGGCGCGTTCGTTGGGCATGATGCAGGTAAAATACCCACTGTCAGGGCATTGTCGCACAAGAGTCGGGCAATCGACAATGGAATCAACCGGGCGTTCTTAGATGAAGGCGATCAGTAGGATTTCTGACGCTGTGGGCCCGGCTTGTTGATCAGGACTGTGTAAGACCAGTCTCGCCAGCGTATGCCTCTCCGGGAAGACAGCCGTTGACAGTGCGGGTTCCGTCATCTCCATTCCATTGCCTTGTTTTAGCATTCCAATTTCATGTCTCACTCATCAATTATGCCGTGTTTTTCGCTCTCTTCAGAGCGGATATGACACACCTTCATCGCCGTGCTCCTTGACTTAGAAGCAAGTCGGACGTCAATCTTGTTGCCTTCGATAGCGGCTTCAGGGCGCATCTGCCCTTCTGCACCGAGAACAGCCCTTGTTTGAATGCCCGCAGTTGACGCTCCGCCTCGACTCAGCTTGTGGCCCCAGCGATACTCGGTCAGAGGCTGCTTGGAAGCAGGCCAGGCATTTGACAATGTCGATGCCCAACAAAGCGCACTGACAAAAGGGCGCGTCGCTCATACCTGGTTCAAGGGAACGTTGTGAGACACAGGGTACTCAAACACAGCAGGCGAACCCTGTAGTGTAGGAAGACCAGAGGCGAGGATTATCTCGGTCAAAGCCTCATAGCAGAGCGCTTGTCAAATATAGACGGCGCGCTAGCACAGTCGCAGCAAACAAGGTGTGAGGTTGGTGGAGAGTTTGACCCCTTCCGGCGACCAGCACAATTAGGAGAACCGAAGGGCTTGAAGAGTTCCGTTTAAGGAAGCTGTGAGACTGCTTGAGGCTAGCCGAGAACGATTCGCTGCCGGTGCCCCACTCGGCTTGGCGCCTGCCGCTCACTGAGTGGGGCCCGCACACCCGGCCCCTCCAAGCTTGGTGTCTCCATCCTCATTCAGGAGAGGAGAAAGAGACGGCGGCTACGAAACGTCAGATTGCGAACCACCGCCTCTCCCACGGCCGCGCACAGTTCGACGTTCGCAGCCCTATTCGGACGATCCAACCATCGTATTTTCGACAGGGAATGAGCTGCCAGCGAAGCATCTGCACGCTTGTAACAGCCGGAATCCCAGGCGCGTCGTCGTCGCAGCACAGCCTCACAGCACTGCCACTGCCACCGGAAGGCTGATCGCACCTTGTCCACCAGTCTGCCTCGCCTTGCTGCTAAAGACAGCAACAATCACGTACCTTCGTACCACGCAGGACCTAATCGCAACGGTCCGGTACCGACCCATGGACCAACAGCATTCCCATGCCCGCGGGCGTTCGCTCTCGGCGACGTCTACCGGTGGGGGTATAAGGAATGCCCACTCGCCGTCGCCTGCTCCTTTCCCTAATCCGAACGAAGAAGCAGCCTCGTCCATCGGTCTCGGCGTCAACCTCGTCGACCCAGCTCTCCAACAGTTTGCCGTGACCCAGCCCGACTTCTCGACATATGACGCGAATGCCGGCAGCTTCATGAGCAACCAGCAACCTGCCCCGCAGTCCTTCTCTCAGCCAGGCCTCACGAACCCCTCTGCCGTAACGACGTTCGACTTGACTCAAGACTTTAGCGGTCAAGTCAAGGCCGAGACTTCCCCCTTCGGCCCACCCAGCCCCGGAAGTTTCCCGTCACAGTCTCAACAGCAGCAGCAACCCGGCCTCCTCGCGCCGACCTTCGGTGACGGCGACTTTACCATTTTCCCGCCTACCGCGGGCGAGCCACAGTTCAACACCCCACTTTTTAGCAACGACGGTCAGCAACAGCTTTCCGTTCCAGAACCCAACATGATGGCTCAGGCAAACCATACACCGACCCCCCCTCACCTCCTCAACCCCGACCCGCAGCAGCCGGGCTCCGCGAATCATTCCCCCCGCTTCAACCAGCATCAGTTTTCCTCCCCGCCTGGGAGGCACTCTAGGAATGTTTCTCTCGGCCCCGAGGCGGCACTCCTGCCGGGGCAGCTGGACTGGACTCACGCGGGGCCTCAGTTTCAAGGACACAGGCGCAGCGCTTCCGAGTACTCGGAGGTCTCCTCGGCTGCGCCCTCTCCCAACCTCGTTAGCTCAGACACCTTTGAACACCTAGACCATCACCACTCCCCGATGCAACGGCCCCAAGACGCCGCGCTATATCAGGAGTTACACGGGATAGGCAGCTTTAGTATCTCGGACCCTGGCACTCACAGCCCAAGTCACGGTGGCGCAAGGAGCCCATCCCATAGTCCTGCCATATCGCCTCGTATACTTCCCCAGCAGCTACCTGATATGGGCCAGCAGGGAAGCTTCTTGCTACCGAACCAGAACAACGGCTTTGGTCCATCCTCGTACATGCACGATCCCCAGGAAGCGTTCCCTCAGCTCCAGGAGACGCCCGAGATGCAACAGGGAATGCCTGCCCCACCTTCCATCAACATTGACTTTGCGCCAACTGCTGTTCGGAGCGGTTTCGAGCAACCAAAGAGCCTTGATATAGATTCGCTTACGCCGCCAGAGCGAGGTACGTAAATCGGTTTCCGCGCGGTCTTGGCAACTCGTGGAACTAACCTCATCTTCAATAGGGCGCCAAAGGGTGCAACGACCCCGCGCTGTCACGGACCCTTACAACAGCAGCGCCGCGCTGTTGGGGACCCACCGCAGTGTTTCGGCGTCCGGGGGTCTCTCCCCCGATGCCGCCGCCGGCGCGCGGCCCGAAACATCCCGCTCACTTTCCCCTCTTGACCGCGGAGGCAGTACGGCGGCGAGCAGGAGGCGCCAATCCACTTCGGCCGTCCCGAATAATGTCATGGCGCTCCGTCTCGTCGATCCCGATTATAACGGCGGAGCCCAAGGGGAAGGTGGCGGAGGGAGCGCAAAGCGCGTGCAGAAACACCCGGCGACGTTCCAGTGTACCCTCTGCCCGAAACGGTTCACCCGAGCCTATAATCTACGCTCACACCTTCGGACACATACCGATGAGCGGCCGTTCGTGTGCACCGTCTGTGGCAAGGCATTCGCGCGGCAGCATGACCGAAAACGGCACGAAGGCCTTCACTCTGGTGAAAAGAAGTTCGTTTGCAAGGGAGAGCTCAAACGGGGTGGGCAGTGGGGTTGTGGCCGGAGGTTTGCCCGCGCCGATGCGCTTGGCCGTCATTTCCGGTCTGAGGCGGGCCGTATCTGCATTAAGCCGCTCCTCGACGAGGAGATATCTGAGCGGATGAGGCAGTGGGATGAGGATCAAAGACAGCAAGCTCAGCAAGCCATGGCTCAGGGTCTCGTCATGCAGCCGCAGGGCATGATGATGCCGCCTGGTATGGACCCCAACACCGGCGGCTACCCGATAGACGCCAGCGGCAATTATGCGCTACCGCAGGCGTTGCTGGCGCAGTATCCTGCTCTGGCGCAAATGAATTGGTCGGGCGCCGACATGGGCGGCGGTGGCAGCGGCATCGAGGACGAGCTGAGTGGCAGAAGCAGCTTCGACGCGAGTGACTACGACGGCGAGGACGATGGCGGTTATGTCAGCGGGCCCGGCACCGGCTTCGGTCAGGGTGGGATGCAAGAAAACTTCGGCGAAATGGGCTACGCCAGTGACTACGGCGGGCGCTGATGTTCTTTTCTGATGGCCGCTTTCTTGTCTTTTCTTCCCCATTTCTCTTTCTTCTTGGGCCTTTGGGCACCGTGCAGCGACCAGATTTCCTGGGTGCACTTTTGCATACGGAGGATCTTCTTCCCATTGTATGATGTTCATACGCTTTATACCTCTCTTGGTTTATACCTGTTTGCTAGGTGTGTGGCTTTAGTCTGGATGTGGATGGGGTTGTTGTTGATGACATTGATGATTCGGTTGGTATTTTATTCTCATGACGGTAGATAGGAGGTCAACGTATTGGGGACAGGCTTTGGACAATTTAGGAGGGCCGTCATCACGGCCCTGCCTCCGGATTCGAACTTTTGTAGACTGGATCGCGATGGTTAGACATAAATAAAGCCAGCGTTCGGCATTTCTTGTCGCTTTTCGGCTGCCATACACATGTATGCACATGTTATAAAGTGCGGCCCAGCTTCGAAAATCTTCTTGCAGGTGTCCGATGGGCTGGCCCGGCCAGCGCGCCGGAACCTGAAGAGCTCCGTATCCGAGCGGAACGTCGGCTCGGAACCTATTTCACAAGTTCAAACTGCACGGGTTGCATTTGTCAGCTCCCCGCTCAGGTACGAACCGACGATATAACCATGCCATCTTAGTTCGGGGCGATTGAAGCTCCCTCATCAAAGGTTTCGGGGAGCGAGCACTACCTGTGGAGTGATGAGGAAGTTCGAATCAGGCCGAACGAACCAACCGGCAACTAAGTTACTCGGTGACCATCCCTCGACAACGTTGATCCCAACACTATACCAAGACACTCAATTACTAATCTATCCGTTCGTCGGACACATGATAACCGTATACGACCAAATGTGGCGTATTGCGTGACGAGCGGGTCGCTGTGATGGAGAGCGGGGATGGTTAAGCCAAGTCGCCTACGAGGTACTCGCCTTCGGCTTTAGGTTGAGCCTGCAGTGTAAAGCGGGCCGGTCACACCTTATCTCCTACGTACACTACAGTGTTGACATCATGGAGTGGGGTCTATAGTCCCTCGGAGGGTATAAAGGGAGGGTGCCTGTCCCATTGTTGGCCTCTACTGCTGGCCGGAGTCTCGACCACGTCCTCGATCCCATCTGCCAACGAAACAACGACAACTCCACGGACCTGCCCGTCACTAACAAAAGCATAGCCGTAATTGCGCCATGGCACCCCCTTCGCAGATCAATGCGGTGGTGATCATCAAACCCGGAACGGCTGAGGTCAAGACGGTACCCCTCCCAGAGCTTCCGGATGACTACATTCTCGTCCGCACCACGGCTGTGGCTCTCAACCCAACCGACTGGAAGCACATCGAAAGAGATGCAGATGCCGTGGGGGCCCGTGTAGGCTGTGATTACGCCGGCATCGTCGAGCAGGTCGGACCGAAGGTAAACAAGCCGTTTGCCAAGGGCGACCGTATCTGCGGTATCGCTCACGGTGCCAACTCGCTGCGGCTCGACAGCGGTGCTTTTGGGGACTACATCATCGTCAAAGGCGACTTGCAAATCAAGATCCCTGACAATCTCAGCAACGAGGAGGCCGCCACGCTGGGCGTCGCCATCAGCACAGTGGTAAGTTACCCCTGAGAAACCTCCAACCGAAACAACAAACCTATCCAGACAGCTAACCCCCTCCCAAGGGTCAAGGTCTCTATCAGGCCCTCCAGCTCCCCCTCCCGGGCACCCCCGAAGCCGCCTCTCCCAGCAACCCACCCACCGAGATCCTCATCTACGGCGGCAGCACCGCCACGGGGCTGGTCGGCATCCAGTTCGCCAAGCTATCGGGGTACCGCGTGGCGACGACGTGCTCGCCATCCAACTTCGAGTACGTCAAGGCGCTGGGGGCGGACGCGGCGTTCGACTACCGGTCGCCCACCGTCGTGGACGACATCAAGGCGTGGAGCCGCGACCCGGACGCGCTGACCCTGGCCTGGGACTGCATCGCCATTGACGGCGCCGCGGAGATCTGCGCCGCGGTGCTGAGCCGCTCCCGTTCGAGCCACTACCGCGCGCTGCTGAGCGTTGAGGATGAGGCGATCACGGCGGTGAATGAGAAGGTGGATAATGGGGCGACGCTGGGGTATACGATTCTGGGGGAGGAGATTAAAAAGGGGGGGAGGGATATCCCGGCGATTCCGGAGGATTATGAGTTTGGGAAGAAGTTCTGGGAGGTGTCGAGTGGGTTGTTGGCCGAGGGGAAGATTAAGCCTGCTAGGACGGATGTCAACCGCGGTGGGAAGGGCTTGGAGGGTGTGTTGGTGGGGTTGGAGGAGCTGAAGGCAGGGAAGGTCAGTGGCGTCAAGTTGGTGTATACTCTCTGAGCGGATCGTCGTCATAAGCGGCGGTAGAGAGGATGAGAAGAACAGGTGTGCCTGAAATGTATTTAGATCGCAAGCCATCAGACTCGGAGTGGTAGATTTGAATGAGAGCATAGGCTGTGGTTGAAGGGTATATCATGATGAATAATACATGGAACAGCACAAGTGAGAGAAACAAAAGTTCTGACAAACACATAGACCCTGCCCCCTGCCACGACTAAGGCCCTACGGGCTCAGACTAGGCATTGCCGCTTTGCTCTCCGCTCGGCTGCATGAGGTTTTTCACCACCTGCTCCAGAAGTTCCTGATGGGCACTCGAGAACCGCATCTTGACAAACGGTTTCACCAGGGCGCCACACTCGATGCTGGAAATATCGACCAGCTCGTAATCTCCGCTGTCGGGCCCCACGACCAGCCCAGGGCCGTCCGTAACCTCTCCTCGCCGTCTGACTTCGTAGCTGCTCCGCACCGTAACACCGCCCTGAGCGTGGGCGCAGCACCGGACGCCGTGCTCAAATCTCTGGAACGCGCACGGGATGGCCACCTCTTTAGTCGCCCAGGACCCGACGCCCGGGATGATGGGCACACGGTCGTAGACGACGTAGGCTTGTAGTTCCTGGCCGTCCTTGGGGAAAAAGGGGTCGTTCGCCACCTCATCCGGTTCCACAGGGCGCCGTTCGTATCGGTCAAGGTAGGGGTTTGGCTTGATCAGGGCTTCGTAGGTTTGGAGGGATGCGAGAACGGCGGCTGGTGGAAGCGAAGCCGGGATGGGCACCCGAGTGATAACGATGAAAGGCTCCGGCGGTGACATGATAATAGCTGGTGTGCGATTGTAATTGGCGATGATGTGACGGATCTTCCGGTGTAGAGGAATACAATGCTTGGCTCCGGAATATAAAGCTCAATGGGAGCTTGGGCGTCTTTGTCCAGGCGGCTTTGTTCTTTTTGCTCAGCTAGTGCCTTGATGAGTTGGGTCGGGTCGGGCCGGGTCAACGAGTGAAGAAAACTCGGGGCAGGTAGAAAAGCAGGGTTGAAACGTTGGGTGCGTGAAGTAACCTAGAAGGTCGAGTGTTTGACGGCAGTGGTTATCAGTGCGCTCACTACCAGCATGGAATGATGGAATGGAAGGTGCACGAGCAGCAAACGTGAGTTGGGGGATATCAGATGTGTGCACCAGAGTCAAATCCCCAAAAGTAGCATCTCATGTCATCAGGGGCATCCAGGCCAATGTTAGGACTGTTTGCTTCACGAGATGCCTCACTTTGGGACACGGGTGATATAAGACAGGATGTGGGAAGGCAGGTCCGTCCAATGTTTGGGGTGATGATGCCCTGGGATTGCCCCAATGGGCGCCCGGAGAGCGGGGCAAAAGACGGAACATCGAAGCCGTGCGCTGCTTCCCTCTTCACCAATCCTTCTACGACGAAAAGTTGAGCCCACGCTATGGCTGGCCGGAAACACACGGAGTCATCTGAAACAAGCTGCTGCTAATCGCGGCGTGGCTGAGAGGCACGAATACATGCTAAGTTGTCGACGTCTTTTCTTCCCCTTTCCTCGGCACTCGGGTCCCACCCGGCGGCGTCGAGTGCCTTCTTCCTTCATGCACACGCCCCCGCTGCAAGATGCCGACTGGGTCGCCAAAGACGCGTCAATGGGAGAAAAATTGCGCAGTTGAGCGGAGGGTTCTGGCCAGTCGCGTGTTGTTGTCTCGAAAACAACTTTATGGCGGTGAGGAAGCAGCACGCTCGTGGCATGCAAGCCAGAAACCACTTCAGCCCCGTTTGGGCGCCGACCGACCCCACCACGACCCCTGGTGGGGCAACTTAGAAGCTGGTGAAGACGCAACCTCCTCCGAACGAGCCTCGCAACAGACCACCTCAACTTGGTGGACCCTCAAACATACGAAATATCGGCCTCGGCATTGTGTTTAGGAATGGCTCAGGAACTCCGAAAGTGGGGCTTTTCGATGAAGCCAACATTATTAGCAGTGACGCAGCTTGCCGCAACCTCCCGCACTTTGGCCTACGGCAACAGTTCGTTCTCGCCCTGCGATGGCATTTTCACAGAAGGCCAGAAACAAACCACGACACCGTTACCCCTGCTGCACTTAGCACTGCCTGCACCTCTAACTCAACCTGGTTCGAGCAGATAACCAGTTGTACTTGTAGTCGACACCTTGTTGCGGGCGCGTGGCTGCCCAGTTTGCGACGTAGCAGTACCCGCTCCACCATACTCGAAGACGATTCGCGGAAGCAATACCCTGTTCTGCAGCTTCATACCAAATCGGGCCGCAGATGACAGTCATGGCCACGACGTCCGACATATCCTGTCGCCGGATGAGGTGCCAGCGAGATCATGAACTACCACTGCGTGGCCGGGGCAACCACCATCGTTGTTATGCCCGGGCTCTCCGCGCTGCTTCTTTCGTTAAGTGTTGCAAACCTCACTCTGCTCTCAAGGGGATCTATCGGGCGCGAACGCGGAAATAGGTCAGATAACGTTTACACAATAGACGAGATAACCGCTTTCCCAGGACCTTTACAATCCCGTGGCAGTTGCTCCTCCCTCGTGACCCAACGCACGTCCAGAGGGTGTGGAAGGGGGCCGCAGAAGTGTTGCAACGAGCCGGCTGTGGGGTAAGGCTGTCTAAGTGGAACTTACCCGGCGTGGATAAGGGTGAATGAAGTCTCATCCACAACAACGCCGCTCTCCATTTCAGCGAATATCCGGGCGTAAGAGCATGGAATACGCTGAAGATAATCTTATGTTGTGCTCGACGATACCATCCGGCCAGGGAATACCAGCAACATGGAGGATACTTGTGTCGGGAAAGTCTCCACATCACAGGCGCCCAAGTTCGGGACTGAGACGGACGGTACGTCCCATTCAGGATTGGATCCCCCATCCATCCCTGCAGCCGGCCAGCCAATGGAAACCCCTGGGCCCAGCCATCCACAAAAGTTTCTCGTCGCTGGGGGTGGTGACAGGGAGACAGGGACGCGAGCTTGCCGGTCTTTACCCCACATGACACACTCAGGAAGTGGGATGGCGGCAGGGATGAGGAGGGCGGGAAGCCTCGCGGTGAGGGATGGTTCTGAAGTGCCATCCGTCCGTCATCAAGCAACTCTTCCCTTAAGCAGCTCTCCACATCTATCTCGCATTTGTACGTGCGAAGTCGAGCACCGGTCATCCATCGGGACCCCTGCAGTGTTTCCGCCCGCTGCCGTCCCGCTGTCCCTGCTTGCAGGTCGCCAGGGAGGGGAGTGTGTGTGTCCGGCAGGGTGCTGTGTATTCTCGGCCGTGCATGAATGCCTCATTAGGTGACCTCCGCCTTTCTGTTTGACCATCGGGCCCTCGGCCACTCATGCGGCAGCTTTCTTTTTCACCTTCACCTGCTCTAGCTGCTCGAGGCAGCGGCAGCCGATTTGAATAGGACACACATCGGCGGTGTGGTCGCACGACACGGCCAGCCTTGAAACAACACGCCAATCCCCATCCGCCCGGTGCGTGTCTTGCCGGATCTTGCCCGACCATTGGTCCCAGTCACGCAGCCGTCTGCGGTGGCCGACGAATCTTTTCTGCAGCAAGGAGACAGTGTTCCCGAAAAGGGGCGCCATCTGATGAAGCGGTTTAAAAGATTTTGAGAAAAATCTTTCAGTGCTGCAGCAAACCGACGCAGCATCTACTTGGGTTCCGGCGGCGCTCCCTGGAGGAAGACAGGCATCGCGCGCGAACTTGGGAACGCCTGGCCTCACCTAGGGCTTCGTTCACCGCGGTCCAGTACATACATAACCGTGTTCGATTCACATCTGCCGGCTTTCAACCGCCAGAAGACTGCAGCACTACATGTGTGTTTGACAAGAGCTGGCTGGCCTTCCATCAATCCGTTCGACTACCGCGATGGCCACCCCCGAGATTTCAAATTTGTTCGAAACTCGGCCGGGCCGTTATGTTCATGGCTTTTTTGTAGCCAAGGGCTCGACGAGGAGGACTGGGTGGGAGGAGTGCGCCAGACGGCTCTCGGATAAGGCTAGTTTGGAAACAAGACTGAGCCTCATTGCGCAGAGTTGGGTTAAGCTATGCGCTCACCTCAAGGTAAGGATGGGGTGGTTTTCATGTCAAGCGCATTCGATTTTTTCTCTACTCCGGATTTCAAGCGTCTAGTCGCGACCAAGAACCAGCCAACACTGTTAGGTTCTAGTCAAGGCTCAGTCTCGGGGGAGACTCCACGACCGGGGCGAGTGAACGTGGACGAAAGATTTTTGTAAAGCTTCTATCCTCAGGACTGACAAATTCAACGCAGGCTGTGCAACCCCTAACCCGTGGCACCTCGGCCATCCCTGCGATCTCCCCGCAATGGGCTCGCCTTGCGCCCTTCGATGAGGAGGACCTCGACTCACCGTTCGAGACTCTCGCCGACCCAACCGACACTGGCGCATGCGCGTGTAGACGCCAGCCCCCGTCAAACAACCTTCCCAGCGTCGGGTCGGCGCCTATCGCGCATAGCCCGGATAGAAGACGCCGGAAGGGTGGCCTTCTCAACAACCCGTCGACCGGCCTTCGGATTGATTTTACAAGCGAGGAGGGCTTTCGACAGAATGCCAAGAAAAATAAGAAGAATAATGCGGCGAAAGCCAACAACAACAATAGCAACAAGAACAACAACGCGGACAATGGGGCGAAGAAGGAGGAAGACGCTGGCGAGACAAATAACGGCGACGCTAGCGGAAATGCCCCAGGCGGAGACGCTGGCGGTGGTGACGGGGGTGGAGGCGACGATAAGAAGGATGACGACAAGAAGGAGGAGGTAAAAGAGGAAGAGGCAAAAGAGGAGGCAAAAGAGGAGGCAAAAGAGGAGGCAAAAGAGGAGGAGAAGGAGGAAGAGAAAAAGGAGGAGGAGAAGAAGGAGGAAACCGAACCGATCGATGACTGGGGAGAGTTCACCGGGGCCAGCAAGAAGAAGAAGAAGAAAAAGGGTGCTGCTGTTATTGAACCTCCGCCTGTGCCGGACCCTCCAGCTGTGGTGGAAGAGAAGGCGGCGGATCCTGCGCCGCCCGCTGTCGAATCCGGACCGGGTGGCTTCCAGTCCTTCTCTGACATTAAGTTGGACGACAAACGCACTGCCGACGCTCAACCAAGCACCACCGGGACCAAATCTTCACCGTTTGGTGGGTGGGCCCCCACGAGTTTCCTCTCCAGTTGGGGGTTGGCCGGTTCGAGGTCTTCCGTTAAGGCCAAGGATTCAGTCGAAGATGTTACCTCGGATACCAAAACCAGTAAACCCCAAAAGGACGACAGTCCCAGCTTCTCCTTCAGTGCCACCGCCAACAAAGCGGGCGGGAACGGCCAGGAGATGAAACCTACCGACAACGAAGCCAACGACCTTGCTTTCTCCACGACGAAGACGAAGACGAAGAAGAAAAAGAAGGCGAGCGTCTGGGATGATCCAGAACCCGAGCCAGAACCCGCTGTTGAAGCCCCCGCCCCTGCTCCGGATCCGCCTGACGTGCTAGAAGAGGTTGACGGATTCTCCATATCGAGCAAGAAAAGCAAGAGCAAAAAAGAGCCTTCGATCGCCGAGGAAACCAACATCGAAGGCTTCAAAGGCTCTGACAGTGCATGGGAATTCTGGGGTGCTAAAAAGAAGACGAAACCTCCCGTTTTTCTTGACGAACCGAAGCCTTCCGAGCCAGAACCCGACCCCCAATTAGACCCTCCAGCAGGCCCCAAGACGACCGGCAGCGATGGTGCTGACAACGGCGCAGACCCTGAATGGGATTGGGGCGGTACCACGACCACGAAGAAGTCCAAGAAAAACAAAGGTAAGGTTGGAATTGCTGACGAGCCTCCCAAGGACCCCGAGCCGGAACCGATCCCAGAACCCGATCCTGCGCCAGATGGCACGGGTGACGACTTTTGGGGTAGCATTGGTACGAAGAAGAGCAAGAAGAAGAGTAAAATTTCGGAACCCGAACCGAAAATAGAACGGCAGCCTACCCCTGAACCGGAGCCTATCTGGGGTTTAAGCAAAAAGGACAAGAAGAGCAAGAAGAAGGCCGCCGCGGAGCCTGATCCGCCCAAGGCCCCAGAGCCTGAACCGGAGCCCGAGCCCGAGCCCGAGCCCGAGCCCGAGCCCGAACCAGAGACAGAGCCCGTGCCAGAGCCCGAACCTGAACCCGAACCCGAGCCTGAACCGGAGCCCGTGACGAAGTCATCGAAGAAAGAATCGAAGAAAGGGGAATCGAAGAAGGAGAAGAAAAAGAAGAGCAAGAAAAGCGATCCTGACCCCGAGCCCGAACCCGAGCCCAAGCCGGCGCCTGAGCCCGAAGCTGCACCCGAGCCAGAACCGGAACCGGCACCGGCACCAGAGCCCGATGAGCCAGCGGATGATGGTTTCTGGGGATTCTCGTCTAAGGAGAAGAAAAAGAAAAGTAAAAAGGAATCACAACCCGGCCCGGCGCCCGTCAAGGAGCCAGAGCCGGACCCGGCAGTAGCGCCCGAGAAGTCAACTGAAAGTTTCTGGGGGCTCGGTTCTAAGGAGAAGAAAAAGAAGAGTAAAAAAGAACCGCAGCCTGACCCAGAGCCAGAGCCAGAGCCAGAGCCAGAGCTAGAACCAGAGCCAGAGCCAGAGCCAGAGCCAGAACCAGAGCCAGAACCCGAAAAAGAGGAGAGCGACCCGTGGGGCTTGTCGACCTCAAAGAAAGAGAAGAAGAAGAAGAAGGGCATAGCCTCCGACCCAGACCCGGCGAAGAAACCAGAGGATGACTTCTTCGCCTTGATTAGTTCCTCGAAAAAGGACAAAAAGAAGAAAAAGGGGGAGGTTGTACAAGCGCCCGAGACGCCAGCGCCCGAGCCTCAAGCGCCCGAAACCAATGACAAAGATCTCATCGATATCGACAAACCGGCAGAATTGGACAAGACCGGTGGCTTTTTTAGTTCCTGGCTCACCGGGGGCGGGGGGGCGAAGGGCGCGGCGGATGAGAACCCGGCCGGGGAAGATGATGCTTGGGGATGGGGTACTGGTTCAAAAAAGGGTATGCAACACAGCACGGTTGTGGTCAACGCCTCTATGATTTTTGAACTACACTAACGCATGCATCTGCAGGGGACAAGAAGACCGAGGAGGAAGACGAGCAAGCCAGGATAGAAGAAGAGGAGAAAGCCCGGATAGAGGAAGAGGAGCGGCAGCAAAAAGAGGCTGAAGAGCAAGCCGCCAGGGACGTCGAGGATTCTGAGGCGGCTAGGGAGGAGGAGGAACTGGCAGCACTCAAGAGCAAGAAGAAAAAGAAGAAGGCCGACCGAGACGAAATCGACCGACTGACAGCTAGCATTAGGAGGCGGGCTGACGACAGAGCCGCACGTGAGGCCGAGCAGGCCGAGCAGGCTGAGCAGGAGAGGCAGAGAAAGGAAGAGGAGGATCTGGCTGCTCAGGAGGCTGCGGATAATGCGAACCGTGATGCGGAAGAGGCGGCCGAAAGGGAACGTCTGGAAGCAGAAGAAGCTGCGGCGGCAGCGGCAGCCGCGGAAGCCGAAGCCGAAGCCGAAGCGGTTGCAGCAGCAGAAGCGGCGGCGGAGGCAGCAGCAGCAGAAGCGGCGGCGGAGGCAGCAGCAGCAGAAGCGGCGGCGGAGGCAGCTGCAGCAGAAGCGGCAGAAGCGGCAGCAGCCGAAGCGGCGGTGGAAAAAGCAGCGGCGGAAAAAGCCGCGGCCGCAGCCGCAGTAGCCGCTGCAGAGGCCGAGGCAGCGTCTTCGAAAAAATCCAAGAAGACTAAGACTAAGGGTAAAGAGAAGGAGAAGGAAAAGGAGAAGGAAAAGGAGAAGGAAAAAATAAAAGAAAAGGAAAAAGAAAAGGAGAAGGAGAAGAAGGGGAAGAGCAAAGGCAAGGAAAAAGACAAAGGAAAAGAGAAGGGCAAAGCTGACGAGGACGACGAGTTTGGGGACGTCGATCTCACACCGGAACAGGTGGAGGAATTGTTGGCTGGTGACACCAAAGAGGCAGGCGGGGAGGAGGAGGAAAAGCAGACCATCTCGAGGGACGAGCCGGCTCCTGCGCCTGCGCCTGCTGACAACGCCTTCAGCTTTTGGGGGGCTGCCAAGAAGGGGACATCCAAGATCACAGCGCGGCTGAACCCGTGGCTCCCAGAGCCTGAACCTGAACCTGAGCCAGAGCCAGAGCCTGAGTCTGAGCCTGAGGCAGAGGATACCCCTCCCCAGGCAGACGTCCGGGAAATTGCGCATGCTGAGTCATCTGCCCGTCTGGGACCTATCGCCGCCGCCGCGATTGGGGCTGCCGCGACCGAGGTGTGGGATGACCCCGTCCCGGTCAAGTCGAGCAGGCCCAAGAAGGCTGTCGGCGGAAAGATCGCAGACCGCCTGCGCGCCTTTCAGGTAATTGACGACGAGCCTGAAGAAGACGAGCACCCCCAAGAAGACGAGCACCCAGAGGACGACGAGCCAGAAGACGCCGAGCCAGAAGACGTCGAGCCAGAAGACGCCGAGCCAATTGAGCCGCCATCTCCGCCCCCGCCACCACCGCCCCCGCCTGCTCCTGTCGCGGTGCCCGTGTCGCTGCCAAAAGAGAAGAAGAAAAGCTCCAAGAAGAGCAAGAGCAAAAACAAGGAGCAGGTCATCGACGTCGACACTTCCGCGTCTTACCCACCCCCTCCACCTCCGCCACCTCCCTTTATCCCTCCCCCGCCCAACTCCGGCTTGCCCGGTAGCTTCCCACTGAGCGAAGAGGAACATCACAACGACAACTACGGCTACCGTCGCCGCCACGACTACGGCCACGATGAAGATGAGATAGTCCAAGTTGTTGACATGTCAGCCCCAAAGAGGAGCAAAAAGTCCAAGAGGGCCAAGGCTTCCCCTGAATTCATCGACCTTCCTCCACCGCCGCCGGCGGTTCCTGATCCACCGTCTCCCGCAGTTCCCGATTCACCACCGATGATGACACCAGCTACAGTCCGCATGGCTAAAAAGGAGCGGCCCAGGGTCAATCGTGAGGGCTCGTCATCGTGGAATGCATGGACGGCGGCTCCAGATAAGGATCCGAAGCCCCCCTCTAGGCCGAGGCCGGAGAGGGAGCCCAGTTCCAGAAAAAGGTCATCCGCGGAGAAGGCCGAGAAAGTCGAGAAGCCACCATCGCGAGGCTCCGGCTCAGAGGGGACAGATAAGCCAAGGGCCAGAGACCACCCGGCACGGTTCGCTAGCGTTTTCGCGAGTACTCCGCCACTGTCCCGCCCGATTTCTAACCGGGAAAAGCGCTCCAGCAAGCCGAGTTCACGCAGGCACTCAATCGACATAGACGGCGGCCTGGCGAGCCCGCCTCCGGAGGAGATGTCAGCTAAAGCCGCCAAGGTTCTCGGTGTTGGCACCGGTCCCGGCCTTTCGCGGTCGGGTAGCAGGCGAAGCAGGAAGGAAGAGGACGATGACATTGTGGTGGTTGGCGCCGACGATATCATACCTGGTCCCGACAGAGCTGAACGCAGAAGGCAAAGGGTAAGTCGAGTTCTTTCATCACAACGGACTTCCTACGAGGAACAGAAAGCTAACGCCGCCCCGCGCCAGCAATATTCACGAGAGGATGACGTTGTCATGGTGGATGCGGCCGATGCGGCACCGCGGTCCCCCCTGAAACGTTCCAACTCGACTGCCAAAAAGTCAGCCTTCTCGTCCTTGTTCGGGGGCGTCTTTAAAGGAGATAAAGCAGATCCGCGTATAGAGCCGCGCGCCGAACCCCGTCGCCGTGGTACCTATCCCACCACAGACGAAGAAGGAGGTAGGCGCGGCGGCGAGGAGACCGACGCGGAGCGAGAGGCTCGCCGCGCTGCTCGCCGCAACCGCCGGGCCGAGAAAGAAGCCGCAGAGCGGGCTGCGGTAGAACAAGCCGCCGAGGAGGCCCGCCGCGCTAAGGACGAGGCCCGTCGCGACCGACGCAAGAGACAAGTGGATGACGACGAGGTTCGTCGACAGGAAGAGAAAGAGGCCCGCCGCGCCGAGAGACGGGCGCAGCGTGCACAGGAGGATGCTGAGCGCCAGGCTGCCGAACTTAAAGAAGCCGAGCGCGCCGAGCGCAGACGGCGGCGCGCCGAGATGGACGCGGCTGAGGTGGAGGCGGATGCCCGCCGTGCCGCTAAACATCATGAACGTCGCCGCAGTTACCAACCCGAGGAGTCCAGTTACGATGACGACGAAGAACGCCGCCGTCGCCGGGAAGCCCGCCGCGCAGCGAAGGAAGGAAGGGAGCGCGAGGAACGACCGTCCCGGCGCAGGCCCGAGGTACCCGAGCATCCAGTCTACCCCGGAGCATCTCGCGAGAATAACGGTGCCTCCTGGCCGCACTCGGGCACGTCGTCCTGGGTCAAAGAGCACTCCGACGCCCCACCACCTCCGCCCAACGGCGAAGCCGCAGCGCCCCCTCCGGCGCCCGAGCCCGAAATGGTCGACGACGACGAAGAGGCACGTCGGGAAGCCCGCCGAGCAAGACGCCAAGCCAAGTATGCCGAGGCGGCGGCGGGCATGACCCAGGAAGAGTATGACGAGGACAGGCGGCGGAGGAAACGGCGGGAGGAGAGGGAGCGGGACAAGTACCGCGACAGGGAAAGGGGTGCGGATGGCTACAGGGATAGGGAGAGGGAGAGGGACTTACAGGGACAACAGGGATGTCAGGGATATCAGGGACAGGGAGCGGCGCCCCTGTCTCGGATGGCAGCGACGGTCGGCGGGAACAGCCGACGAAATTCTGCCATGTTCATGGATGCCACGCCAAGAAGCTCCTGGTGGAAGAGGTTAACGGGAGGTGGATGAGTGATGACGATGATGGGTTTCATGGTTTCATGAGTGATGTTTCGGATAATGTTGGGTGGTTCGGTGCCGAAAGTTCCTTATGTCTCTGTCAGTTTCGTGTCGAGGGGGGGGGGGGGAGGGTTGCATATATGGTGGATGCAGGAGCATGGGTCGGTTGTCCTTTTAGTTTGATATCCCCTGCATCACGGCGGCGCTGGGTTGGGCGCTATGGTTGCCTGCTGGGATTTCTGGTCGACCTTGCCTGCCTTGCCTGCTATGGGGTTACTCTACCGTACTATCTTGTTTCTTTGAATTCAGTTATGATTGTTTTTAAGTCAGTTAGGCAAACATCACTGTTTGTTGTCTTATCCCAGGGTATTGTCTTATTCTATGGTGTTACCTTCTTGTCATTGAGTAGTTAAATCACCTTTGTCAACTGCTACTACGCTTCATCACATCTCTCTGATGTGTGAATAAGAAGAGAACTCTGTATGTATACTCATCCCTTCCTGGTTATGTACCTTTCGTTTTTGGGATGCTTACTACCCAATGATCACAAACCCTAGCTTTGGTCCCAACCTTGATACGAGTCTGCGGATAGCCGTTCTAGCGACCAACAACTCTTGCTCTTGGGGCTTTCATCTGCAGTCACCCTTCCTGCCCGCACCTTCCTGGCCTCCGCTGCCACCAAATAGTGACCCAAGCCTACATAGCGGCCAGTCTCGATCGGTCCGCACACACACACAAAGTCGGCCATGGTGCAGCGGCAGCAAGTTGGAGTAGAGTAGTAGTTAACTCGTCGCCCTTCCAAGGCGAAAACCCGGGTGCAGATCCCGGCTCCAGCAAGATCGGATTGTGGTAGAGGCGGTTATTTTTTGTCTTTATTGCTTCTTTTTATTATTCGCCTTCACTCATCAGCTAAACAATTATCTTCCACTGCTCATGACACCCAATTCTTCGTTCACTTTTCTTAAATTTTGCACCATAACGAGGCAAACCACGTAACAATACTGTCACCACTATCCATTGGCACCGAAACAGGGTTAGCAAAGGCAGCGTTGAAATGTGTCAATTGCTAGACCAGCATACTAGTTAGATAGTGGGTAGTTACACCTCACCATTAACCCCTGCGGAACAAGCCGCCATTTCCTTTTCTTTTGCCTTCAGATTCCGGACCCGCCTTTGCTCCCGCCAACGAGGTCCCCTGACAGTCAACACCCACAACACAGGCGAAAAGACAACAAGCACAAGCGCCCAGAAGGTATAGGTCCAGCCCCTCCCTAATGCCCTGAGCATGGATTCGATGACGGCTGTACCAGCTGCGCCAAACAGGCACCGCACCAGGTTATTCGCCGCTATGGCTGTTGCTGGGGCCTCCGGGTACAGATCGACCAGCAAGGTGTTAAGGATACCGAACGATCCCGTAACGCAGAGACCGATGACAAAGAGTAAGACAAGGGGGCCGGGCAGGGCGGCCCCGGCATTCAGAACCCAGCCGTAGCAGATGACTGCCGCAATGCCCGTGGACAACATGGGGAAGACGGGGAAAAGCCGGGCCTTCTCGATGGGGAAATTCCGTAGGTCGTCGCCCCGCTTGTAGTCGATTGTGAACCCGATCTTGTGGGCTATCCTGCGGTAGTTGGTGTCGAGGATGTAGCCCTGTAAAACGGCCGCCAGGCAACAACCCAAACCGTATGGCAGATAGCACAGCCCAATTTGTAAGTCGGTGAGGTGGTAAATGTCTGCAAACTCTGTGGACAAGGTAGCAGCAATGAGGATGAACACGAGATAAATCATGGTGTTGTAGGAGAGAAGGAGGGCTAAGTCCTTCTGAAGCACCACCCTCAGGGTATTGAGAGGGTTGGGAAAGCGCAGCTCCCTTTTAGGAGCGCCCGCCAAAGCATCCGCATCTTGTGGACTGCCCCGACGACGAAGGAAGTCGACGACGGTCCTGTTCCACCCTTGTGCAGGTACAGAGCCGTTCCCCACTACTTTTCTGCACGTCTCTGGCACCGCCAAGGTGTATGGTATGAGCCACACCGCAGAGTAGATGAGGCAGAACCAGAAGATGGCTCTCCAGCCCAGATATTCGGCCAGAATCCCACCGAGTACCGGGCTGAGCGCGGGTCCAACGTTGATACCCGCCCCGACGATGCCCATGTACTTTCCCCTTTCCGCGCTCACCGCAACGTCGGCCACCACGGCAAAGCACAACGACAGAGTCCCACTACTTCCAGCGCTCTGGAGCATACGCAGCACCAGCAGAGCCGCGTAATTGTTCTGAAGAGCAAGGCCAAGGTTGGCAAAGACATAGACGGAGAAGGAGATGATGAAAGCAGGCCTCCTCCCGGCCATGTCGCCGAAATCGCCGACGATCGTGGGAGCAATGGCCTGGAAGATCATGTACGTCGTCAGGGTCAAGTTGATGAGGTTGACCGACACGCCAAGATCGTCGGAAATGGAATTCAAGGCTGGGAAGTAGATGTTGGCTGTCATGGGCGAGACAAAGCTCGCACAGGCGGCCATGGCGATGATCCATCGTTTCGTTGGCTTTGAGAAAACGCTGTAGTCTGGGCCACTCGACGCTGGGTGGAGGGGCTCGGGGTCTGGTATGGTTGTGCTGCTCGTGCCTGATAGCTCGTTTCCGACGGTGCCACTGCCGGGAGTCCTATCTTCGATAGATAGGGGTGTTGGACGGCTTTCCGCCGGCTCGCCTAGGCTACTACCCTCTTGCTTCTCTCTTGACGAATCCTCATGAGAACCCATGATAATAAGTGTGATCGGGTTGAGGTCAGGACTGGTTTCTCACACCTTGTGGTTGGGAGGGTAGTGAGCAACAAGAGAAGCAGCCGAGACATCGCACCATCGTCCGTCTGCCTGAACAAACCAACGAGGACAACAACCTGCACCTGTGTGCTGGCGGGACCAACAGGAGAAACTGCACCATTTCAAGTACCACCCATGACACGCCCGAGTTGAGAAGTTCTTTTATTCCCGAGCAAACCGCGAGGAGCGTGGGGAATAAGCGGGACCTAATGGAAACAGGAACAGGGCCATGGTCACCGGGACATTTGTCGATTGGTACTAACAGCGTCGGCGTCATTGCGGTATCGGCCCCGGATGCATGAAATGCTCGGCTTCTTGCTCGGCGGCCGGGGCCGATACCGAGAATGACCCCCTGACAAGGGACACTGAGAATTGACCCAAATTGCTGCCATTGGATCAAGACTCGCAGGTTTAACGGGGAGAGATGGGACGACCTAGAAATCGTATAGGGACCTAGCTACGTGCGTAAAATCGGAGGCCATATAAACAGCTCAATGCACCGTGGGAGTCGAAAGTAGAAATCATCACGATATCTGTTTATTCGCGGCGGTTGGTGGATGTCGAAGGATGATGAATGAAGTGAGTGTCAAACAGGGTTTACAATTGGGTGGGTACCGGATGTCTCACCCCGGGCCTGGAAGTAACTGCCACAGGCTGTCCGCCACAAGCGGCCCGGCACTAGCCACTGAGTTGTCCAGTTCCGTCATCGACAATTAGACACGTTCGCTTCACAACTTCCACTTCGACCGGCTAACCCCAAGAATGGTACCGGCATGGCCGACCTGACAACGGCGTTCAACGCCCTCCTTAAGGGCCATGAGGCGCCTCCTACAAAGTCGTTTGGCATTGATACGGCCGACGAGTTTCTCAAGGAGGCGTATCGGATAGTACGTCCTCCTTGTTGGCTCAATGCTCCTTAATGCAGTCCGACTGACTGACATCCCGCGCCTCAGAACTCCCTCATCGCACGATTGCATTCCGAACTCCGCAATTTGCGTCAGGCGTACCTCTCGACTGCTCCTGCGCGCAAAACACACTTGCGGACCGCCGCATCCCGCTCTGCGCCTTCGCAGCATGCCGCTCTTACGGACCGAGACCGCGAGGAGATCGACGCCAATGCAAAGATGACCATCCGCGACCTCAATGCCCGTATTCGCGCTCTCGAAGATGCCGAGCAGCTCCGTCAAAATACCGAAACCGCCCTGCTCCGGAAACGATTGTCTCGCGGCTTCGGCGCTCTGGGGTCTTGGGCGGCCGGGGACGGGGCACGCAGTGAGCAAGCTACCCTCGAGGCCGCCGCTCGCCAGCTTGGAGCCCACAGAGAAAGTGTAATCTTGTTCTTGCGGGCGAGGCTGCAGGAGACAGCGCGGACACAGCAGCGCATGATGGAGACTCGCTTGACTAGGGAGATGGAGAAGAACAGGAGCGTCCTGGCGAAGGCTAGGGGGCCAGTCATGCCCATGGGGTTATACGGCGCCGCGAATCACGGCGCAGGGGAACTGCCAGCCGGAGCAATCTCGAATGGCACGGGGTTGTCGGTACAAGAAGAGGAAGAGAGGAAGAAGCCAGTGACGGACAACCTCACAGACGACCAGAAGCAACTATTTGAGAAGGGCAACCAGGACATGCTGAAGCATCTCGAGGGCACATTGGATAAAGTCAGGTCGGTTACATCCACTCGTGGCGCGTCACCCGCACATTGCTCTAACCTTGGGACAGGACGGCCGAGAGCTCTCTCATTGAGATTGCCGAACTCCAGAACATGCTCGTCAATAACCTCACTGCACAGTCGGCCCACATTGACCAGCTGGTTGCCGATTCGTTCGAGACCACCGAGGGCATCGGCAAAGGGAACAAAGAATTGAAGAAGAGCGTGGGCAAGGCTAGCCCGGCCCGCTACACCTTTTTTGCCGCGGCAGGATTATGCACCGTACTCGTTCTGTGGGATTTGGTCATATAGCGGACAATGTGTCTGTGTGCTTTCAAAGTGTCGGGGTGACCGTCGTGAATTTCCGCTTGAGATACCCCCTGAAGGAGCAAAGTTACTTGTCGTTTTGCAATCATCAGATAAGAATGGGAGATATGTGACTTGATGTGGAAAAGCGATTCGAGTTAGGGCCCTCTGTCATGTTCCTGGGATAACAAGACCCAAGGACCATCAATGTGGCTCGGCATGGTATTCAGAAAGTTTTACTGCTAGTTAGGCAGTTAGTTACATTTCACAAATGATTCACGGCAGACCCCTGTTTACTCTGTACGTGCATATGGAAATCATTTACGGCAACGCTGGGCCTGTGCTCTGTATTGTACGTTACCCCTAATTCGGCAGGTTGTAACGAGCTGGTCACTGTGTGGGGCAGGCATGAAATCCTGGAACCCGCAGCTCTTCCAAGATCGGACTCAAACCCGAGCGTCCTCGCACGGTGCCACCCTTCAGTGCGAGCTTCCCAAACGCGACCAGGGGCCGATCCCTTAACAAGGCATGGGGCTCCGTTACAGATCCTTCCAGTTGCTGCCTCCACCCCTTAACGCAGCAAGGTACCCGCTGCCTCCCGTTGCATCCGTTCCGCGCCAGGGTCGCAATTATACAGAGATTCGCTAAAGGCAAACTGGAGTTCCGCCCAACATTGGTTCCCCAGTCAGCAAATCGTAAACATTCATTCTTTTTATCCAGTCTCCTTTGTGCCGTGTGGATCCTGCCACCACATGCAGCTACCACGCGTTCGAAGAATCTCCTCCGACCCTGACTGCCACTCCCAACTCACGGACGACAAATGGACCGAGACGCGCCTGCGGGCCCGGCAGAGCCGGTCCGGCCCCAGGCTCCGGAGGGCAGCGCTGAACCCGCACAGGGCGGGGGCGACCGGGTGCTCGTCCTCTCCCCGGGGGTGACATTGACCCTCGGCCGGGATGCTCTGCTCATGTCTGGTATGGCGTCTGTGACAGATGAGCCGATTGCCATTGTTCAAAGCTAATGCTCACGTGTCCCTCCCTATGCAGGCCAACTCGCCACCAAATCTAGCCGTTCGTGTATACCATGTGCCGGGGCCCCAGGTGAGAACCTAAGGATGCCTAGTATGAGTTCTCGCTTCGCCGGCTGTTGCTGATACCGCACGCAGGGGCCAGTGGCACACCCGGCAGCATACCGTATTACAACATCCTTTGGGCAGAAGTCACTGGCGACCACAGGTGGCTCCTGATTGACTATGCAGGCCAGACGGGCCCGCATTCTCTCGAAGTTCGCAGTGCCAAGTTTGCCATCCCGGAGCTTGTTGCTGAGCAGACGCCCGCCGGCGTGGGCGACCAAGTGGCACCGTGGGTTGGCCGGCTTCTGGACCGCGCCTACGAAGGCTCAGCTCGCCGTAAGCGCGCCTGGGTGTTGGTAAACCCCCATGCTGGCCCCGGTGGTGCTGAGAAGATCTGGGAAAAAGAGGTGAAGCCCATCTTGGAAGCGGCCCGTATGCCCATCACCGCCGTGCGCACCGCCTACTCCGGTGAGGCCGTGACCCTAGCCCGCGACTTGAACATTGAGGATTATGACATTGCTATTCCCTGTTCGGGGGACGGCCTGCCACATGAAGTGTTCAACGGCCTCGCAAAGCGCCCGGATGCCCGCCGCGCGCTGTCCAAGATCGCCGTTTGCCATATCCCCTGCGGTTCCGGCAACGCCATGAGCTGCAATCTGTACGGTACCTACCGGCCAGCCCTGGCGGCCCTGGCTATTGTCAAGGGCGTACCGACGCCGCTGGACTTGGTCAGTGTCACTCACGGGGGCCAGCGCACCATTAGCTTCCTCAGCCAAGCCGTGGGGTTGATTGCAGAAGTTGATCTAGGGACTGAGAATATGCGGTGGATGGGTGCGACCCGCTTTACGGTCGGCTTTCTCATGTTAGCTCTACAGAAAAAGACGTACCCGTGCGATATTGCCGTCAAGGTCGAGATCGGTCATAAGGATGACGTCAAGAAACACTACCGGCAACAGGTTGCACTGAGGGAGGCTAAGGCCTCTAAGAAGGCTGACAAGCAATCCGAGATCTCGCCTCCTGCCCCTAGCGCTGCCGTCGACGATGGTGATATGGGACTTCCGCCTTTAAGATACGGCACTTCTGTGGACAAACTACCCGAAGGGTGGGAGCTCATCCCTCATGAAAAGCTCGGTAGTTTCTATTGTGGTAATGTAAGTTCTTCTTGGCCGGCGATGGCCAGCACTTCTCCTACCCTCCCACCCCTTCTTCATCTAGCTCTATCTAACGAAGACCTAGATGGCTTACATGGCACCCGACGCCAATTTCTTCCCAGCGGCTCTCTCAAACGACGGCCTAATGGACTTGATCACGAATGATGGCGATATCCCGCTCTTCAAATCCGTTGGCATGCAGCTGGGCGTCGAGTCCGGCCACTTTTTCGACAACCCCCTCGTATCTTATCGCAAGATCTCAGCGTATCGCATCATCCCGCGGAACCAGGAAAGGGGTTATATCAGCATTGATGGCGAGGCCATCAGCTTTGGGTCCTTCCAGGCCGAGATCCACCCGGGCCTCGGTATGACTCTATCCAAGAAATGCTATATGGCGAAGCGCCCGGTCCTCTCAATTGGGATACCGAGGCCTACTAGGACGAGCGGCTTTTGGCCTAACCCTCTTGTTAGGTATGTTGTGGGACCCACTGTTTCTTATCCGGTGCCTGGTGATACAGGCCACGGGATGTTTAGTTTGCCTGCCGTAGTGTACCATGTATTTATACCCCCTGAAAGCCGAGCGTGGGCGGTCTCATTTGTCCTTTTTCAGGCGGGCCTTTAGAAGGCGAGCGGCATTTGCGACGAGAGAAAACTACGCTTGAAGCATTTGGGGTGGGATCTAAATTGGGACCTTCTCCGTATTTGGCGCACACACTCGGTTAGGACGTATCATAGACCATCTATATTTGGTATGATGGGTTGGGTGTTTTTGTATCTCAAGCACGGATACTTCGCTAGTCCGGGCCAAATAGGCCAAACTAGTCGGGGAATCAAATATGCGCACAGTCTGTCCCGCTCAACGCCTTTCCTAGTCATCAAAACCGCCCCAATCGCCGCCATCGCCCTCGGCGTCCTCTGTACCATCGTCTACCTGCGCCTCGGATTCCGGTTTCCTGTTCCCGGGAAGACGCTCATCAGCCAACGACTCCTTTGACCTAACCCGCACAGCCGGACTGGTCGTCGCATCCTCTAGCGCATCGATCTGATCTGAGATTCTCTGGATGATCTGCCCCGCGTCCTTGTCATCCTCCTCCAGCAAGCCCGCCTTCTCCGCCCTCGTCAACCCAAATATCGAGAACGTGTAACCTTAGTCCTGCCGGAGGATCTTCTGCTCTATTTGGGCGCCATCCTCCTCTTTCGACGTCGGCAATCTGTTCTATCCGCGCCTCCTCTTCGAGCGCAAGCGGCCACTCTCCCAACAACACCACCAAGTCGTCCACTTTACTCGCATCCCAGTCGGAACCCTCTTTATTCCCCTTCTTCTTACTCCCCTCACTCCCGCTCCCCTTCCTCATCCACTTAAACCCCGCCCCAACGACCCGCCTAACGAGGAGCAGAAACTTCTCCATGCGCAGCACATCGATGCTAGTCCACTCGCGCGCCATGGTCGCCCAGAAGCCGCGCATCCAGGGCACGACGGCCTCGCGCGGGAGGACATAGATGAGGTCGGCCAGCTCGCTGCAGAGGTTCTGCTGGGGGATGGCGCGGTCGCACATCCACAGCGCGTAGAAGAGGCCCTTCCACAGCTTGAGCACGTCGAGCGGGGTGAGCGCGGACGCGACCTGGCGCGCGGAGAGGAAGGCGTGGAGGGAGGCGAGCGCCGAGGTGCGGATTTTGCGGTCTGAGGGCAGAGGTATCCGGTGTTAGTGGTTTTTCTTCATCGTGGCGACGGGGGGAGCGGCGGGGCACAACGGACCGCTCGAGGCGAGGTTCTTGATGAACGGCATGCTCCGTTCTTGGGACGCCATTGTGATTGCGCGGTTTCGGGCCCTTTCTGTCCAATACCGCAGATTCCTAATCAATTCGGGGTCTTAATGTGAAAGATGTGGTGGTATTCGAGGTTCTGAGCTTGAGAGGCCCTTGTCTTCGTCAATGAGATTGCATGCGCTGCTGAAATTCTGTCCGCCCGGCAGAAAAGACCCCCACCAATGTGGCGCGTTTGTCATGCTGGCTGAGGTGGCTTAGCGCTGGATGGCCGTTTCGGTTTCGGAGTTCTACGGCAATACCAAAGATAGTCCATAACCAACTGGTCCGAGAGAAACCCGAAGGACGCCGTATACATGTTACAGCCTTCGCAGTGCAGTGATACACACCCACACGCAGTCGACATGGATTCATTGCGACTTCCTTTGATTCGACCGTTAGGGAAAGGGAGTTGGACAGCGAAAGACCTCTTCGGCAAGGAAACTTTCAGAAAAGCCTTGGCATGCTGTCAGACACAGCAGCACCGAAGTTTCCATGCATCTCGTGCCCCTGACATCACGTAATTCCAGAGGGCATGGCACATCCAGCTTTTCCTCCTGACCTGTGTTAGCAGCAGATCATCTCCGCAACCATGGTCCACCACTCCAGCTACCCCAGAGCCCAGACATGGTCGGGGTGGTCTGACGCTCAGCTTCCCCGGTGTGCCGCAGAAGAAAGTTGCCTCGGCGTGGCTCGGTGCCCTCGGGCTTCACATGCACCCTGACGGCTATCAATTGAGCTCATGGCCCTGTTTTATCGAGTACAAACAAGCTAGGCTCCCACCTTTAACTCGCTTCTTCCAAAAAAAAAAAAAAAAAAAGAGACTTAGCAGGTTCTCGGAATATAACATCGATACCATTATTATATATTATTTGCTGTCTTACCCTGTGGTAACAAGATCCCTCTCGAACGCCGACTCCAGTTACACAAGAGGCTCGACGTTAGCCTAATCCGCAAGCACCACCATCAGACGACTCGTGCATGAATCGCGCAGCCCCTGGAATTCGGATCCCGTCATTTGTCGCCCTACGCTCGAAGCAACGGCCGCAGGCTCGCTAGTTAGCTAATTGTTAACTAATCACCGCAAGTGAGCGTTTTGTCTGTCCGCTGTCGGCTGTCGGACGACGGGTTGTGCTGCCTGTTCGGTCACTGGAGCGGTTACGGTGTTACTGTGCAGGGATAGAAGGAACGAGACCGGAAGAAGTCCCCAAAAGCCAGGCATTGAAAATGGCGTCCAAATCACCGCGCCGCACCACACCTCCCTTTTCATCGACCCTTCACTCCTCTCCCATCTCTCGGCTCCAGAGCATAGCAAACCACATGTCGCCGTCATCAATAACCAGCTTCCCCGCCGAGGCGGTCCCTCAGGCCCCCGAGGACCCCCTCTTTGGGTTGATGAGGGCTTATAAGGCTGATACGAGCCCGGACAAGGTTGATCTGGTACGTCAGCGCCCACATCGCACACCCCACTGTTCGTTTGCATTTTCGCGGAGCTGGGCTAACTTGTACGTCCTAGGGAATCGGCGCGTACCGCGATGACAACGCAAAACCCTGGGTTCTCCCCGTGGTCAAGAAGGTGCGCGACTTCCCTAATTGCTACCCATCCCGTCCCACCCGAAGAAGTTAAAAAAAAAAAAAAAAAACCCCAAGATTCCTCCAGCGGCCTTCGGCGGCTTGGGCCTGTGCAAATTACAGCCACTCGGCGCGTCTATCGTCAATTTACCCGCCCCGCCATCTCCAACTTCCAGAGCACATCGTGCCCCTCCCCCGCACAAATTGCCAAGCAAGCAAGCAACCAGCAAGCTAACAAGCACCCCCTGAACTCTAGGCCGATGAGATTTTGCGCAACGACCCAGAAGCCAACCACGAATACCTCCCAATCGCGGGCTTGGCGGCGCTGACTAGCAAAGCGGCCGAACTGCTGCTTGGAAAATCCGCCCCCGCCATCGCCGAGAAGCGCGCGGCATCGGTACAGACCATCTCCGGAACTGGCGCCGTGCACCTGGGAGCTCTCTTCTTGGCCAGGTTCTACAAGAGCCAGGGCGCCAACCGCACCGTCTACGTCAGCAACCCGACATGGGCAAACCACCACCAAATCTTCACCAATGTCGGCCTGCCGATTGCCACCTACCCTTACTTCAGCAAGGAGACCAAGGGGCTGGACTTTGATGGGATGAAGGCGACGCTTGAGCAGGCCCCAGATGGCAGCATCGTCCTGCTGCACGCCTGCGCGCACAACCCGACGGGCGTCGACCCGACCCCAGAAGCAGTGGGAGCGAGCTCCGCCCGCGCCTGTTGAAGGCCAAGAAAGCACTTCCCATTCTTCGACACAGGCCTAACAAGAGCATGCGCCTCAGGCGACCTTGAACCGGGACGCCGGCGCCATCCGTCTCTTCGTCGAGCAGGGCTTCGAGCTAGACATCGCGCAGTCCTTCGCCAAGAACTTCGGCCTCTACGGTCAACGCGCCGGCTGCTTCCACTACGTAGCGGCGCCGGCGGCTGACGCCGTCGAGACCACGACGCGCGAGGCCTCGCAGCTGGCCATCCTGCAGCGTTCCGAGATCAGCAACCCGCCCATCTACGGCGCGCGCATCGCTTCCATCGTCCTCAATGACCCCGCGCTGTTCGCCGAGTGGCAGGAGAAACTCCGCACCATGTCGGGCCGCATCATTGACATGCGCAAGAAGCTCCGGACCAAGCTCGAGGACTTGAAAATTTACGCCAGTAGACCACATCACCGACCAGATCGGCATGTTCAGCTTCACGGGGTCAGCGAGCCCCAGGTCCTCAAGCTGCGGACTGATTTCCACATCTACATGACGAAGAACGAGCGGATCAGCATGGCGTATTTGAACTCGAGGAATGTCGCCTACGTCGCCACAGCTGTGGATAAGGTGGTTCGGGAAGCCCAGTAGCTGGGATAATATCCGCTGCCGGTGTGTAGGAACCACGAGTCGAAAGCGGCTGGGAGACGGCCATTAGGACTACGGTGTAAGTGAGAATAGGTTCAAAAGTCTTCTCTTCCTTAGGCTTTCCATGGTCTTTTTCAAGGTTTCACGGCTATTTAGAGGCGAATCCAGCTCAACCTAGGCTTCATCGCGTGCCACCACCATGCCTGGTATGGGCATAGCTTGGGGAATGTGTATCCAAACAAATTGTGGTTATCAGGGGTGGTATGCCCTGCGTAATACCCTCTGCCCATCCAGTAACCGAGTAGAATTACCGGAAAGTTGATGGACAAGGGAGCCAAAGGGAATTTTTCCACGCAACTACTACTCCTGGCCATGCTACCCATCTAGTGGACCGTGCTGTTTCTTCTACCAAACCCTCCTTTTTTTTTTCTCCGAAAACAACATGATGCCATGACACCGACCCCTTAGCCCCTAACGGTAAACACCGAGAAACCGCCGAAGAACCGCTGTGGAACGGCAGACAGCTCGCAACCATTCGCCTCAGCTGATGGCCAGGGCGCAACAAGCTGGATGATAAAGCCTAAGCCCCAGGCACAGTAGCGAGCTCGGATTCGATGACTTCCTTCGCCTTGGGTGCCAGCGAATCGACGGCGCCCTCCAATGCCTTCCGCAGCCGAGCCGCCTGTTCTGAGACCTTGGGGTGATCCTTGTCAAGGGCAAGCGACGCCTTAAGGCAGCGCAAAGCCGGAAGGTATTTGTCTGGGAGCAAGCATTAGCAGACGCAGAGGGAGAAAAGGGCGGCCAAAACAGAGTTGACTTACTCCTGCGGATGTAGACCTCGAAACCGGCGATTTGGCCTTCAATGTTCTTCGGGCTGAACTGCAGCAAGTGCAGGAGAAACTTCATGGCGTCACCCAGAGGATCAGTTGTAGCGGCGAGCTTCACACCGTTCGGGTCCTCATCCTTCTTCTTCACCTCCTCGCCATCCTTGTTCTTCTGGGCACCGCCCTTATTAGGGTCCTGCTTGGCAGCCTTCTCAGCGGCCTCTCTCTCGGCCTTCTGGGCCTCTTTTCTGGCTTTCTTTGCTGCCTTCTTCTTTTCTGCGGCGGCGTCTTCACCATTTGTATGGCTGCCTTCCACACCGTTCGCTCCATTCTGTGGTTTGTCGTACATCGACAGGTAGAGGTTGACAGCGTCCAGAGCTGCCCGGAAGTAAAAAGGGTGCTCTCGTAGTTGGTCCTCCCAGCGAACGAGGTCAATGTATGCCCTGATCTGCCCCTTTCGGAGGGAGAAACTATGAAAGTCGAACTGATCCTCCTGCCAGATGTCGAAAATGTTGAAAATGGTGTGATAACGCTTGAGGGCCAGGCCGATATCGCCCCGCCGCTGCCACGCCTCACCGTCCTCGGTCAAAAACCAGATGCACTGCATGTCGGTCAAATCGACCAGGGGCCCTCCGACAGTCTCGGCCCGCGTGAACAAGCCCATTGTTGCCAATGCCTTCTCGTTCTCGTCGTTCCGTAGCTGGTACTTTGCGGCCTTGGAGTTGATGTAGCGATCTCTGGTGTCTAGAGAGCGGGCATGGTCCATCGCTTCGGCAGCCTTTGCGATCTCGCCCTGGTGTTTGAATATCCTGGCCTTCGTCATGTGGAAATCGACGTTCTTGGGGTCCAACTCGATGGCCTTTTCGACATATTCAGTGGCCTTGGAGAGGTCTCGTGACATGAAATAATTGTAGTGTTGCCCCAAAAAGTAGAGAGCCGCCCCCTCGCCCTTGGAGCTATCGCCATTCGCGGACGAGTTGCCGCGGTGCTCTTCCAAGTACTCCTCAGCCAAGATAGGCAAGGTCTCCTTTTTGAAGTTGTCCGAGTACAAATGCTTTAAGTTGGCGAAAGTTGAGGGAACCCCCTTGTCGAACATCAGAGTCAAGTACGCCTTGGCGGCTACGCGAAAGCTGTCGCCTACAGAAACAGTTAGCAATATCGTTCAGCGACCCAAGAATGTTCTCCATACCAGACAAGAAATCTAAAGGCAGGCGCTTCGCAGCATCGCAGCGAGGGCTTTTGGCGGCATACTCGTCATACACGGCCTTCAGAGCGGTTTCGTCATCCGCAGCGATACCGAGGGCGTCAACCAAGCCCTTGTAGTAGTCCGGGTGTTCGGAGTTCCTATCAAGCAACGCTCGGTATGCCTTTGCGGCATCCTCTTTCCGGCCCAGTTCAGCCAGGTAGCGGGCCCGAAGCTCCATTACGGCCAGTCGGTCAAGGCAGGCCTTGCATTCCGCCTCCAAGTGTTCCAAGGCCCGTTCAAAATCCCCCATTTCGGCAATGATCGAATTCTTGTACAGAAGTGCCTCCGAATTTTCAAGGTCGGTTCTCAGGGGCGCGGCCGTGACAGATTTCTCATAGGTGCTAAGAATATTCTCGGCCTGTTGAAGATTGCCATCTAGGTGGTATGCGATGGCAAGGGCTGTCCAGTTCTGGCGAAGTTGGGGTCTCGCCTTCAGCATCACCAATCTGCTCTGTATGTAGCCTGGGTAATCGCGCATCTGCACCTGGAGAACGGCTAGATCGCGTTGGATCTGGTGCGAATCGGGCTCGAGCTTCAGAGCGAATTTGTAGGCCTTGATGGCCTCGTCGAAGTTCTTGTTGGTGCGGTAGAGAATGCCGTAGACATGCCAGCAGATGTACGACTTCATGTCAATCGTTAGAGCATCCTTGGCTAGCCCAAAAGCCTCCTCTGTCTTGCCCTGAGCGTTGAGAATCAATGCCTTCATCGACATTGTATCTCCATGCTTCGGGTTCTTCTTCAAGATCTGTTCGGCAGCCTTCAAGCCGCGCTTGTATTGCTTGTCCTCATAATGGCGGATAACGGTACGGAAGAGGTTGGCCTCTCTCGTACTGAGTGTTTGCGGCATCGGGTCGGAATTGCGGGGTTGTGAGTGCGCAGAAGGGACCTCGAAGAGGCGACGGATACGGAACGAGGGAGCGTTGAAAATGCGATGAAAATTTTGAGGGAATCGAGTGTAGGTTGAATTCGGCGGTAGCCGTTGTGTCGCGGCGCTGATGTCAGAGTTGGAAGCTAGGGCTGCAACAGGTCGGAGACGCAGAAGCTGTGGTGTTGTGGTGGGCTGTGGGGTGAAGCCCTGCCTGCGGATGCAGATGTGGGCAGTAGGAGGTTGAGAGATTGTAGGTGTCCGGCCCTAATCCGTCAACCAGCTTATTTAGCGGAGAATACACACGCAATGTTCCTGTCGTTACCGTACACGGTGTTGTGGTCAAGTCGACGGTGGTGTTGCACTTGGTTTGCAGATGACGGGAGTGGATTGGGGTTGGATTCCATGGAGGCTTGGCAGGACAGAGCAATCAGCCCCACCATTTGGCCGGCCTCGGGGCACCTCGGGAGGAGCCCACATCCGCCACAAACCTCAAGGTCCGGGCCGGCTTGGCGTGCCGGCAGGGCGCATCAAGCATATGGAAGGCCGAGTATAAGATTGGAGATGGCTCTTCAGCGAAACTATATTTACAATATGTATGTAGCAAGAGATTAATAATCCGGAACAAGTTCGTGATAGGGCTTCTCCCTCGCTAGGTACTCGCATCGTACACATCGACAGCAAATTCGTCGTGGGGCGTCTTGAAATGCCGGTGCACGCCACCTCAGCGGCCCCCTTCTGACACTCCCCTCGCCCTCCGCCAGTTCTCTAGCGCTTGCTCCCGGCCCACGTGCGTCGAGTCGCCACACCTTCGTTGAATTATGTCCCATGTCCTGGACCGGACAATATTTTCTATCCCCATTTCTTGTCGTAGAATGAGGGATAGATGCTCGGTTCGGGGTTCCCGTGGGAAGAAACGTGCTGAGTAGGGGTCGAGTCTCTCGTCAATCACGCGCTCTCGGTTCTTCTCATTCTCCGCCTCCCTCAGCGCCCGGTCCGGTTCGTCAGGGTCTGGACTCGTAGCAACCACGGAGCAGTAGCTGAGAACATCGGATCTAGCTTGCCATGACGGAAAAAGAACCTTGTCTTTGAACGCATTGCACGCTTCCGCATCAATCTGATGCGAGAGGGGCCGCGGGCCAAGTCGCGACGTTGATGTTGGGTCGAATCCCGCCTTGGCCGGCATCTCCAGGGCATTTAAGTTTTGGTTTATGGTGTCATCGATGGAGCTTCGCGATAGCCGGAGAAAGTCTACAGCAAGACACAGTCAGCTAAATATCAGCACAATGCTCGGGTGATGAGCCCAAAGGCCGGGGTTGGGGTTCCATACCTCGGAGAGCAGACGTCGAGAAGCAAAGCTGAGGTGTTAGCGATGGTAAAGAGGAAGGCTGGGTCATGACGCCAGAACCTGAGTGCTTTGCGGCCTTTGCTGTTGTTACGGCGTCTCCCAACCGAGTCGCCGAATTTATCCACAAAATGCCCGCCACCGTGTCGAATTTTAGGATCACTTCCCAGATATGTAAAAAGGGGTTTGTCCGCTCTGCGCAGTACGACCCTCGCCTTTCACTAGAATTCGCTGGGGCAGTTGTCAGGCTAAGTTTACCTCCGTATGTGAAGATTGGACTCCAAGACAGTGGCGTCATTCTTCGCTGGATGGATGGATGGAATTTATTTCGCCCGGAGGCACTGGGCCTATAGGGCCTTAGCACGCTAACTACATCCGGATCAAATCGTTTTGCCTTTAACTCGTACAAGCCCCCTACTTTCTTGTCATTCTTCGCTTCGCCTAGTTATTCCCAAGGGAGCAAACAAGCCGGGTCACGTGGCAGCGGTACACCATGGATTGTGCATGATGTTTATCTCCGCAACACAAAGCTGCAATACTTCAACTCAACACAGGTCGTGACCAGAGCAGAATGTGTGTGTGTAATGATCAGAACTTGAGCCGCTAAATATTGGACAAGCAATTAGTCGCTTGATGCCCATGGTTAGAAAGCTCTCTTCCTTGGTGCGGAGGCAGGTCGGCCACAGACAACATCTCAAGACGTATAATCGGAGCAAGCCACTCCCCTGCGGCTGAGGCGCCAATCCATACCCCGATCGTTACATACCTATAGACCGAAGATCATGCTAAACGGATGGAATTCAGAGTAGACATTGGCTCAAGAACGACGAGCTAGACGGCCGACGTTCAAAAAAGCTCATAGGGAAAGAGTAGGTGTTGAAGTCGGACAGTCGAAAAATGGACCTCAGTGAGGGTGGGAGAAGCCAGGGTGTCTTCTGACGAACCAGCAATCGAGTGGTTAGGCTCAGGCACCAAACTCTGTGTCATCAGCGGCCACACGGGTGTGCACGGCCGACGGCAAGACGCTTCGGCAATGCTCGGGAGCGTCAGATCCATGTCTTCACTCATCGGGCAGTGCTGGCTTGACAACCAAATGCTTTGGGCGCAGAGAGAGCCTCATGAGTGTTGAACTGTTCAACTCAACGGCATCGGACACGGTACAAACGAAAGCTACGTCGGCCACACTACGGCGAAGGATGCTGTCAAACGCATGCGCCGAGAAGGCTGCTTGGCGTTGTCGTGTTGCAGGAGGGGCCGGCCCGCAAAGCCGGATCGGCCAAACCTGGGTCCCACCGCAGTCCCCTGCAAAGCTGCCCAGGAATATTGTGTCCGGTTTCCAGATCTCGACGATTGCTCCGAGTTGCTTCTGGTGCATACATGCCTGGGCTCCGCCCGTGCGTGCGGTGAGCAGAGGTTCCAGAAGGCCAGGGAGCGTCGCATCGTCGGTTCAGCAAAGCAAGCCACCCTTCATTCCAAAGTTCGATTCCCGTCGCCTATGCACGAGACTGAAATGGGACGACGAAGCGCGCCTTGGCGGGCCTCAACCTAACATGGAGGGAGATCCCCGAGCAGCCAGAGTTGCGATGGCTGGGCAGCCATTAAAGCCTAAACTGCCACATGGAAATCAGCCAAAACCGAGCAATTTGTCCGATAGCCCTAAACCCTGGATGAACGAGCGGGAACCGCTTCCATCCCGCGTTGCAATTCCTTGGGCGCTTCCCATCCGCCGGGGAACGGCGTCGTGGATGGAAAACGAGGATAAATGGCCGCCGGTGATGCGGCCCTCGCTCAGCGGAGGCAGCTCAGGGGTGCAAAGCCTCTGATCTGTGCACTTGTGCCGCATAACTAACAGGGGGCTGAAGAGTGTTGGGTGTGCCCATCGTCAGGACTCTATGTAACGTTGAATACCAGGTACAACCTGCGGAAACAGATTGCATCTTGCACCGACAAGCCTCCCTGCAGAACTGAGGCGCAGCTATGTTGTTGGACCGCGGCGACCATAACAGGGCCGTCTGTGGAGGTTGCCGCCGTTCGACGGCCGGTCCGGTTGTACGTGAAGTGGGGGAGGTAACAGCGGCGATGGTCGCCGCCGCACCCCACCATCAAACCCAGCGTGTTTGTCCATCGGCGGTGGTCGGGCAAATCAACCGCCGCGGCCTTGCCGCCAACGAGGTGTGCGTGCCCCTCTGTTTCATGCTCAGCTCGCCGTCTGGGCCAGAAGGGGACAAAGGGCGAGCTTGGGTACTTGGGCACGCGATCTGGGCGACCAGCCTCACGGCCATGGCAAACAACAAACCGGGGGATGGGCGTTAGATCGGGGCTTTTCTCTCGGGCATAAGCGATACTGCAAGTCAACCTGTTTCATCTGGGTTAAACGGATCATGGCACAAACGGGGGCTAGGGAAAATCCTGGTCATCTTGCAGGTCAAATCTCGGAGCATCTGTCTCCAAGCCTTCCTATGGGCCATCCACGGACCGGTCAAGATGGCGATCGGGAGTGACTGGCCGGGCGGACCGGCGCTTGTGATCGATACCAGGTCCGCGCGGCACTTGACAGACGACCCAAGCCGCCCACCCCCATGATAAGCGAACTCTTTAACGAGCTGCTGCTGCGTGGAGGGAGCCGCCTCCGAGTCGACAAGTCCAAAAGCATCACAACGTGCCGACACTCGTCGAAGGTGACAAACCAATCGGTGAAAGGGAGCAAGACCCGTCTCTTATGGGGACCCCAGGCGCTTCCGATGACCTCGGGGCCGACCCCGTTGGTTGACTACTCCAGGAAATTGCTAGAGACGACGACTGGTGGAAGTACTAGTTGGCCCACGAAACAAGGAGCGCGGAGTGATCATCCGTGGATGCTCTGTACGTGCAAGGAGCCGATGCCCCAGAGTCGGACCCACCGTCCGCGGAGGAGAACAAGTCTCCCAGGAGAGCAGGCGTATGTGTGTACTTCGGAACATGTGGTCGAAAACTATCTTTGGTACCTACCTTGCCTGGGGCTGTCGTCAGGCCCACCTGGAGTCCGACCTGCGATGGACATACCGGTTTGCTAGTCCATGTCAAAACTAAACATATCGCGCACCAGGCTATATCAAGAAAAATCATGTTCTCCAGCGTTTTATTCCGTGCATCGATGGGTTTTGGGCTGTTCTTTTTTTTTTCTTCAGCAAAGTGGATGTTCCAACGAAGCTGCTGACGCACTGCCAGGTGCCTCGTCTCCGATTTAGTTCGGGCAAAAGCGAATGCCAGATTGGGGGCTGGTTAAAATCAGCATCACCGAGCTTCATCTGGTCCGTGCTTTCTCCCATCCCTCGCTCGTCTGGCCGGGTCCAAGCCGATCAGATTCTCGACTTACTTGTATGAAACTGTAGATTAGGTTACTAAGGCCAGGCAGCAAGGCATTCACTCCCAGGGTTAATCGTCTGTTCTTTTGTTGTTCATTGTAAAATTGTGTGGGTTTTCTCTAGCAAGGCACGGGCCATCGGCTGTGCCTGTGAATCCATCCCCTGGTCTCGGCTGGCTTCTCCAGCGATCCTCCAGATGACCCACTTCAGCTTCCACTTTTTCCCTCGCTCGCTTGTGCCCGTGTCGGCTCCAGCGAGGGGAAACGAAGGGGAGATAGCCGACCTTCTTGGGCATCTCGTCAATTGTCGATTCGCCCTTCATCCACTCTTCAACTCTAAACAGACACGGCTGGGCCCGACTGTTGAAAAGACTAGGGTTGCTCCGTACACATGTCACTAGTAAACGTCCGCTGAACCTTGGCCCCCCATGAATAGTTAAGTCACTCCCTCTTCATCTTCCATCATGCCTCTGCCGCCCCTCCGAAGATCCAGGCCCACTTCACTTTCCGTCCTCCCTCCTGGCATGGGGGGCTGAAATCAGACCAGACCACCCATGGGACCGCCCTTCGAGCGCCCGTTCCGGGCCGTGTCAAGGATCAAATTTTCGAGAGCCGTTAGGTGCAAGCTCGGGCGCGCAAATGCCCGCGTACATGCAAAACGACAGCCAGTCGATATCTGCATCCTCCTCATCTTCCTCGTCCATTAGCTCTTGGTATGGAAGATGTTCATGTCGGGGAATCCAGGGAGGCTAGGATCGTGCATGCGTGCCTGCGGGCCGGGGCCTCCTTAAAAAGCCCCGGCCAACAGTGGTGATGAGAACAGGGGGGTGGTCGAAGTGGCTGCGGGCCTGCGAGGAAGTTACCGGGAAGAGACACCGCGCCTGCACCCTCGCCAATCGAAGTACCTGACCCATGTATCCGTACCTTTTTGGACTTGTGCACACTGCACATCGTTGATGAATTTGAGGGAAGCAGCCACACCAACACCAGGCAGGTCAGTCCACAGGAAAGGCGGCCCCGGGTCGCGTCTCTCCCCTTGTCGCCTTTTTTTAGGGTCGTGGAATCGTGGCTCCATAAAAAAAACTAATTAAATTCCCAATCATGGCTCAACCCCCCGAAGCTGCCCCGTTGCGACCGCAGTCGTCTCGAGACTCGGCTCCTGCTCAGCCGCGTGTGCAGCCAACAAACCTTGACGCGCTTGTTGAGCAGACGCATCCTCGCGATCAGAACCAGCAACCGCACTTGCCACAGCACAAACAACAACTGCAGGAACAACATCCACACTATCATCAACACCAGTATCAACAACAGAACCAGCATTACCAGCCACAGCAGGCCCCATCGGGCACACATCCGCCTGGAGCACCGCAGTACAGCGACGCGACCAGCAACAGCAACAGCAGCGTTGCTCATTCCAACGGCAGTCGGGGCAGACGCAGCCCTAGCATTACCGACGAGAAATCCAAGGCGGATGGTACCTTGCCGGTTGACGCCAACCCAGACAATCACGCGTCGGTTGCAAGATCCATAGACCCAGCTTCAGGCGCCCACAGCCCCCTAAACGACACGCAACACAACGGCGGCGCGACAGGACCAGCGGCCCGTCCGGATATGTCCAACACACAACCGGGGCCCGGGCCCGCCCGGCAACCGGCAACATATGCGAGCCCGCCAACCTATCCTCAAGCTGGCATGTCACCTGTTTCGCACTACATGTACTCGTCACAACCAATTCCGTCCGACCCTTACCGGCCGAGCCCGACTACTCTCCCGAGCATGCGAACGCTCGACCACCGGCAGCCACAAGCACAACCGCAACACGGGATCCCGATGGGAGCACACATAGAGACGGAGCCCAGCAATGCCGGCACCCGCTTCCGCGCATATGGGTTACTATGGCGTCCACCCATCCCACATGTACGGGCTTCCTGATCCCAATGCAATGCGTTTCGCGCTTGCCCCTGGCATGGCCCACGATCCGCGCATTGCTTTGAGCGGGGGAAGACATAAAAAGGTACCAACACAGTGGCACCAACTTTCCGAATAATCCAACCGAAGGACTCTCGAATTGCTGACCATAGGCCTGGATTCTGGCCGATAGGAGATCAAGCGGCGGACAAAAACTGGGTGTCTAACCTGTCGCAAACGCAGGATAAAGGTATGTTTGTTTTTGCTCATCCCCTCTTGCCCTCCTTTTTTTTTAATCCTACTCCATTCGCATCGTCCTCGCCAAAACCCCGGCCCGCACGTCATCCAGATAAATTTGTTGGTCCCGTCAACCAAATAAGGACCATGTGCTAGGCGACTGCAGCTTGTGGTTGGGGGAGCAAACCAGCCGTTTGGTCGGTTTCACCCCAGGCGCTCGCTTGTGGTCGCTTCGCTGGCCAGATTACCTAACTGCAGCTTGGATTTGAGAAAGGCATCGGGACGAAGGAGCTCTTGAGCTTCTCCCCACCCACTTTTTTGTGACCTACCCATTCCCCTGCTGCCGCCACACACCCAGCTACCAGTTCGGCAAAACTCGACCAGCACCTTTTCATTGTTGACATTGCAAGCTCTAACGCACTTGTGTTGTCTTAGTGCGACGAAGCGCATCCAACTTGTAACAACTGCAAAAAGTCGAAACGCGAATGCCTAGGCTACGACCCCATTTTCAAACCGCAACAAGGCCCTGCAGCAATCCAACCAGCGCCGAGCACCCAACCCCCAGCACCCCCTCCGGCCTCCGTGCCCGCACCTGCCGTTCCGTCCTCCGGGCCGCATCCGTACCAAACGTCGTACCCCCCTCCTCTTCCTTCGAATATTATCCCCGAGCCCGCCCCATCTACGGCCCCGCAAATCATCAAGACCGAGCCCAGTTACGACTACTCAACTGCTATCGATCCGGCACTGCAAGGGTCCGACATTTCCGGCACACGGGCACCCCGATACCACCAGGAACAGCACGGCTACAGGCACGGGCCCAAGGAATTGGTGATTCGAACGATTTGCGAGGTGGCACCCCCCTCCTCTTCCATTCTGTCAGCTCTCTCTTCAACCTCCATCGCGAGAGATCATGTCCGCTCATACAATTTTATCCAGCAAAAGAAGATGAAGGTCGATGAGGCTTCTCGCTCTTAGCGACACGCCGCCCCAGGCATCGACTGCACCACTCGTCCCCCGAGATGCTCGTCGAGATTACGAAGTTGTATAACGAGGTCTACGCGCCGGGGCCTCTCCCTCTTCTTTGAGTCGCGATGGTACGAACTTCGCGAAACCCCGAGCGGACAACGGCCGAATCCTGCTTGCAGCCATTCTCCACAACAACCAGTCCTCTTGTTTCCCTCTTCACTTCGTTTTATCCAGACAATATCTAGAAATCGATAAGTACCAAGTTCTGTAGGATATGATCTCTTCTGGTCATCTCGAGTCGTCCGTTGTCTGGGCGCTCGCATGCCTTCCTCTCTCAATCCCATTCACCCCACGCCAGCAACATCCGGAACCAGCTCCCGCCGAAGACGAACTCGGGGAGGTACGCGGCCGTCTGCAGGTTTTCGAGGCACTCCTGTCGGGCGAAACACTCGCAGTCAACCCTCTCTCGCCGCCCCCTACTAGCAACGTCCACCCATTGCGAAGAAACGAGCTAGAGTTCTGGTATCATCTTGCCCAATATCTCCTCCAGGAAAATGCGTCTTCCTCGCCTGCGGGTGTGTCGAGCAGAGAGCATTCCTTGGGCGTGATGAGAGATCTATTGGATGGTCGGGAAAACCGCGATGTTCTTTACAGCATCGCGGTACTAAGAGAGTACACAGCGCACTGGGACGCCTCCTACAGCGAGCAAAACGTGCCCTCGCACCTGGAAGAATCGGATTCCCGGAGTAAGCTCGCTGTCGCGACAAGGTTCATTCGAGACGAGTCCAACGTGACTGGCGGAACAACCAACGTGGTCCGCCGATTCGCCCAGCTTGCTTACTCCGCGTTCGTCCGACCAGGCGCCAATGTGAATAGGAAAAATAACAGGAAATAAGGGCGGTGGCTCACCGAATGTACTTTTGAACATGGCGTTAGAGCGGAGCTGGTTGGCTCATTTTTATTATAGAGCAAGCTGGATTTATTTACATCTGCAGCTTGGGAACATCTCGCGTCGGGTTAGATATTTGACAGCATATTTTGCGTTGCTTGCACCGACATGGCTAGGCTTCGAGCCACTTGTACACTTATATAGAGAGGTCGCGCCGTGGTGTCTAACTTGGTGCTGTGTTGGTCAATGGGAGGGGAAGAGACCGCCCTGGAAGTGGCCGAGAATACCCCTCGTCCTCTACCGAAGTGACTCGCAATGCTATTTTTGATCAAGGGTTTCTGGCTTCCAACTCCCTCCCCAACGGGGCTTATAGCCGGCTGGTTCAAGGCTGTCCCCGTCCTGCTAATCACAACGACGCCTCAGGCCAACTAACCCGCTGGGCAAAGGCTATGGCCCGTAGCTACGGTCAAGAACTGACAGCATTTACGACATAGCATAATAGAAGTTCGTGGCCAAAAGCGAGCCGATTCCCATTGAAGGGCATGCCATTGACATCTTACCGATCCTATCGATGGGATGGCTGCTCCCCTCTATCCTCGCATATCTCGCTGCTCCGGGACCATACTTCGAAGCCGCCCCTCCTCGATAGCCATTCGGACGTTGCTGATAGCCCTAGAAAACTACGTCAGTTACCCGACCCCGTTTGCATGACGAATCAAGTGGGACTTACCACTCCTCCATCTTGGTTTCCGTTTCGACCGTCCAGGTGCCCATGTGCGGAACGAGGAGGACCCGGGGGTTGGAGAGCAGGCCAGGGTGAACAGAGGGCTCCTGCTCATAGACATCGAGGCCTGCCGAGCTGACTTGCCCCGAATCCAGAGCCTCCACAAGCGCCGCCTCGTCTATCACGGCGCCTCGTGCCGTGTTGACAATCACGATGCCCTTTTTCATCTTGGCGAACTCTTTTTGAGATATGATGTGCTGGGTATTTGCCTGCCATTGTGTCAGAGGCCTCGATACAAGAAAAGGGGGGGTGGGGGGGGTGGGTAGGGTTAAGGAGCTCGGGGTTACCCACATTCAGGGGCAGGTTCAAACTCAGGACATCACTCTCCGCCAACAGCTCCTCGAAGCCGACGTATTCCGCCCCGAGTTCCGTCTCGATGTCGGACTCTAGCCTCGTGCGGTTGTGGTATCGAATCTTCATGCCGAATGCCCGCGCTTTCGCCGCCATGTTACGGCCGATACCACCCATCCCAAGAACCCCGAGGACCTTGCCCTGGGGGTCGTGCCCCAGAGCCGGGAGGGTCGACCCCCGCCATTCCCCCGCTCGAATGGCCGCCATGCCCACGGCTAGGTTCCGGAGCGTGCCCAGGAGCAGAAAGATGCCAATATCAGCCGTCGCATCGTCGACGGCCGTCGGTGTGTTGGACACGCTGATGTTGTGGGTAGTGCAGGCATGGACGTCCACTTGGTCGTAGCCGGCGCCGTTGTGGCAGATGAAGCGGAGTGAGCCAGGGAGCGCGTCGAGGAGCTCGCCGTCAATCTTTCCCGTCACTTCGAAGCTGTCAAATGTGCGGTATGCTGCAACGCAGCCGTCGAATGCTCCCGATGCTGCCTCTTCCAGGAAAGTCAGCACGATTGGTTGACTTGGGTGTGAGGACGTCGGCAATCTCCTCGACGGAGGCCCAGGCTGAATGTGCGCTAAATCATGGCCTTAGTTAGTAATGTTCGAGTAAATGGAAGCTCTGACAATGTAAGAAGTTCGGGTTGTATGGGGGGGGAGGGGGGATGGTTGAAAATAAGGCTTCTAATTCTCCCACCGGCTCCCATTTACCCTCTGCCGTCAATTTTTCTAATTGACCCGGACAATCCTTTTTGTATTACACAACCTTGTGTCTGGGGGAGCGTAATATATCTTCCAACACGTGGGCTTGGATAAGAACGTACTCACTGTACAATGACACCCAGCCGCAGGACTTTGGGCCGGCTTCCGTCGTCTGCAGACATGCTGAGGGGTGGCTTTCAGATGCTTCTAAGCCTTCTTTTCATTCAGATCAGTTAGAAGTCGCCAGTGGCGTGGGAGTCATAACCTTCCGGTGTAGAAACGTCGTGTCTTGAAGACAACACTGTTGTGTGGAGCGGGTTGAAGATGGACCATGGCGCACACTGGATAAGCCCCCGCATCGGCCGGTATCACCACCGGTTGACGCACTGCGACTCCTCCACGTCGCGATGCCCGGGTGGGCCGACCAACAGCCCCAATTGGCTATGCCTTTTGCGACGGCCGGTTCAACCCGGCCGGCACCCGGCGAAGTGGTTGGTGAGAGAGATAACTAAGGTATTGTCGACGAGGACTAATCAGCGGTGACGGCAGGCGAATCCGGTCCCGCCGCTGTGGTCCTGCCTATGAAGTCCGGCTTTAACGCTCCGGACAACTTGGGATACATTTGCCGGACCCTGGGCCCGAACACACGAGAGCATAAGTCCAAGAGGAGATTCACAGCGTGGGTGAGCGACCATTGTCGCTATATATTCTATTGGGCCCCGGTTGACGGAGCCACTTGATCTTCTCTGTTTGCCCGAATTTAGAGAAGTGCTCCGGCGCACCAACGCGATAAGTTCTCTGTTAAACGCCGTCCGGTGGGTGTAGGTGGGATATCATGAGCCAAAGCCAACGCCGTACTTTTGTTGAAAATGTGTACCAGACCCCCTTTGCCTTTTACACCCCGCCTAAACCCAATGTACCATGCAAGTCATGCCTGTTGAAAAACAATGCCCCGAAACCCGTCCTAAACATGCCCAATGAGACGTGTCCAGGATGCAAATTGTTGAAGATCTATCGTAAAGAAAAAAGTCCGCATCACGCAGCGAGCTCTAGGCGCGCGAGCAGACACCGCTTGTGAAATTAGTAGCGGTAGCTACAATGCGTTAGCTACAATCACGATACGAGGCGGCTGAAGAGTAGTAGGGCGTGTAAAACGTACTGGTCGGTCTTGTAAGGGCCCTCAACATCCAGGCCGAGGTACTCAGCCTGAACGTTGGTCAGGGTAGTGAGCTCAACGTTGACGTGAGCCAAGTGGAGACGAGCAACCTCCTCATCGAGGATCTTGAGCAGGACGTAGACCTTGGTCTCAAGCTTGCCGCTCTTGCCAAACTCGACGTACTTCTTAGCGAACGCCTCGTCGTTGCTCTTGAAAAGCATGATCTGAGCCAGCACCTGATTGGTAAAGCTGCACGACATAACGAATGAGCTGTGGCCAGTGGCGCAGCCAAGGTTGACAAGGCGACCTTCGGCCAGCAGGATGATGTGGCGACCGCTCTTCATGAGGAAGCGGTCGACCTGGGGCTTGATGTTCTGAACGGATTGGGCGTTGGCCTTGAGCCAAGCGACATCGATCTCAACGTCGAAGTGGCCAATGTCTACCAGGTTGTTGGAGTTAGTATCTCTTAAGAAAAGGCAAGAATAGGGGAAGACAGAGAGAAAGGGGAGGGGGAGGGGGACTGCTAGGCCCAAGGTAACGAAAAAAAAAAAAAAAAAAACATACTGCAAACAATGGCGTCGTTGGGCATGGCCTCGAAGTGCTTGCCAACCAGGATATCGCGGCAGCCAGTGGTGGTGACAAAGATCTGGCCAACCTTGCTAGCCTTCTCCATGGTGGTCACCTCGTAACCAGCCATGGCGGCCTGGAGGGCGTTAATGGGATCAACCTCAGTGACGAGCACACGGGCGCCCATGTCGCGGAGAGCCACAGCACAGCCCTTGCCGACGTCGCCGAAGCCAGCAACAACGGCGATCTTGCCAGCAACCATAACGTCAGTGGCGCGCTTGATGCCGTCGACCAGCGACTCGCGGCAGCCGTAAAGGTTGTCGAACTTGGACTTGGTGACGGAGTCGTTGACGTTGATGGCAGGAACCAGCAGTTTGCCGTTCTTGAGCATGCGGTACAGGTGGTGGACACCTGTGGTCGTCTCCTCGGACACACCGTAGCAGTCCTTCAGCATCTCGGGGTACTTGGCGTGCACCAGCTGGGTCAGATCACCGCCGTCGTCGAGGATCAAGTTGAGCTTCTTGTCATCCTTGAAAGCAACGAGCTGCTGCTCCAAGCACCAGTTGTACTCCTCCTCAGTCTCGCCCTTCCAGGCAAAGACGGGAACGCCAGCCGCGGCAATGGCGGCGGCAGCGTGGTCCTGAGTGCTAAAGATGTTGCACGAGGACCATGTGACCTCAGCGCCGAGGGAAACAAGAGTCTCAATCAAGACAGCAGTCTGAATGGTCATGTGCAGGCAGCCAGCAATGCGGGCGCCCTTGAGCGGCTGGTCAGCGGCATACTTTTTGCGGATCGACATGAGACCAGGCATCTCATTCTCGGCCAACTCAATCTCCTTGCGCCCGAAGGCGGCGAGGGACAGGTCAGCGACCTTGAACTTGTGGGCAGGAGCAGACATTCTGGCGGTGAAAAAGGCGGTTTTGGGGTATCTGCTGGTCGTGAGAATGTCGGAGTAAAAGGAACAATTTCAAGTCGGGCGAGAGAGGAGTGGAGGGGTAGGAAATTATTCGAAAATGTGGGCGGGGCCCTGAGCCGACCTTTAAAGAGGGGTAGAGTTGGCGGGGTGAGGGGGAACTGCAAGGTAAAAATGGGTCCGGTTGAGTTTCCGTGGCCGAAGCAGAGCGGCAGTTCGTTTGTAGGCGACGCAGGACAAAAGGAGGGGCAGGTATGCAAGAAGCGGTGTCTAACGACCGTCAAGGTGCGAATTGAGCGTTTAGGAACAACGACCCATAATTACTTGTGGGGACAGCCGGTTTTGTTTTATTTCCTCTCCGAGTAGGAGATCAAATATTTCAGAGCCTACCTACCTTGTCAGAAACTAGAATGGGTAGTGAGAGAAAGCCCAAGTGAGACGGGCCGCGGAGTGAACAAGCGCGGGCACCGCCGAAAAACGGCGAAGGCCCGGTGCCCGCAGCCAGACATATCGGTGAAGAGGTGCAGGTCCGACCCCCCTCAATTAACCCCTTTTGGGCATGACCCCGCCGCTCACTTTCTCTCAACCTCCAATCGGGGTGTTAAATGCAGAAACGCAGCCGGGAGCCCAGTTTCGGCAGCCACGGCATCTTCCCCCCGTTGGATCCCGATTCCGAGTAACGATACTCTGTACTCCGGTCTGCCCGGGGATGAAGATTTAGGTAATCGACCCCAGAATTGGCGAGATCTACAGCCACAACACCGCTTCGTTGAATGGTTGCGGGTAGGTAGAAATCACTCATTGCGCCCCTTAGTAAACCTAGGACCGCAGGTTTCATTGTCTATGCCGCTGTCTCGTTTAAGCGAACCGACCTCCTCAGGCCAAATAACGCATATAATCCGAGGATAGGCATCATGGCTAGCCCGGAAACGAGTGTAAGCTAACAAACAAGCCCATAACCCGGAACGCCAGACCTAATGCACTCGAGATACCCCAGCCGTCGCGCCCACCCGCCGCATCTCCGCCGCCCACTTGATAGAAAACTCCGGTCACTCGGGCAGTAAGTTCCCCCTCACGGCGAACATCTTAGTGGTAATGCTCGCAGTGAAACCATCCACTTGCTTGCTGTACTGCTCAACTTGCCGAGCGTTGAGCATGCCCTCAAGCCGGCTGGGCTCCTGCGGGAGTTTGAAGAGTCTCTGCCACTCATCCTCAGGAAGGGGCTGTTGCTTTGCTGCTAAGCGCGCAGCATTCTCTGCCTTGCGCTTTGTTTGCCATTGTGTGATCTTGAATTGCTCACGGGTAAGCTGCCGCTGATAGTACTGGTGGTTGTTGAGATCGGAGTAGTGGGACTCGATGCTATCGAGCAACAAATCGCAGGTCTTCTCGAGGAAAGGATCGATCGAAAGATCCAGAGTGTCGAAGGATGGGTGCGCGGGCAGTTGAGCGGGATCGCGACGGATGTCTTCGAGCGAAGCCGGAAGCGGGATCTCGGCCGACTTTGGTGGGGCGGGGATTTGGTGCAGGAATGAGGTGAGGAGATGGGAGTTGTGGACAACCACAGGGACTTCGACGAGGATATCCCTAAATGTTAGTTTCGACTTCTGGAGGCTAATCGAGTCCGATTCAAGTCAGTGACAATGGCCAAAAGACACAGGGGCCGTGGTCCAAGAGTGCTCTGACCTTTCCGTTGTAAACTTCCCCTCCTTGAAAGCAGCCATGAACTCCGGCGACAACCTAAAAGCGCGTAGACTCAGGGCGCCCTGAGAACTTCTGCTGACATCGTGGACGAGCGCAACCGTCTTGTCATTGTCGCGCTGGTAATGGTGTTGGTTCTCGATGAAGCTAAGGTTGATGAAGTTCCCCATGGTCGCACTCGTGTACCAACCGACGTTGTTCGCATCCACATTAACCTCCTTAAGGTGTCTAATCATCTCGTTCTGGTAGGCGATGTTGGCTTTCGCGCGGGGAGCGGCCGCGGCAAGGCTAGTTGCGTCGGACTGGTGGCTGTCGGTGCCGGAGACGTCGACCGTGGGGAACGGGAAGGCATTTGTGATTTCGATAACTCCATTGTTGTCCATACCCACAATGGATCCCGTGGCGGTGGTCGGGAAGCTCGAGGAGCAGTGCTTCACAATCTTCATCACCACCTGGCACCACTGTTAGCGATGCGCCCAAGCACATGGCGGGGCACTTGGTCCTTGTCTGAAATTTGGCTGGGTACATACAAGTGACTCGACCTGCGCCGACTTGCACGGCACATCCTTTTGCGCGTCAGCCATGATTTCGAAAGGTGATTGCGCAATATCTCGAAGTATGGGGTTTCAGAAGCGAGCTCCGGCGAGGATCGTTGTCCGGTTGTTGAGGCTGCTGTCGAACTTTTGGGGGTTTCGGAAATCTCGTTCGTTTGTGGGCACCGAGCGCAAAAAAAGTGGCTTGCCAAACAAAAACGAGATGTGGCTAACTAGTGGTGTGGCGCAGCCGCGGGTGCCGCCGGTCCAACCCGCTGGAACAACCCGCAGGAACAACTAAATTGTACTTGTCGGAAGACGCACCCAGCGCCCTATCTGCGACTGTATCTTGGACTCAACAGAAAGACTCATGCAGATTGAAATTCGACATTCACGATGAGAACAGGTTCCTGTTCAATCCGTGCTCCCGGCTCTCGTAATTTCCAGCAAGACACAATCATGTGGTGCTTGCTCGAATAGGTACTAGCTAACGGTCACGAAATTCGAGCACGGGCTGATGATTCGACACCACCACAGCAACATCCCACGTTTCCCCCACGCCGCCGGGGCAGTGAGGCACGCGCCTTAAATTGACAACCACCCCGGACGCCACCGCGTGTCTCTAGTTCTCATTCAGTCCCTCTTCCTCGTCCACTTCGTGTACCGGGCTTTTCGTTCGGCAGATGGCCGACGCGACAACCCCTCGTTCAGCTCTTGAATGGGCTCAGTCCTGAACGCCGTCTTCATTTAACCCTATGCCTTCTATGGATATCGCCGCTGCTGCCGAAGGACCAAAACAAACCTCGCCGCCCCAAAAGGGCCAGGTGAACGGATCTCTCTATCTCTTTCTTCTTCCTCGGCCCCGCTCTCACTCATCCCAAGCCGTGATCGCCCAGTCCTTGACACCATCCTCGACGGTCAGCTTGAGGCGGTCTATTTTCCAGAAAGAATACAAGGACCGAGCAGCACCAGCCGCCTTGCGATGCGCCGGGCCAATACCTCCTTTCCTTGCGTCATCCTGAGATCTCCAGATGCAGGTCGCCAAGTTGCGGCCCTCGGCGTCGGGAGTCCCAAACCAATACCTGCCACAAGTGTTAGCAGAGTCTCCGGCCAGTTCTGGCCCTGATCAGACGTACTTCAAAAAGCCGCCGCTTGCGGTGGCCTCGGCATGAGCCGCCTTGTCAAGCGTACCGAGCTCAGCATACACCGTTGTCGGTGGTATGCGAGAACGGAAAGCAACCACGAAGAAGAAAGTCTTCCTCCAAGTATGGTTGAGCCTCCCGGCTAGCGCCCGGAGCGTTTCGATGACCTCCTCCCAGTTGAATGTTTGGACGTACGGCGCCGTGGCATAGTCCTGGCGTAGGCATTCCATCTTGGTCAAGGAAATGGCGAGAAGTTGGTTCTCGATATCGAGGGTTTCGAGATCTAGGAGGTGTTCCTGCTCATGGTATGGCGAGACAACAAGGTATCTATCCTGGCTGTGGTTTGGTACGGCAACCTTGGCCTTGGTTTCGGATACCACGACCGAGCTCTTCTTTGTCTCCAAGTCCCGAAACGTCTGGGCTTGCATCTCAGCCACGAGCACCGGCCCTTGCTGGACTGTCATGGTGGGTGGCGGCGGTCTCTAAAGGATCCTCAATAAAGTGTGGGCGGGCAAGGAAGGAGCAATTGTGATATCGTCAGCTTTGGTCCAACACCAACTGGCTTTTTTTGGTTTTTTTCCAGGAGCGAACAGACTTTTTGCTCAAGACAAATTGGAAGATTTGGGTACGGCAAATGGAAGGGGCAAGGCAGGCTCTTAAGGCTTTCAAAAGCGATGAGCAGTCACCCGCTGGTGACATGACGCGAGTAAATCACGAATCTCAACCATGCCTCCCGAGTTTCCCCTGGAAGGACCCGCCGACCGCTGCGAGGAAATGGCCTCCGGGCATGTTGCTGAAACCACGCGGATCGCGCCATCGGTTACAGGGGTGGTGTCATCGAAATCATCCCCGTCGCAACGCAGATTTACCGCAAAATTTGAAAGGCCAACAAGGGAACATGGCTGTTCGGCTGACCGCTCCGAGTCAGATTGTAAGCACAATCCAAGTTGGTGAAACTACTGTCAGTTGCCTCCTTTGGTGGATACTCACCGCCGACCGCGGGATGCCTGCATTCCCCGTCTCGGCTGGTGGGACAATCCTCCGGAGCTCGAGGCACGACTTCCAGATGGATGGAGACGTGGATACATTACCCGACCGGGAGCATAATATACTGTGTAAACGGAGGAAATCGATGTTCCTACGGATCCGGGGTGGCGATGATCTCAGCGATCTCGGCCGCACGCCTTGCCGTTTCACTATCATTGGACGCCGGAAGAGCAATGTAAGTGTTGGCGACACAAGAACAAAATGGAAATTCCATTCAACATTTGTCAAAACTTTCAGTCAAGCGTCGTTAGATCCTGTATTTCGGCGAGAAGCAATAGGTTTGCCAGCTTGCTCAGGTACAGCACCCTCCAACCCCCGATTCCCACCCCCGTTGTGTTCTCCCACCCAGCCATCGTGTAGGTTGCAAGCTCAGCAAAGCCAAGCGATCACCTATGGCAACCGATGCTTCAGCCAAACTTTTGTTAACTCGTACGAGCCCAGATAAAGCCCACTTCCGAGCGCTGCCCATGCCGCACGCAACGAGCCGCCTCGGAACAAACCTCGGATTCCGCTCTCGCGGAGGACAATCCTCACAATTTCTACCACGCCGCTCGGTCCCTGTGGGTCGTTTCTGTTTCCGAGCATCACCCTCGTTTTTACAACATCAGCCGGTGTCGTTATGGCTGCTGCAAAAGACCCAGAAATCGCCGCGGCACTCGCCGTTACCAGCCCTGTCTCGGCGAGGAGAGGGCGGAAGCTACTATCATGGGTTGCCACACTCATTCCGCCGTCCGTTGTTTCTGGGGTGGTCCATGAAGCCTTCTCAGAATGGTGACCCTGCCGCCGTTGCCTCCATATCCAAGCCCGAAGATATTCGAACGTAGGAAACTGAATTGCCGTATATGGCAAGTTTCGAGCAAGCAGCGTGGTGTATCCTCTCCACAGCGTCCGTGTCACGCCGGCCCCGTTGCGACGTAGCATGTGAAGGGCCTGTAAGGAGGACGATTGGCCGAGCGAAGACGATCCCGATCGTTGCAGTACCTGAGCGTTCTGTTTAATCACCTCGGCCGGCGTAAGAACAAGGCATGAGGCCATCTCAGCGCCGGCCGATGCGAAGGCATGGATGACGGGACCCGGAACTGCGTTGGGTAATATATGCCTGAGAAGAGGCTTAGTCGATTCGTAACTGGCGAAGAAGACGGCAGCTAGAGATTGGAAACGATAGCTTAGTCGACAACAGTGGCACTCGCGGCACACACGGGGTATGCCTCACCAGCAGGGAGGGTTGCGAGGACGACACTTCCAATCCCTTGATACAATCCTCTCAGGGCCGTGTATGGTGTTCCCTTCGTGGACGATAAATTATTCTTCAAACCAAGGTAGCCCTGGCTCTGATACCGAGTCTTAATTGTGTCCAATGGGTACACAAGCAGGTCTACCGTAAATGCCGCCACGGCACCGGCCTAGAAGCAGATAGTGGTCAGTGAAAGTGCAATCGGCGTAATATTCGACTACCCACCGCCAGTATTTCATGCTGCGCGTTGTCTCTCATGTCCTTATATTATTTTCAGTGACCGGCTGGCCAACGGCTGAGGTGTTGCAGGGTACATAGGCATAGAACATACCTACCTAGAGTTATTGCCGGGTAGGTGTTAATGGAGGACCAGTAGATTCTCGCCATTCCCCATGACGTCATTGCAGTGATGCTTGAGTCCATGTTGGAAACATGAACCCAATAATTAGAAGAGAAGAGGGAAAAACCCAATAAGAGGTATCGGCCGATTAAAGGTCGCGAATTCCGTTGTAGGTGGTCTTTCATTTACTTTTATAACTATGCACATTTCGACCGAACGAGCTTTCCGTCGTTGCCAACCCACATAATAACAGTATTGCCTTTTTTGTTTGATTCAGATCGATCTTATTAGTAAACCATGGAAGGTATTAATCCTTTTACACTGAGATCAAGTGGTAAATACGGTTTATCAACTGTGAGAGATATGAGACATATCCCATGGCGTGCAGGTATTTTTCTGTTCAGTCCCCCACAGTAGAAAAAACCATTTCAGCTCATGCGGTTCCAGTGTTAGTTGTATAATATATTACCTCGACATACATAGCGTAGCATGGTTACGTTCAGGCTGCTACTGAAGAAAAACCCCTTTCAGCTGATGCGTGCCAGTATTATTATATGTATCACCTCGATTGCAATACCGGTAGGCTTTCTCACCGAAGCTCTCTGTGGCTGTGCGTAAGTCCGTATTTGACACACCGATTTTGGATTCTCGACGTTGATTCGGCAGGATCACAACAGTGCCGTCGAGGTGCATGCATCCATCTGCAAAGGCCGCCCCAAGGCATTTTGCAAGGCATCAGAAGCGAACCATACAGGTGGATTTGCTACACACGGCGATTTGGAGCAATGCGCAGCCACCGCGTGCGGAGGTCTCAAGGCCTCCATCTTCTGTTTATGTCCAGTCGGGGAAGCCTGCTCCTGGCGTCGACGAGTCCTTCCAGCGCCAGGCTGATACCTTACGCTTCAGGTGAGACAATTGGATCGCAAGCCCGCCTTAATGGACCCTCTTTCAATCACAGCATCGACGGTGACGTTGATTCAAGTCGCCGGCACTGTAAGTATTCAATGTTGACGCCTGTTGCCGACTCGGGCTATCTGACACGACTGGACAAATTGCAGGTCGCGACGTCGCTCCAACGCTTTGTCCATTCTCTTAAGACGGCAGACTCGCGCATTACGGAACTCTGTAACGAGTTAGCCAGTCTAACGGCTTTTTTGGGAGCGGTGGAGCGTACACTAAAAGGTTGTCACCCCCTTGACACAACTCATGTGAACGAGGACTTATGGCACCAGAGTGAGCTATGCCTCGTGGATTGCCAAGTAACCCTCAACGAATTGGCTGTTTTAGTGGATAAGATCAAATGCAGCACCAGCACAAGAGCCTTCGGATGGAGATTTCGCGCCGTCGTAGATCTGAGCGCCTATGGTTCGGACATCGGTATATTCAGAGACAGGATTCACAAGTCCAATTGGGCTCTACAGACCCTGCTCCACACCGTCACCGTGTAAGAGATACTCTGCTGCTGTAAGGTCGGACTGGACTGATGTAGGACTAGGTCGCTCTCGCTCCGAAACAATGCTTCGCAGGATATGATTCTGTTTGAGCTCGATCGGCTCAAGGTTTCCATTGATGAGGCGCTTCTAGCATCCCGCCAACCACGCCATGGGTTCAACCACAATCCCTCTTCAGATTCGCGCGTCGCCCGTAACCTACGAAACCTCGCCGAAGCAGCCAGGCACTTCCACTCCGCCGCCAGCTCTACCGCAAGCACCATCCGTGACCACAGCGGTAGCTTGCTAGGTGATTTTCCTGCTCACCGCCGGGAACGCGTAGAAACTTTTATCAGAACTGCGGGTAGGCATGCTTCAGGCCACCAAACACCCTCCACAATAGTCTCGGCTCCAACAGACTCGGTATCGGTCGTAACTAGTTCCCGATCCCTCCGGGTTTCAACATCAGCCCCGCGATGGCCTATGGTCGAGGATGATGAAGACGACGAGGTGGAATTTGAGCAACATTTTCTAGACGGCCTCGAAGACCTTGCCAAGGACAGTATTCGACGCCGGGAGTTCGAGAAGGCGATTGGGTTCCTCACCGAGGCGATCCAGCGAAAAGAGAAAGCAAGCTCCGGCCAGGAGAATTTGCCGCGGCTCCAAACTCAGTTAGCCCTGTGCTACTTATTTGGGGACGATTGGAAGAAGGCTGAGCCGATCGTTTTTGGTTTAGCAAACCGCAAAGAGTCATTCTTGTGCCTGGGCCCGGTGGTCTGGACCATGCTCCACGCTCTGGCGCTCGCTTATCTATCGACTTACTCGTTCGACGACGCGTTGAAGATGTGCAAGAGGGCCTTCCACGCTCAGGGAAAATGGGCAAAGATTAAGAAGTTGGATCGGCGAGATGTCGCGGGCGGCGCAGAAACGACCGGCTTATTAGCCACCATCTTCCATATGGAGGGGGACTACATCGCCGCCGAAATTTACCGCCGCCAGCTACCAGGGAACTTTCTCTATAACCACTGTTCGGACCCTCGTGAGTTCCTCTCCAGCCAATACGATCTTCTGGAAGATGTGCTCGGAGACGACGTGCCAGATCCATGTGATTACAGTCCCTGCGATGGCCCGCTCAACATTCCGAAACTCTGGATAAACACACAACATTCTATGCGGGCCTCTCTACAGCGACCGACAACTGTACGCAAAACCTTCACCGTTAATGGTGGCGACTTGTCGCCCCTGAGAGCCCGACGCCGTCAATGGGAGAAGTTTGAGATGGATACAAGCAAGGAGGTCGTCGTTATTACTCCTGGCCCCATTGCCGGGACAGAAGACAAGGCCGCATCAACGGCTTCAGACAACCTGCGAGACACCACTATCACGAGTGGATTCCGAGAGAGAGCTACAAGGATGTTTGAGACGGGGCGTGGTCTGCACCGAGCGTGGCGTAGGTGGAGCGCGGAAACCGACTATGCAGCCTCTTCCACCCCGTCCCCAATCCGGCGGTGGTTGAAAGGAACCAGCATGCTTTCCGCGAAGCCAGTCAGGACCGTGCTTCGAAAGAGGCCTAATAACAACACGACGCCCGCTGTTCGCCCTCGGTGGGAGGGCCCCAAGACATTTCGGGGGTTGCCGATAAGCCGCCCCATCATTGCTGACTCGTCCGAGTGGTGCCCGACTTTCCGATTGCCAGTCGGGCATCCGGCGACCATCCTCGATGATGATCCCATCTCAGAGCCAGCTTGCGAAGGTCATCTTACATTAATGAATGTTGCGGATAATGAAGCAGGTATCGTCGCTTGTAGCGATGGCCCGTGTCCCGACACCATCCAGGCCCACGATTCCGAAGTCGAGCAGGCAGCCCCAGTGATATCCAAGGTCACTGAGCAACCTGTGACACACCATATCGCAAAGCCTTCCAAATCATCACGCCCAGTAGAGCTTTTTGGCACGCCGTCTTCTGCCACCAAGGAGAAGCGGGCTTTTTACCAAGCTGATTCTCTCGATGTACTCCGCGGCTATTTGTTGATCCCTCAGGAACAGGGCACTCATCCCAGCTGCGATACTGATGAGGTGTTGCGCTTGGATTCACCTACGCTGGACAGCTTTCCCGAGATTGCAACACCACAAAGTCGCCCTGGGCTTACAAGGAAACACTCTAACATACCTCGGACCACTTCATTCATCAAGAGAGCAAATGGGAATAATATTACCACGCAACCCAACCATCCGTCAAAGAAAGCGGGACCTACTTCTCACCGCGGCCGCAATCTGCCGGGACATGGATTCGCGCGAAGGCGGGCAAATCCCAAGCCTACCACGGCAGCTCTCTCGCAAGAAGAAACCGTGGCTCTCTCAAAGCTCGCAGACATCCTGGCATCTTTAGCAACTAGGGATGAGTTGGATGCGGACAAGCTCCATGAAATCAAACTGGAACTCGAAGCGCTGTCAGCAGACCTGAAGATATGGAATGCCGATTCTACCCTCCACTACGATCTGCAGACTGTTATCAAATCCCTTCCCGGCCATTCAAGAGGGTCTACCGCTTGGGACGAGTGGCAGGATTCTGGATACTCTTCAGGTTACGGGAGTAGCGAAACGCTGTCAAGTTCTGATGCGACGAGTCCTGGATCGGAGCATGCACCTCGGGAACCGAAACCACAACCGACAGACCACAAGAAGGACATAAAGCCGAAGCAGAAACAACCGAAACGGCGTCTTTCCTTGATGACGAGGAGTGGAGCTAGTGATCGGTCAACATTTATTTGGGCGGCTCTCCCAATTTCTACGCTGAGAGAGCCGGATTTGGGTAATTTCTTTTGAGAGTCTAGCAGTGATATTCGGTTACCACCAGTAAGGCGTAAATGAGGTAGGTAAGACTTCTTATTCGTTGCAGGTAAAGGGGTAGGACATCTATCCAGTGTGTAATTACTGGATATCTGGAAGAATCGAAGAAGGAGTGGTTCGATTTCACGTTATTTACTAGATATTTTAGACAGTTTCTCGAGTAACTAGCGACTAATTGCCATACCTGCTTTGTCTACGCAGACTCACCAGAACGCATCGTTCCATGATTGTTGGTATGGGTTTTTCACCCGGCCCGGGAGGGCACGGTTTTCCTGTACACTAAATAGCAAAGGGTCCGGCACGCCCTAGGGCATAGCGGAGTATGAATAATAATAATAATAATAATAATAATAATAATAATTAACAACAGGAAAACGGCCTTGAACGGGGAGGTCAGCCTCCTCGGCCACCTTGGTAAAATGAAGGCTACCTACCTTACCTAGAGAAGCGTAGATAATGTACATACTCGCAGAGGCAGAGGCAGGGTACGGAATGAAGATAACGAAGAGAGGGAAGAGGCCGAGAATAGGTACACACACACACACACAAGGTGTTGTTGTTGTTGTAGTCGCACAGGCTATCATACAACTTGCACTTGCTCCTTATTCGCCGGAGTGCCACTTCCATCCTTCAGTCCTGGGTTTGCCCCCCCGGTCCACCCAAACCAGCCCTTCTCCTTTGGCCCTCTTGATAACACGATCACGGTTGCCCCCGCAGAAAGGGCAATGTTCAACGTCCCAACTTGTGCCCACCCACCCCTGGCATACACCACGTTCCCCACACTCGTCCCAACAAGCTGCCCAATGAAAGCGCTAAAGGTGAACGTAACGTTGGCCTTGGTCGCCGGCAGCTCCCTGTACACGGCTGCCCGGTACGCGATGCTGGCCACATGGATCCCAAAGTCCACACCCACCGCTTGGATGATGGCGCCCCCGACACCAACACCGATCCGCTCGCCGGCGTACGCATCAAGCGCTACGGCCACAATACCGGGGACCATCCCCGCCACGGCCGCGATGTAGGTGGCAAAATTCTCGATGACGAGGTAGCTGTACAACGGAATAGCGGACGTGGTGGCGACAGCAACAAGCGAGACCAGGGCCGATTGACAGCGGCCCGAAGTTACGGGGCGCCGCGGCCAAGTGCGCCGTCAGCGTCGTCCAGAAGGCCGTCAGCACCGCGTTGGTTAGGAACGTCACAGCGCAGCCATGCGCGAGGATGGGTTTGGTGAAGACCATGCGGATGATGTCGAGCAGGACGCAGGTATACGTGCGAAACCAGGGCTGGTCCTCCTGGTGGTCTTGGTAGGGATTGGATTCGGGGCTGGCGTCCTGTTCGTAGCGGAGAAGCGGATAGTCCGGGAAGAACAGCCACATAGCGGCGACGAGCAGAACTTGGAGGCCCAGCGCAACCCGGTAGATGGTTCGCCAATCGGTATACTGTGTGATGATCCCCGTGATGACGCGGGGCACAGCAAGCCCCATCATCCCGCCGGCTAGGACGATAGAGACGGCCGTGGCCTGGCGGTCGGGAGCCATGATGGTGCCGACAAGCGGGAGCAGGAGCTGGGGGCTGACGGTGACGAAGCCGGTCAAGAAGCTGAGGGCCGTAAAAACTTGGAAGTTGTCCGTCAGACACAGACCAGCCCATGCTACCGTGGTGATGGTCAATAGTGTGAGGATCATGGGTCGGAGGCGGAAGACATCTCCCAGCGGGCAGAGCAGCAGAATGCCGCCACCGTAGCCTGCTTGTAGGAGCTGGGGGATGAGTGACACCCGCTCGTAGCTGACGCCCAAACTCATCGGCTGCTTTGTTGAGAACCGGGAAGGTGTAATAGAGATTGGCAGCTGAGACGACACCGGCGAACGAGCAAAGAAGTACGAGGGATGTGGACATGCTGGGCTTCTGGGTTAAATCCCGGCGGCAATGTCGTGGCGTCCATTTCTGACTTGATATAAATCTCTTCCAGGCACTTGGGCCTGGCCTTTCCGGTTGTGGGCTGGGTGAGGGAATGATGTGGTGGAACACATCCGCTTCTTTACCAGCGGAGGGCCCGGAGTCCTCACTTTCACTGCCGGCGTGGTGATGAGAGGTTACGATATGTGCGGAAGGCATGACGACGAACGGATGGGCGCTCCATGTTTACTTTGAACATCCAAACCCAACTTATAAGGTTGTTTGGACTGTCGCGCTCTGCGTGCGGCTCTACACAACACGACATCTGTCAAGTAGGCAATTCCGATTCCGGACGCAAGATTCCTGGTTGACTTTTAGCATACCCATCCCAGCTTCCGAGTGCTCGGCCGGTACCAGACACTCCGCCGAAGTATCTTCAGACCTGGATGATACCTATGGTCTTCGCTCATTCAACGCCCACGTAAGATGTGGGTATTGAAAGGGTGCCCCTGACGTTGCCAAGTCGGCAAGGGGCACTATGCCGAAGGAGGTGTCCTCGGCAAACTGACTTTCGCCGAAGTCAGTGGGGACTCGGCTCCTGATTGGAAAACAAGCTGCCATCATCAACAGTCGCTCCAACGGACGAAAAACAAATAACATTAAGTTCGCGGGAGTAAAGCCCGAGCACGCCGTGACCGCTTTTCCGGAGAAAGCACCGCCAACCTCCCCGGTTTCTCCAAGTGGCTCGGCGGTGTGAGCCGAGTAGAGAGGCCGAGCATAAGGCAAAGAGCTATCCATCCAGTCGTCCGAGGTCGGATCTAGTCCTGTTACCGTACAGGACTTGCCCGCCTCATCGAGAAGAAGACGATGGGCGATCGGAGAGAAACCTCGATACCAAAGATCAAATCGACGGCGTGTGTGGCAGGCCCTTCCTCTCTACATGCAACGGGCTTTGACATTGCTAACTCATTGGCGCTCCCAACCCGAGAGCAGCTGCCAGAGATGTCATTCTAGGAAGGTCAAATGTTCCGGAGGACGGACCTGTGCAAACTGCAGAAAAGCTTCTGTGGAATGCTCTTATCCCAGTCGCAATAGGCGTGTTCGGGTTAGCGAGAGGTTAGCGCCCCCTCTCCATGATTCCATCATTATCTTGCATGCCATCTTGGTTTGCTTACAACCAGGCCGCGGCAGCTATATCAGACAACTTGTAGCAGAGAACAAGCGTTTGCAGGCCCTAAATGATCGCCGAAATGAACCAACCCACCAGCCTCATGGTGCCGGCGAGAGCGAGACGGATGAAACACCCTCACCAGCCACCATTTCCGAAGCCTCCGCTCCATCAGTGTCCAGTCACGGGGTTCCCCTAGATGGTCAACCCTGGTTTGTCGATATCGACTTACCTCACACACCGACTCCTATCAACGAAGCCGCCGATACGGCATTCGCAACGAGGTTTCGGCAAGTGCTCTCTGATCATTCTGACTCTCCTTGCGTGCATCTTCCACACATCGACTACGCCGGTGATGATGCCATTATGTCGCTCGCCGATGTGCACTGCCCCGTGGCCCAAGCTTTCCCGTGCTCGCCTTCTCATAAGGGTAGCGATGACGCATGCCAACCAAGAGTTTCACATTGTCCGTCGTTCTGCCGTGTTGGACGCCCTGGAGAAGAGCTTTACAGACCCCAATTGGCGAGATCCTGTCATGACTTGCAAGTTGCGGGCACTTTTCGCTATGGGCGATCTCTCCTCCTCAGGGTTCGTCCCCGCGGGCCAACAATTTCCGGGTCTCAATCACTTTGCGCAAGCGACGAGGATTCTCAGTTACCTTGGTGAGCGACCGACTTTGGACTTGATCGAGATACACCTTCTACTGGTAGGTCGACGTTTTGAGATATCTTAGGACCAAGAGGTACCAGTACGTAAGTATATATATGGCGCTAATGATTTCGAGGGCCCAATAGTCCCTATATTCCTTTACCCTCAACCGTATCCACACAGCGTATACGCTAGCAGGCACGGCTGTTCGTATGGCTGTCCTCATGGGACTGCATTTGAACATTCCCGCGACCCAGCTCAGCGACCCAGTTTTCAGAGAACATCGCAACAGGGTGTGGTGGACAGCGTACATCATGGATCGAATGTGGGCTTCCAGACTCGGCTGCCCCCCCGCCATCCAAGATGAGGACGTCAAGGTCGACTTGCCCTCGAACCCGGCCACCAACGGGCGCTTGACGGAGGACTTTTCCGACTCTGGTTATTATGCCGCCCATGTGAGGTTGGCGAGCATCGCCACCAGCGTAGTTCAGTCTATTTATGGCAAAAGAAACCAAATAACGGCGTTCTTAAACAAGGTGCAGGAGCGGCTCAAAGAGCTCAAGGTCTGGGTTGAGGAGCTACCGCCTTACTTACACATGGACACGAGTCTGGTATCGAACCCCAACTACCACAACTACGACATCCTGTCGCTCCACTTGACCCTGAACCAGGTATGTGCTTGATTCCTCTGGGTAATAGATTCCCACAGCCAGATATTTACCACCAACTCCCTTCCAGACAATCATCCTGGCTACTCGCCCGACTCTCTTGTATGGCCTACGTCTGCACACTAGCACATCACCGCCCAAGCCAATTCCGCACTCGGCCAAGACGCTCATCGATGCCTGTATCCGCTGCGCTCGGCACTCATACCGCATTCTCTCCGAGAGTTGGATCAACGGGGCGTTCCCTGCGCTCTACCACGATCTCACCCAGTATCTCTTCTCGTCCCTCATCGTACTCGCCATCTCCAGCCTCTTGGATCATCACGACGACAGCGCCAATGCTAGCGACAGGGACGGGTTCGAAGATGCCGTGCAGTTATTGTCACGGGTGAGGGATAGCGGAAACATTCCCGCGCGGGAGTTCTACCGGCACGCCGAGCTCATTGTGGCGGCCGTCACGAAGGCCCGGAAGGGAAGGAGCCATGACTCGTCAGCCGAGGTGGACATGTGCGCGCAGATGGCTGCTCGCCCGGCAGGGGGGGGGACAGCGGACGCCCTTGATACTCCGCTCGGGCTTGGGCCAATGCAGGTGGGCGACTTGAGCAGGGAGGAACGCGGTGCGGCTGGACTGGGAATCATGATCGAGACGGGCGAGACGGCGCTGGCCGAGCCGTCTCTACAAGAGCTGCTCATGCAACCGGCGATGGAGATGCAGTTCCTAGAGCCGAGCTCGGACTTTTTTGACGGGGGCCACGAACTGTACTGGCCGGAGTTTCCGCTGCAATTTTAGGAGTGAGTAACCTTTTGTAATAATATTATTCATACTCCGCTATGCCCTAGGGCGTGCCGGACCCTCAGCTATTTAGTGTACAGGAAAACCGTGCCCTCCCGGGCCGGGTGAAAAACCCATACCATCCTTTTGTAATATGCTAGGCCACCGTACACCAACGCCCGGCTGCACTCTGACAGCGGAGTGCACATCAACCAGTCATTTCTAAACAAGCCGCCAACACGTACCCATAACGATCGCTCAAAATCAAGAGCTGGATTGACGGTGGGGTGCAACAAATACATATAGTGGCTTAAGTGCTGGGCTGACACCCCGATACCAGGCCAAGTTCTGTCTTAAGAGTCATTTGATAGGTAGGAAACCTCCATGTCTAACCTTCTCGGAGGCCGGAGCTTGTTCTACGCCCGCTATCTTTACCTTCAACCTTCGCCAGCAGCGGGCTTTCTCCTCGCTCGTCTCCTCCCGGGGTCTCGGGCGCATCTACTCCGCAGTCCGTCGTACTCTAGTCAAGCTAATAAGTGATTATCCACTTCTTTCAACAGATCCCAGCAGCAAGGGGGGTTGCGAACCCGAATCCCCAAGCGAGTGCCATCAATTATCCCTCAAGTAACGTTAAAGAAGAGAAAATTCCAGTAAGCCCATCCTACAACAGGGATGTCTAAAGCCCTCATGTTTCCCCCACGATGTTATGTGCTTGCTTGCCATCGGCGGACCACTACTCGGCTAGATAATCAATCTCTTGATTAAAACACCCCTGAAACCAGGCCAGGAGCCTCTCAATCCGCGACAATGTCGGCTTGGCAAATCAGATCGTCGCTTCTAGACGGCTTCTAGTTCGTCGCCAACGTTGTTTTCATGTCACCCAAGCACGTATCCCACTTGGCGCCTCAGATCGGCTATCCACTCGGCACCGCTTTGTCGCTTCAGTAGTGCGTGCGGCCCAGTCTGGGAAACAACTGCCGTGACATCCTACCTCGTAGCCTCCTAAAGAAGAAAGTCACGAAATAGTTTTCAGATCCGCTTCACCACCCGCCTTTCCTACGTATGGCCCTTGTGTGTATGGCCACTGACCAAATTCGGTCGAGAGAGCCGGGCCTAGATTAACCTCCCTTGCCTGCCTTTTAAAGCAGCAGTATCAGCTTACGTCTTCATTTTTATCTTGCCTCTCAGTGGCTGTGGTAATCTGCCGGATGGTCCCCAGAACCACTGATCCCAGCTAATTTGTCTGAGACGCATCCCGCGGGCAAGTGCCGGCATCGCAATGGTCAGCCAAGGCTTCCGAACAGCACAATAACCGCCGGGTGTCATCAAATAAACAAGCCACTTGAACAAGGGGACAAATGAACGGTGAAATTGTGATTTTTGAGGGTTGCGTGGTTTGTACCGATAGATGTGATATAAGTTCAGCGTAGTGGCGAATGTATGACTAGATGTTCGACTCCAGCTGAGTCGGTTTGAAAAGCAACGCCACATCGTACTGTTGCTCCCCAAACGGCGAACATGATGAAATCCATTGTTTTGCTCGCAAGCGCGCTGCTGGCCGGCTCTGCCGTCAGCGCGCCGACCGCCGAGATTCCCTCGTTTACCCAGGCTGAGATGGATAGTGGCAAAGCCATCCGTGAACTGGGACGGATCGCATACGAGAATGCCATGGCGCGTGCGGCGAAGGCAACGACTGGCTGTACCAAGGAAAACGTGCGAATCCGGAAGGAATGGTGAGTCCACACTCGAGTTTACGAAAAAAGGGGGCGGAGGAAGTACAGCTTGAATACAGGATATGCAAAGGGAGGAACAGGGACAAGAATTAACACGTCAGTAGGCGCAACATGACCCTTGACGACCGCCAGGGTTATCAACAAGCCGTGCAGTGTCTGATGGAGAAGCCAGCGCGACACAAAGGTCTAGACGGCGTCCGAACGGCATGGGACGACTACGGTGCGCTGCACTACTACCAGACCCCCTATGTGCACAACTCTGCCACCTTCCTCCTCTGGCACCGGCATTACAATTGGGTTCTTGAGCAGGATCTGCGGGATCTCTGCGGGTACAACGGTGAGTATCTGGTCTACTGGGGAACCCCACCGGAAAGGCTCAAGCAATCTTCGTGAACGTTGTCCTGACAATATCCGTAGGCGTCTTCCCCTACTGGGAGTGGGGATTGGATTGCGGTAGCGTGGGCTCCATGGACAAGTCACCGGTGTTCGACGGCAGCGAGTACTCGCTCGGAGGAAACGGAGAGTTCATCGAGGGCCACCGCGCAGCCATCGGTGGTGCCAAACCCGGCTCCGGGGGCGGGTGCTTGACCTCGGGCCCGTTCTCCAACTACACCGTCAACCTGGGTCCTGTCGGTTCGCGGAACCCGCTGGCTTACAACCCTCGCTGCTTCAAGCGGGATCTGAATACCGATATCTGCAACCGCTGGGCGACACTTCGCAACACTACTGAGCCGATCCTCAATGGCAAAGACATCGCTGTCTTCCAAGCTCTTGTGCAAGGCGATGGTCGATGGCCGGAGGCTGCCCGCCTCGGCATTGCCGTGCATGGTGGTGGGCACTACGCCATTAGCGGCGACCCGGGGAGCGATTTCTACTTCTCTTCTCTGGAGCCAGGCTTCTACCTCCACCATGGCAACATTGACCGGATGCACTTCATTTGGCAGAACTTGGACTGGGAGAACAGACAGGTACGTGGAACTCAGCTAGCTGAGGACTTGAATTTACGCCCGGAAAAGGCTTGAACCGTCTCTAACGTGTGACAGACCATCTCTGGCACAAACACCATGTTTAATCGGCCAGCCACGCCCGAGGCAGTTCTCGGGGACAATATGGGTTTCGAGCCGATTAACAGGAATGTGACCATAGGGCAGACGATGGACACAGTGGGTGGTACTCCGCTGTGCTATGTTTACGAACCATGGTGAAGGGCGTGAAACGTTATGCTTGGGTTGATTGCATTGGGAACGAAGACGACCGCTTACGTCTATGACGATGGTTTCTAAGAATGACCAAAGAGGCGGTGTAACTTGGACGATTGAGACGTGTGTAGGGAGTTTGATTACTCCGGTTGAATTCAAGGTGTTCTAAATCTGAGGTGTTCTTTCCAAGGGGCGGTCATTTGGTTCATTGTCAATGTCTATCGATTACAGTGTGCCAGTGATCGTAACGTGCCATTGATCCGTTGCTGACCCAAACATATCAACTTCGGGTAACTGCCCAGGCTGTCCTCACAGCACCCCTTCTCTCCCCGCTTCTCCAGATCACTTCCCCTGCGCTGCAACAAGATCCCTCACCGTCTCCGCCACAACCGCGTGGTCATCCTCCTGCTTCAGCCCACTCACAACCACCACCGCAACAATCCCCTCCACACCACGAACCCGCACGGGGTACCCACCCCCATGAATGGCATACTCATCCGCCACAGCCCCACCGCTGGCGCTCGCGAGCGAAAACTTCTTCACAAACGCAGCCTCAATCTGGTCGGCCGGGGGGGCCGCGGGGGCTTACGCTCTGGAGGCCGTTGGCGATCTTCATGCGCATGGCCCAGGCTGGACAGACCCCAGCGCAGCACCGTGTTGCGCTTTGCGGCGCACCCAGTTCTCGTTGTCCCGGGACAGTTCCGGACTTCGGGTGGCGCTCTTGGAAATAGGATGTGCCGCGGGGCTGCTGCCGCCCCTCGTTGCCCGGTGGCCGGTCGCCAAGTGAAGATGGAGATGAGCGCCCGGCTTGCCGCTGGCCCCGCCCGGGAAGCGCCGAGGAGCCGCCGTGCCGCAGGGGCGCTTGCCGAGTTCCCCAGGGCGTGTTTCCTGTGGTGGAAAGGTGCCGGGAAGGTAATACTCATTCCACTGGTGTTCTTGGGGCGATTTAAGGACCGCCGGCTGTGTGGGATTGGGTTGCTGGGTTAGTTTCTGGGCTTTTCACTGATGTGTTCAACGGGGCTGGGGTAGGGGGAGGGGGGGTTGGCGGGGTGAGTGAGTGAGCTTGGCTTACGTCTGTGCTGGGAGCAGCGAGAGCCATTATGTAAAGACTGAGGGTTCTCTGTTATTCTCAAAAGATAGATAAGGGGAAGAAGGCGGCCTCTGGAGTTTCTCGCGGATAGAATTCAAGGCTGGAGACTGAAAATAGAGATTGGAGGGGCTAGGCGGGGAAGGCGGGCTGCTTCACCTGAGTTCCACTCCCGCGCCTTGTGGATCCCACGGATTTATTCCATCGAGATTCCCGGTGATACCATCGAAGGTAAAGTCGGGTGTTATTGAAACGACTTAATGCGTTAGCTGGAAGGAGGAAGAAGGTGGGATAATAAGTTCAACGTGCTATTATTTGCGCATCATGAGTTACTGTGTCGCGTGTGTGGTCATTCCGGATGGTCAACTGAATCACAAGCGACCTTGCCATCTGCCATCAAAAAAATCAGAAAACTATTTATTCATATGTATGCCTTGTATGATTATTATTATTATTCATACTCCGCTATGCCCTAGGGCGTGCCGGACCCTCAGCTATTTAGTGTACAGGAAAACCGTGCCCTTTCCCGGGTCGGGTGAAAAAACCCATACCAACAATCAAGGAACGATGCGTTCTGGTGAGTCTGCGTATACAAAGAGAGGAGGCCTCCTGGCCTCCGGACGGGGGCGTTTCAGGCCGCCGCTTCCAGCTCGAGCCTCCTGGCTAAGCTGTACATCGGCAGCTTCCCCGAGTCCATCAGCCAGTCGAGGATCCTCTTCGCGAGCCGTGCAGTCGTGGGGATTGATGCCGTGTAGAACAGAGTAAAAGTCCCGTCGTGTCCGAATCCCAGTTCTCTCTTATCTTCGAGTCAACTGTGGGGCCAAACACCACACTATCAGGTGTTTGGCAGTCTCCCGTCCCTCCCCGAACTCGCAGGCGGGCGTTAGGACCTCTGGGACCCCTCGCAAAAACAGATAGTCCCGTAGGCCTATTGCTCTCGTTCGGATCTGGGTCAGCAGAGAACTCTTTGCCTTGCTGAGACCGTCGTGCCGTCTTAAGGTTTCATCTCGGAATATCGTCTCCCGCTGATGGTCAAAGTCGTCCGCCGGTCTGGTGATTGCCCTGCCGTCCCGTTCCTTCGGCCACCTCGCTTTCCAGGCGTTTTCTACTACCCTGTCCGTGTCTGCGATCACCCCCGTCCAGCGCGCGACCGTGCTCGCGGCTTTCTCCACCGCCGTGGGCTCCCGTAGCCCTACGGTTCGCGGCCGGCCCCTGTTGCCGCTCCTCGAGCGTATGCCTTGTATAATTAGGATAACTAAGCGCCGCATTGTAGGTGGTTGAACAACAAGATTGCGCAGCATCAGAAAACTGGGACACTTAAAAAGTCAACTCATGAGGGGGGCAAAAGCCGCCGCGGCAGCGTAGCTAACAGTTCAACTTAATCAACCAACTATCAATTCAATTTCAACCAACCCAGAGGCCCTATCAATTCAACCGATTCAACGTTCGGGCTTCCGGGGTTGATAAGTGGTGGGCCCGGATCAATAGAATAGTCCGGGTCCGATAATGTTTTGGTTCGCCCTGGGCCCTGACCGCGCCGCCTGCATGACCCCTGACCGCGTTGCCTGCCATGACCCTTGACCGGGTCAACCCCTGACATTTTGGCCAAGGATGGTCCGTGGAAGCCGCGGTCAAAGCTGGAGCCCTGTGTGTGTTTGTGTGTGTGATGTTTCATTTCGCTACTTGATGCCCTCCGAGCCAATCCCTCTCCGACAATGTCATCGACCCCAAGCCTCCCCACAACCCCAGGGCCCTCTGCCTTTACACTTATGACTGGCCAAGCCAAGTCCATCGCTACGCAGGTTAACGAAGCCCTCGCTGAGGCCTCTCCGAACGATGAGACTGTTTCAGATTTATACAAGATCGTGTGGAAGGACCGCCGCTTTGTCCTCGAGTCTCTGCTCTACAGAAAAACATCTCGCGGCCGAAGAAGCTGGATCAAGGATCATGGATGGTTCTTGGTTGAACTCGGCCCTCAGGATGTCATCAGGGGGGCTGTCTGGGCTTGCAGCCGTTGCGATGCTTCCAGGAAGCCTCAATTCTTTGCAGTCAGGTCAACTACATCGTCGACCACCTCACAAAGATTCATCATCTTGAGCCGCGCCAGGAGAATCAGGAAGAATTTGAGAATGTGCTAGAGCTTCAGGTTGCTGCTTCCATCAAACGGCCGGCTTCTGAGCCTATCCCTGCGGCGAGAATCCGAAGATTCGCCAACTCGCAGTTGGCTACATCGTCAACACCAACCTTCCTTTCTCGAGTCTCACCGACCCCTTCATCCAAGCGATCCTGGGGCATCCGAACGGCCCTGTGGCTGCTGAGGTACCCTGGAGCAAGGGCACGTTAATCCAGGACCTGAAGGACATCTTCGATGGGAAAAGACCATCATCAAGCAAGAAATTCGCGGCGCTAGATCATTAATTCACTTTAGTTTCGATCTCTGGACCTCTCCAAATCATCTCACATTTATCGCCATCTCGCCCACTTCCTTAACAGCAATCATCAACGATACCACCGTCTGATTGCCTTCAGGCGACATGCTGGCCGTCACAGTGACCCAAGATACGGCTTCAGCTGGCTGCAGAAGAAGTGGTCCCTTCCTGAACGGCTGCAGTGGCTGCACCAAGCCAGGGAAGGGCTTACAGCTGTTCTGGATCGTGATTATCCAAGCGTTGGGGATGGAGGATCAGGGCCCCCGCTAGCTCAGCCCTGGAGGCTCCCACCAGAGCAACAGAAACATGATTCTCCGATGTTCAACGACTGGGCGGATACTGAAGAGGGCCCCTTTGGTGATTCGATGAACGAGCTTGAGCAGTATCTCGAGATGCAGCCTGACAAGCGCATCACGGATCCAATCGCGTAGTGGGTTGAAAGGAAGCAGACCTTCCCACGCCTTAGTCGGCTGGCTTTGGATCTCCTCGTTATCCCAGCGATGGCGGATCACTGCGAGCGGCAGTTCAGTCTGGCCAAGTTATCAGTATCTACACAACGATGCCGTCTCCAGGCCCGGACGCTTGAGTTTTTGCAACTCCTTCGGAGCTGGATCAAGCAGGGCGGCATTGTTCTAGGAGGCGTTGGTTTACCTCCCTCCTGAGTCAAATCGAATCCGGGGTCTTCGAGGGAACAGGTGGGCGGTGAGGGAGACTGTTCCGGGACCAAACCTCACGGATGGATGGCTCATGCGAGGTGCCATGTGGTCACGTGCTCATCATGTATCAACTTATCAATCAATCGCTCAACCAACCAATCTTAGCGGGTTTGGATCAACCAATTCAACTTTGGGGCCTCGGTTGGGTTGGTTGAATTGTTAGCTACGCTGGCGGCCGCCGCGGCGAAACCTTGAAACGTCTCTCGCCGAGTTCCCGAGGCTGAGCGGTGAGTATAAACGATGACGAAAAAAAACGCCATATAGAAATGACTCACATAGGTATAGGTAGCGAAGTTCTACGTGATTAGTAGTTGTAGTGTGATTGAGGTCGGAGGTATTCGGGGACGGGTTGATGTGCATCCGACCACGTCATTTGTATGCCTGCAATTTCCTACCTAATGGGCAGGTATCGGTAAGCTGCTTTGTAAGGACATGCATAAGGTATTTCTCCTTGATTTGTTTACAGGCCAGGATCTCCGTGCTCCGACACAAGAGGCAGGTAGGTGTCTTTCATCGGAGAAAGTCAGACTAGGGGCAGGGAGAGCATAATCACATATACCTGCTGATTTTGAAAGCAAGTGGGCGAAATGCGGCGGTAAAAAATTGGTGATTGTTGCGGCAGAGAATTTAGATCATGATTTCGACGGTGAAAGTAAAATCATTGATGCATGTTCAAGCATTTCCCATCGAGATGTACGGCGGCTAGCGGCCTAGGCCGTTCAATATTGGGGGGCGTGGGGGCTCAGGGCTTCGACTATCATGACTTATAAGTGGACTATCTCCTCTGAACTTGCTGACAACGCTGGTACGCCTTCCGCGGAGATCAGAGCGTCGTGAAATTGACCCACTGCCGAGACAACCCGTTTTTGGGGGGATTATGAGAAGCTTTTCGAGAGATAAGACCTGGTCTGTCGATGATAAGCGTCTCCCCATCCCCTTTTTCAATCTGGATTCCTCGCGGTGTCGTGGAGAAAATTGATGTGAGCTCTTAAAAACCCGACGATTAGAACAGAACAGGAGCCTATCGGCACGTCTCCCTCCATGACGCTTCTACCCACTCGGCCGGAGTTTATCTCCAGGGAGTTATATCCGCTAAAGCTGCGTCGCCGCGATGATGCATTTCCGAACGGGATTAGACCGCCTCTCCCTTTTGACTTGCATCTCCGTGTTCTCGCCCCCCGGCACCTTACCCGCAAATCAGCGCCATACCCCATCCAAAGACCGTACTAGCTTCTCTTCCCGGTTTCCACCGCCGGGGCTCGTATCATGCATTTCCTATCTTTGCCGGGGAGAAAGCCCCTCCACGCACGAGGTTGACGACCGCAATATTGCGGATTACCATGAAAAGAATGACATTATGTTCCGGAGTCTAGTATCCCGGGCCCGCTACCTCCGTTCCTCCGACAGAGGCAGGCATACCATTGAGACGGTCCGTATTTTTATATAAGGGCAACAGAAAGGCTGGTCCCATGTCCACTGCGAGCTAGTTCGTTAGCAACAAACAGCCAGGAAACAGGCGTCACAACCCTATTCCTATAGACAGTTGTGAAAACCTTCCCGTCCTCCCATCGAGTCAGCCAGCATGACGTTCAAGTTCTCCGATCTGTATGTCGGGCCGGTCGTGAACCCCTCCAACCGCAAAGCCCGGGCTATTCCTCTTTTCAACCTCGTCAATGTCTACGGCCGCGTCTTCTTCTTCTCTTGGTTTGGCTTCATGATAGGGTTTTGGGGCTGGTATACATTTCCACCATTAGTAAGACAAACTATCGCCAACCACCCGACTACGTCCACGCTTTCCCGGTACTAACCTTTGCTCTTGTTGTACAGTTGACGGCCCACCATCAAGGATGATCTTTCTCTTACGTCCACCCAAGTGGCCAACTCCAACATCATATCAATTTGCGTTACGTGAGTGTCATCCGTACTTCGTTCAGACACAAACAAGGCACTTACAATGCTCCCCCCCCGCAAGTCTCTTGGTTCGCGTTGTTGCTGGACCGCTTTGTGACAAATTCGGTCCTCGGAAAGTCTTCGGCGGCCTTCTACTCGTTGGCTCCATTCCCCTCGGCCTCGCCCCTCTTGTCCACAGCGCCGAAGGCCTCTACGCCAGCCGTTTCTTTATAGGCATACTCGGTGGTGCATTCGTCCCTTGCCAAGTCTGGACAACCGGCTTCTTCGACAACAACATTGTAGGCACTGCCAATGCCCTCACAGGCGGGTTTGGAACCGCCGGCGGCGGCATCACCTACTTCATCATGCCAGCGGTGTTCAACTCGTTTGTAGCACGTGGATTTAGCAAAGGCCAGGCCTGGCGCTTGACCTTCATCGTCCCCCTGAGCATGGTCATTGTTGTTGGGGTCGCACTTTTGTGCCTCTGTCCCGACACCCCCGCAGGCCCCTGGGGCGAGCGCCACCACACCCTTTCAGAGGATCATGGTCCCCACGGCGACAGCTCCGTAGCAGCCACCGTTACGAACATCCCCGGCTCCATCACCGACAGATTCCCCTCTGACACGCCCGAGAACCTATCCGCCGAGGAGAGTGATGACAAGAAGAAGAAGGAAACATACATCTCCGCCCCTGTCATCTTTGACCAGGAAGCGCAGATACTAAGCCAGGGCAATTTGGAGGCGGCCCACGGAGAGATTATCGCAAAATCGACACTCTGGGATGTCACCTTCTCCCCGCAGACGGTTTTCCATGTCTGTTCGTACATGAACTCGTTCGGTGCCGAGCTGGCCATCAACGCCATCCTCGCGTCCTACTACTTCAAGACATTTCCGTATTTCTCGCAGACCGATGCGACCAACCGGGCAGCCATATTTGGTTTTCTCGATTTCGTCACCCGCCCATTCGGCGGCGCTGTTAGTGATCTGCTTTACAAGCACTCTGGCCACAACCTATGGGTGAAGAAGGGTTGGATTGTGGGGTGTGGCATCATCGCGGGCACCCTTCTCATCATTTTCGGGCAGCTTAGCCCCCACGACGAATCAACTGTATTTGCGTTGATTTCACTCGTGGCCATCTTTCTCCAGGCTGGCAGCGGCGCCAACTTTTCGCTCCTGCCGCATGTACACCCCTCTGCAAACGGTATCCTGTCCGGCCTTACTGGGGCGGGTGGTAACCTGGGCGGTGTGATCTTTTCCGTCGTCTTTCGGTCCATGGGGGACGGGACTAACTACGCAAAGGGGTTCTGGGTTATTGGGGTAATACACGTCGGCTTAACCTTGGCATTGAGCTGGATACCACCGTTGCCACGGGGACAGAGAGGTGATAAGTGACGGAAGTTTTGTGTATGGCACTGGCACTATAGAATGGAGGTACGTGGGAACGTTGATGAATTCACGACAGCAAAAGAACGCACAACTATAGATAGGTAGCAGTCTGATTATAAAATTGATATACCATGGCACGGATCCAGATTTACTGGTGGGCCCTCCCAGCATGAGTCGAGCTAGAGGATCGTTAGTTATACGGAGGTACCTTACCTACCTGTCTTTGCCCTTTCGAGAAGCGGGTTCGTAATGAATGAAAGATACTGCCTGCTGTAGTTGAGAAGAGATAACGTTGCCGTCATGGGCAGTCACGAGACATCACACAGGGGATTGGAGCAGTCCAGCTCGCGATTGAACTTTGGCGCGTCACGCGCAGGCAATGTTGTCGTGTTAAAACTTGAAATTACTCTTCTCCGACTAAGACATGCAAAGATCTTGTGTTAGGCAAACGGCGGGATTTTGACAGGCGCACCCCTGCCAGCGGAAATTGCGCTGGCTCAGCTGTCCAATTTAGGAACCCCTTTTCTTCGACTTCAAAACACATAAAACACAGAAAAAACACATCTGTCACCACGATAACAGCCACGCAGCCGGACAACATCTTACCGTTCAACAATGTACTATCCACTCTCCTTCGTGGCCCTGTCGGCCTTTGTTGCGCTGTCGACAGCCTCGCCCAACGGCTGGTCCTCAGTCAAGTCGGCGCCTGATGGACCAAACAAGCTCGAGGAGTGCGGGTGCTGGCCCATCTACCAGACGATGCTCACCTGCCAAAAGCTCAAGGGGCCGAACAGTGGCGTCCGAGACTGCGCGTGCATCCCCAACCCGGACGGGTGGTACACCTCGATGAACGGCTGCCGGGCATGCCTGTCGCCGGGCTCACTGGACAATGACGACTTCTTCGACAACCTCTCCCGCACCATCAGCCAACTCTTTGTCTCCTGCACCGAGGCGGGGGGTGGCATCAACAGCGACGGCGAAAGCATCTGCGCGAGCAACTACTATTTTGAGGCATGCGCGTCGCTCAAGGGCGATGGGCAACCGAGTTGGGCGAGCTACGAAGTCTTCGCCGAAGGGGAAAAGGGGAATGGAACCTACGTGTTGGATATCGCCGACTCCCAAGAGAATTCATCGGCGACGGGTGCCACAGCGTCGAAGACCACGGTGTCAAGGACTGTGACGGCATCAGGCGCCACTGCCACTACAGAGAACTCGGCAGCCATCACTTCTGAGACATCCGTCATTGCTACGACTGGGACTGAGACAACTTCTGCGACATCGACGGCGACAACCACGTCATCAGCAATGGGCAATGCAGGTTACGTATCTCAGGCTGGGCGTGTAATAGGCCTGGGGTTTGCGATGGGGGTTGTGGCAATCGTAGCTTAGAATTTGTAAGGTCCAGTCATTCATTGTCTGGTATAATGATTGTAGCGTCCGTGGGTGTGACGAGTGAGGGAAACCCAGGGTAGGTAGTTGGACAGCAACCTGAACCTGCGGTTCAATTGAACCTGTAATTATGTTTAGTTATAGATGATTTGAGGCTTCTTGTTTCTGATTAAGCAAACTCCAAAGCCCGACGACGGCGTATTTTCCGAGTAATTAGATATATCTTTGGTTCCAAATCCGCAAAGGAACTCGCAAAGATCCAATCGGAGTGCCTCAGGGTGGTCGCTGGGGCCTACAAGGCTACCCCAATACGGAGCTTGGAGACAGGAACCTATTGCCCACCCATCGACCTGTACCTCAACGGGAGGCTCCTTGCCTTCGAGGATCGGGTTAGGATATCAGAGGAGGCGAGGCTAATCCGCCAGACCCCTGCCACAATCGCTGCGATCCTGCGGCGGAGGCGCAGAAGAGGGAGAGGAAGACCTCGGCGGGAGATAGACAATATAGCAACGGCACCAGCGGAAAAGGGCTCAGGAGAATGGAAGAAGAGGTGGGCACAGGAGTGGGCCCCCCTCGAGTCGAGGCCGGAAAAGGAGGAGCTAGAGCCAGGGTCAACCGGCCCAGTACCAAACCACAAGAAACAGCTCGAGAGGTGGATGGAGGAGGCAATGAGAAGGGAGTGGATTGGAAGATGGGAGAGTGAGGTAGCTAGGGTGGTCGCTAGGAACCCGGGGCGGGCCCTCGAACCGGCCGATGCGACCGCGCGGTTCGACGCCTCTATCATGAACCGACACCGGTCGAGGGACCCAGCCTGGGAGCTATCGAAGGCGAAGAGTACTCTCCTAGTGCAAGCGAGGACCGGGAAGATTGGGCTTCGAGGGTTCCTCTTTACTAGGAGGGTCCCCGAGGTAGTAACGCCGGTATGCCGCTGCGGTATGGCGCGCGAGACATTCGAACACCTCGTACTCGAATGCAACGGAGCCGCAGATAAACCTCATCCCTGGCCAGACGACGGCGCAGAGCTACTGGAGTGGCTAGATGACGTGGAGAAGGCTGCCATAGTGGTGGGGTGGGTGCTTGGGCTGGGGAGGCTGAACGAGTTCCGGCTGGCGGTAGAGCTGGAAAATGAGAACAACGAAGAGGCCCGCGGCGGGGCCGAAGCGGAGTAGCAGAAGGGCATCGATGGAACAGAGGTTACGACTCATTTTATCTATTTCGTTACTTTGACCTCGGAAGGTGGGTGAGCCCTTTCGAGGAGATGGATCCACGGGGTAGCGGCAAGGCCGCAGCGGAGGTGCGGAGGTTTTCATCCAGCTTAGGCATGGTTTTTCCTACCGAGTTAATCGCTGAGGGACCGCATGTACTTAGTACCTAGCGTGATAAGAGAAATAAATAAATAAATAAATTTGGTTCCAAATGAGGGTCTCACGGTGGAGGTCTCAAATCATATGAGAGTTTCGTACGCAGCATATGTCCCTCGGGGTGGAGGTGTACACAGTGGGCCAGGGGTTGTATTATAGGTAGTTGGGCTAGGACAGACTACCGTAGCAAGCAGCCCATGAGTGCAGAGGAGAGATTCTCGGTTCGTTCATCTAGTCTAATTTATAGACACGACATGGTAATGGGATTCAGATAGCAAAACTGTGAGTATCTCTGTACCAAACTGTTGAACAGGCCGTCGACACAACCAGTCGAAGTGATAACCACTTGCTCACAATTTTGATTCAATTTTGATTTCGTCAAATCATTTAACGAACAAAGTTTTCATTCACAAGTCCCCGCTGTCGGGTTCGACATCCGCGAGTATACTGACAATAAACCACGCTACGTGTAGGAGAGAGCAGGCCGGTCAGATCTACGCCGACACCTTATCTCCTTGCGAGTCCCCGCTCCACCATGTCACCACCAACCCAGACCAATTCCGGCGCGAGGACGTCAACACCGCCTTCGAGCCTATACATATTATCCGCAACTTGGCACGCGAGGTTATGAGCACACTCAAACTGTATCCCCATCCCAAGAGTTCGAACGAGGGCAGCCAAGGTGTCGACCAGATTGCCCAGCTGATGCAATTCCTTGAGCAGCGATTTAGCAGCCTCGAGAGTCGTCAAGCAGAAGAAAGGGAAGCGAGCAACGCCCAAATTCGACTCCTGCAAGAAGGGCTCGCGGCAGTGCGATCCAACGCCTCCACACCTCAGACGCCAACACCGCCAGTCACCCTACTTCAACAGGCTCCTCCGTCTTCCCTGATAACACCGACCCCCCCTAGTCAGACGAGGAAGAAGCCAACGCTCCCTGACCCGGCGAAGTTTGACGGCGATCGAAAGGAGTTCCCTCCATGATTGTTAGACATGGAGTACAAACTTGAAATAGACGGACCAGCGATCGGGACTGACAAAGACCGGTTTGTCTGCATCTTCTCCCGGCTTGAGAAGGGAGCGAAGTCGATGACAACTACCTTCGCCCAGAGAGGAGGGCCTGGAGGAGTATTCAACCCAACTGCGTTTCTGACATACTTGACCTCCTGCTATGGGAACCCAAACCTCAAGCAACAGGCCTTAGAGCGATTGGCAGACCTTCGTCAAGGTGATAAAGAGGGCTTTTCCGCGTTTCTCCCACGCTTCGAGAAGGAGCTGGCCGACAGTGGTGGTGCCGACTGGCCAGATGTGGTACAAACCAGCTACCCACGGAGATCCGTGAATGCGGGATTGGAGAAACTCTTACGTGGCCAACGTGATATGCCAACCGATTACCCGGGGTTCGTTCGGGAGCTTCAAGTGTTGGGCTGTGACGAACCTACTTCAGGACCCTGTCCTGTTAGGGTTCAGCTTCGGTTGAAGGTAATCTCTCAAGGGTGCTTAGGTTCGGTGCAGCCAAAAGGTGCACAACAAAGGCTTGTCTCAACAGTAGGCTTCCGAGCTGTAGCGAACTGTAGTTGTGATTGCTAACTGGAGAACTCCCAGAGCTCTCCAGAATGAGTGACTATATACCTATCTAAGTCCTATGTGCTCAGTGTGCTCAGTCTCCTCCGGAGTTCGGCGTCACTGATCACACTGATCACTTTTAGTCCTTCCTGTGTTCTGATTGGCTGCGTGGCTTCTATGCTCAGTGTGCTTGGTCTCCCTTTGCTCCCCGTTTCCCTGATCACACTGAGCACACCCCAGCCTTCCCTGATTGGTCCTCGGGACGACTGGCTCGGGGTGTCCGCGCCCCGAGGCTCCACCTGTTGACATATTCGTGACATGGGCGCCAATCTCGACAACGAACGCTACCGAGCACGGAAGGACCACCACGCGCCACGGGCTTGGAGCCCGTCCTATACCCAGAAGACCCCGAGGAGAAAACACACTAACACCCCCCGCTCCTCGTTCGGCCTCTCCAGTGACGGTGGATGTCTCTGTTTCGCCACCATCAGCCTTTCACTTGCTAGACGCTTCCGCCCCCCACGCATCCCCATCACCCCCCGTGACCTTGACCAAGTCAACGTCTTAGTGAATGAGGCTATCACACACGTTGCCTATGCAGACACTGACATCGATGGGCACAAGAAAAAGCGGGTTTTCTTCTACGTTATCCCTGACCAAGGGGACGACGTCATCATCGGTCGGCCATGGATGGACGCCGACGAGATGGAATTGGCCCCCACAAGAGGGGAACTTTACATCGGCACGACTGGCTTAGTGGTTAAAGAGCGCAGGCACACAAAGGAGATCGATTTCCCAGTCAAGGGGCAGACGGCGGGCATTTTCAATGTATTAGTCAAGAGGATCCGGAGTAATCACTCTGGTCAAAAGGGGCCTGCTCAGGTGTTCACGGCGAGTTTGGCAGATATCGAGAAGGCACTCGCCCCAAAGAGACACAGCGACCCCCGCTAGAAGCTACCCGAGCACTACCATGACTTCCTGCCACTGTTCAATAGGAAGCAAGCCGACCAGCTACCTCCCCACCGGCCAGGTATCGACCATGAAATTCCACTGGAGAAGGACACGAACGGCCAAGATAAAGCTCCTCCCTGGGGACCGCTGTACGGCATGACGAGAGAAGAGCTGATCGTCTTACGGAAGACCCTGACGAAGCTCCTCGACAAGAACTTCATCAGAACAAGCAGCTCCCCAGCATCCGCGCCAGTGCTGTTCGTCAGGAAGCCGGGTGGTGGTTTTCGTTTCTGCGTCGACTATCGAGGTCTGAATGCCATCACCCGCAAGGATAGGTACCCGTTGCCTTTGATTGGCGAGACACTGCGATCTTTGTCGAAAGCAGAATGGTTCACGAAGCTGGATGTGATTGCTGCCTTCCACAAAATCCGCATCAAAGAAGGAGAAGAGTGGAAAACAGCGTTTCATACTAGATATGGGCTCTACGAATGGATGGTCACCCCCTTCGGCTTGACCGGCGCGCCAGCCACCTTTCAGCGGTACATCAACAACACGCTTCGCGAGTTCCTCGACGAATTTTGCTCGGCCTATATTGACGACGTGCTCATCTACTCGGACGGCTCCCTAGCCGATCATCGGAACAAGGTGCGAAAGGTCTTGCAGAGGCTTCAGGAGGCCGGACTACAAATCGACATCGACAAATGCGAGTTTGAAGCGAAGAGCGTCAAGTACCTCGGCTTTATTGTTGACGCTGGGAAGGGGATCCGAGTTGACCCAGAGAAGATCACGGCAGTGGAACAATGGGAGCGCCCAAAGTCCGTCAAAGGAGTCAGAGGGTTCATCGGGTCTGCCAACTACCATCGGGAGTTTGTGCCCAACTTCTCGACTGTCGCAATGCCCCTTACTGCATTGACTAAGAAAGGAGCCCCCTTCCTCTGGTCAGACCAATGCGAGGAGGCTTTCAAGCGGCTGAAGACGCTCCTTATTAGTGCGCCGGTCCTGGCTCAGTGGGACCCTGATCGGAAAACAATCGCTGAGACAGACTCATCTGGCTACACAATCGGTGGAGCCCTCTCTCAATACGACGACGAAGGAGTCCTGCGACCAGTGGCATTCTTCTCGAAAAAAAAACAACGCGGCAGAATCGAACTACTCAATCCACGGCAAGGAGCTACTAGCCATTGTACGATGCTTGGAACAGTGGGATGCGGAGCTACGAAGCGTGCCGTCTTTCGAGATCTGGACCAACCATAAGAACCTGGAGTACTTCCAGAAAAAGCGGCAGCTTAGCGAGAGACAAGTTCGTTGGGCGGAGTTGCTCGCACGGCATAACTTCACTCTGAAGTACCGGCCTGGCAAAGATGCAGTGGTCCCGGACGCGCTCTCGAGGAGAGAACAGGATATGCCCCAGCACGCCGAAGATGAACGATTGATGGGCCGCTACTTCCAGCTGTTGAAAGCGGCGAGAGGCAGAGCACTCCGTGTTAACCGTGGCGCGGCCGTGGTAGTTCGAACCGATTTTGTCAAAAACGGCGACCAGGACGGAGAAACAGACGATGTGGCAGACAAGTCGGATCCACCGGAGAACCCGTTCACCGATGCCCCGTTGAAGGACCTCTGGGATCAGGGGCTAGAGGCAAACAACCGCTATTGGCTCATTCGGAAGATGGTTCTCGATGGCGAACGTCAGTTTCCAAGCCAGTGGGGGTTACCCATCTCAATATCTGAATGCTCTATCGACAAGGGGAAGCGGCTTTGCTGGCGGGACCGCATTTGGATTCCCTACTTGGAGCCCCTACGTACTGGATAATTCAGGAGATTCACGACTCGACGCTCGCCGGCCACCCAGGGAGAGATCCTACCAAGTCCTTCATCAACTGGAAGTACACGTGGCTGGGGCTCAGTCAAGATGTCCGGAGGTTCATCCGAAACTGTAACGTTTGCGGGCGAACGGCTGTCTGGCGTGAAAAAAAGCGAGGACTACTCAAACCCCTGCCCATCCCCGAGCGGATGTGGTCGGAACTCTCGATAGACTTCGTTACCGACTTGCCTCCCTCCGGCCCGGACCAAGCGACGAACATCATGGTGATTACGGAAAGGCTGTTCAAAAATGTGATTTTCGAGCGGATAGCATCAATCACCACAGAGGCCGTGGCAGAACGCTTAGTCGACTGCCTGATACGCCATCATGGTTTCCCGCGTGCGATCGTTTCAGACCGAGGGCCGCAGTTTGTGAGCTTGATGTGGAAACGGATTTGCGAGCTACTCAAAATTACTCGGAGATTGTCGACAGCGTACCATCCAGAGACAGACGGAGCGACAGAACGGATGAATCAGGAAATCGAACATTACCTCCGTTGCTACACCACGTATTGGCAAGACGACTGGGCCGACATGCTTCCAACTGGGATGTTGGCCATCAACAACCGTGACGCAACGTCAACAGGGATCAGCCCATTCTTCGCATCACATGGGTACCACGTCGACCTCGTGGATCTCGCCGATGACAAGGAACGAGAGGAACCCCTTCGTACAGAGGGGCAGTCGCCGGTAGCCAAAGGAGAAGCGTTCGTCGCGCGACTGAGAGAGGCCACGGCGTATGCCCAAGCAGCTATGGCATCTGCACAAGAGTGGCAGGGGGAGTACGCCAACCAGGCACGACAGGTCGCAGAGCAGTTTCAGGTGAGAGACAAAGTCTGGTTGAGGCTGAAGAATGTCAAGACCACTAGGTCTTCAAAGAAGCTCGACTGTCTCAACGCCAAGTACGAGATTATCGAGGTGATCAGCTCGCATGCCTACCGGCTGAATACGCCCCCCCGGAATACACCCTGTCTTTCACGTCTCTATGTTAAAAAGGGCCGCCGACGACCCATTACCGTCGCAGGTTCAGGACGACACGCAGCCCCCAGCCACCATCGCTGAAGACACTGGGGAACAGGAGTGGCTCATCGAGGAGATTCTCGAAGCGAGACGAAGAGGGAGGGGCCATCAAGTGCTGGTTAAGTGGGCAGGTTATATACAACCAACCTGGGAGCCATTGAGCGCCTTCCTAGACACGGCAGCGCTGGACAAGTTCGAGGCAGAGCACGGGAAGATCACGCAGGACTTTGAGAACCAGGATGGAAAATACCCGGTCGAAGAAATCCTCGAGGTTCGAAGGAGAGGGAGGGGCAAACAACTCCTAGTTAAGTGGACAGTCTATCCATAGCCTACGTGGGAACCCCTAGCCAACTTCTTGGAAACGGACGCTCTAGCCAGGTTCGAGGCTGCTCATGGGAAGGTTAAGGCTTGACGAAACCTCGAGGAGGAGGGGAGGAGGGGGGTAATGTAACGGGCTGTGCCCGAGGTGGGCCTCGGTAACCCTCGGCCAGCTCACGTATAAGCACGGTCCACCGAACCCCTGGATGAAGCTATTCCCAGTTGTCCCACAGCGCACCGAACATTCGAGCAATGCGCGCGGGCCACCGCACTCGCGATCATAAAGCAGCCCCACGAGCTGCCAGACTCTCTCATCTTTCCTTTTCTTCTTCAAGCTTAGTGTACTCGTTAGAGTCGTCACCAGTTAGTTGCAATATACTCCTGGGACCGTGTGACGGCAGCTGCCGTCGGAGTGCACTGTGGCTCCACTTTGTTGGGCACGTGACCACACGCGCTGGCATTTAACTCCTGTATCGCGAGAGCTCTTCCAGCTTCTCTTCCTTTTCTCCCCATCTTGCAATTAGCAGAAATAGAGTCTCATCGGCAGTGCCCTCGCGCCTCGCCCAAATGTTCCTCGTCTCTCACAGACCGTTACAAATTAGATCAACGCAATCAAAGATACCCCATCCACACCCTCAATTCCTGAAACACCGCTGAACACAGCCAACTACGCCCCACTCCGCCCGCCCCTGCTGCGCCGCGTTCCACGGCCCCCAGCGCCATACAAACACAGTCTACCACGGACCACGCAAGTTATACCGGGCCAGGCTCACAATCAGTGTTACACCCGTCAGTACATGGCAATGCACCTGAGTGGAACGGTAGTATTGACCCTGAGCCGGATACCAATGATATATATAGTCCCACCTAGTCCCTAACCCCTAACCCGCCTCGCACACACATCCGGTAGGGAAGGGGCAAGACATGACGGCACAGCAAGGTTGGGGTTATTTAACCTAATCAAATAAACTCCGCTATTCTTTGACTCATCGTCGGTAGGCAATTTGGTTGTTCTAAAACCGACGAGTTTCGTGAAAACCTCGTTGGACCAAATAGGGGGGCGTGAGTTGTAGCTTATGAGCTTACCCAGGTCAAATGGGTCTCCAGTTCGGCTATAGTGGGTGGTGGTCGACATCGCAAGCGTAGTGGATTTGCTTCGCATTTAGGTAGTGAACCACGCCGAAGGCAGAAGTGGCACAGTCGAGTACCTTATCCAGCCGCACAGCCTCACTCGCCGAAGCGCCGCCGGTTTCTAAGATTCACCTCACACATGCGATTTTCGAGTAAATATCCCATATGTCTGGGCCCACAAGAGAGCCCAATGTATCTAGACATTCACCCAACACTCAGGGGCAGTTATTATTTCAGTATCTAGCACCTATTTCATCCAATATGAATCTATGCCCCAACCCGAGGTTTATTACCTCGACCAAGACGCCCTCCAAGCAGCTAAACAGTTGCAATCACAACCGAAAAAGCAGCCTTGGGTTAGGGGATTTATGAGGTCATCTTCGTGCAATATCCTCTTCGCGCACCTTTGCCTCATCTTGGCGGTAGCGGGCTGCATCAAAACGTCCGAGATATTGTTGCTATCTGGCTCGTACCCCCTCATCAATGAATGTGACAATACCGAGAATATGTCTTTTACCGAGAAGCAGTTTCAGATCAACATTCCTGTTGTTGGCGGCTTATCATTCGCTCAAGCCAAGATGATAGATCTTGCCTGGGATTTCGGGGTAGCGCATGGAGGCCGTTTGTTGCACGGATGGATCCTCTACCGTATCGCTTGCATGACGATAACTTGGTCACTGGAGCACGCTTCCCTACCATACGACTTCTTACTCAGTCTTCTCTTTTGGCCGGATTCGGTTTGGTCTCTATGGTCCTCGATCAACTATCTCGTTAGGAAGAGACAGCCCGGCGTTCTTGTTCCTGTGGCATTCCTCACATACGCTATCATATATGTCTTGTTCTTTGGCACTTTGTGAAGTGCCATGACGGGATACCAAGGTGTCGGTAGGGCCGCCTTCGCAATGCCCGACGGGTCCTGGATCGCTAGCGACAATGATACGCTTAGATTTTGCTGGTCGTTAGATTTGAAGAGGCTTTCCCCTTCATTGGCGGATAGTGTCATCCTCGGGCCCAAATTTGGATCGGTCTTCCAATCGTTTTCCGACCTCAACACATCATCCGGAACTGGGAGGATTTGGGACTCCTACCACACCGTCGCAGATGGTATGTCGGATGAATTTAACAATATTTATTCATGTAAGCCTTAATCCCCTTTATGGCTTGGGCCAGGTATTCTAAATCACTTCACATCTCTGCACAGACGCGAGATCAAGAGTTACGATGCAAAACTTTCTTCAAAGGCTCAGCGATATCCAGGAGCAATTGGACCCAGGGAAGAATCGTATCGAAGTGGCAGAATGGAGCAACTTCATTATTAATAGCCGGTTTGATGACTCCGGCCGCACAGGTTTTCAGAACGTTACATCTATCTACTCGACTTCCGAACAACCGTCCCAGGGAAAACTCGAGTTCCCACTAGTCATCAACGGGTGGCAGTTTCTCGGCGTAAAACAAAACTTGTCAACGAATCCGAAGGAATTGGTCTTAGTTACATACCAAGGAGAGCCAGAGCAAGACACCACAAGTTTTACAGCCCAATTTCTCAAAGCCGACTTCCACCTTGACCCTTCAGTCTCCTCCGGGCCAGAGGTCGTCCCATACAATTCAACGGTGTGGTACAACGGGACTAGAATAGCCCTGCGGGCGCCCTTCCTGGATCTAGGGTCCAAGAGTTGGTAGGTCCCCCTGTTACACACCTGACCATATACGAACCCTACTTACGTTTTGAGTAACTCAGTTCGTGGTCGCACCCACTGCTAGGAGAGTGCATCTGCTACGACGGTAGGCCGTTGACCGAAGATTTCAGGCTTGACGCCAACAAACTCTGCATCGGCGGCGACAGGTATATGTGGGGATTCTCACGAACACTCATATTCATTGGTCTTTCCCTGGAAGTTATATGGTGTTTCGTTTGCCTCATTCTACTCTTTTTATCGACACAGCAGAGCAGCCTCGTAAGGCACGGTAGACCGACGGCGGGCGTCACCAGAACCATTCTCGACCTATCTGAAGCCTTGAATCGGGACCTCGGACCAGACACTTCGTGGCACACGGAGAGCCAGTTGAAGAAGGGGCTTTTGAGGCACCGGCCCGTTGGCTATACAATTTGGGACAAGGGCAACGTAACAGGCCATATCGGGCTTGTCCCCCTAGCAGAAGGAGAATCTGCAAAAAGAAGACTGAAAGTCGAAGACTTTAAGACATGTTGAGAACGGGCTATGGAGAGGGAGGTAAAATTGCTGGCGTCGCTTCGTTCGTCAGTCGCGCGGCCCTTCGTTACGCTATGGGGTGCTTCCTTTCTCTCTCCCGCTCCTGGCAATTTTCCTGTCCCTCTCCGGAGGACAAACAGGGTTAGGGTTGATTACGGGAGAGAAGAAACGCCAATATCTGTCCGTCGGCCAACAACTCCATCTACTTAAGCCATCTACGAATCGTTTCAATTCTGCCACTCACGTTACGTATCTACACTCACGTCCTCGCTACTTACAAATCAATTAGACTCCTCTGAGGGAGCCTCCCCCGCCACAGCATCTAACGCCTGCAGTTGCCTGGTAGCGTGATCGGACAACTTCAACCCCATAGCTCGTGATGGTGTCTCGCGATAGACCCTGCTGCGGTCGAAGGGCCGCTCAAACATCAGCCCGCCGAGTGTCTTCACCCGCGAGACGGCCACGTAGGAGAGGCCAGAAGCAAACTCTGGCGCAGAGATATCGCAGACGATCTTGTCCAGGGTGATGCCCTGTGACTTGTGGACGGTGATCGCATAGCTGACCAGCAGCGGGAACTGCTCTCTTGAACATGAGTTGGCGCCGACCATGAATTCCTGCCGCACTCGGAGGATGGGAACAACCAGCTTCTCTCCACTACGGAGCGGCTCCCCGTTCGACATTGTGAAGGCCGGGCCGTCGTAGTCATCGAAGGCCACCATGATGACCTCGGGCGGGTCTCGCAGCACGTCGGCACCTTCTTTCCAGGATATGTCGTAAACTGTGTCCTGTGCGCCGTTAACGAGCCCGACGTCGAGGCGCAGGTGCAGGCATGAGAGGCCGAGGTGCGAGAGGGGTTAGGCTCTCTCTACGGGCGATCGCACGAAAGGCCGAAACGCTTGCTCGATCGGCGGCAGCCTGCGACAGGTGAGCAGAAGTGGGAGAAAGGTCATGATTGGCAACATTACAATGATTTTTCTCTTATTCCTGCAATCAAGACACGTGACAACAGTCTTCCCATTGCCACGGAGGTCATAAAACTGGTCGCCATCTTGCTCAATATGACACACGGGGCACGTTTTGCGCGCCGCCCCCGACTGAGCAGCGTCATTCATAATCTCTGCGAAGCCCGTCCATAGCGGGTCTCGAAGCAGAACAGCGACGGTATTGCAAAGGTAAAAGTTTGCGGTAGCCGAGACGAGATAGATGGAGATGGCAGAAGCAGCGGTTGTTTGAGAGACGAAGCTAAGACGTGGAGGTGGCTTGGTGGGGTTGGATGGATGGATGGATGGATGGATGGAATTTATTTCGCCCGGAGGCACTGGGCCTATAGGGCCTTAGCACGCTAACTACATCCGGATCAAATCGTTTTACCTTTAACTCGTGTCTTGGTGGGGTTCTACCTTGCGAGTGGTGGAAACGTCGCGTGGTCACGGGACCCGAACTCGGGCGCCGGGGCTCTTTGACCAATCAGGGTTCTTGGATAATAATTTACAATGATCCACAATTTACTTATCAATTTCCCATAGTAATTTCCAAAAGTTTGACCGTAATATTGTCCTCCGGACAGGAAAATATAACAAATGCCTTGGGATTTTACGTTCTGTGAGCCGCTAAGGAATTCCATATGCTCATTTTGGTGCTAGAGCAATACTAGGTACTTAACACCGCTGCTTTATAATAAGCATGTAGTATGGCCATTACAAAACGATTTGTAAACGGCTGAAAGAGTTGCGGTTGCTATCCTCGTACAATGTCATGATTACCTAACCTAGGACGAATGTCGGGCAAGGCTCCTCCTATATGGCTGCCCCGGATTACCAACTAAAATATAGGTGAATGGGGTACGATTAGAGCCTCATAAGCGTCAGTTAGGGTGCAGCGAAACCATTATCCATTCTCCATCTATCCAATGACCGCGCTCATGAACCACTAGAGAAGATAACTAGGTAGCTAACGTCTTCTGCAGGGATTTTGGTCATGTACCCACCTTGGCCAGGGTCCTGGAGAGCTTCGTTTCTACTAATTTGACGATCAGAACATTTCTCCTCTGAGCAAGCGAACACTTGTCAATTCTCCCCAAAATACACTTTTTCGACTCTCCTCAATACCGCGATCACGAATACCGACGAGATACACGAGCCTATAGATCTAGCTTCTTAGAAGGGAGCAGTATCTAAATTTAGAAACAGTATTTAGATTTTCATTTAGGTTATATGCCTAATCGGCATAGTTTATAGTTAAGGCTTGGGGGGAATCGTTGATACGAACAGGGCAGTAGAAGAGGCTTGGAAAGCAAGGTGGTTAAAGGAACGGGACGGCAGGGCAATCACCAGGCCGGCGGACGACTTTGACCATCAGCAGGGGACGCTATTCCGGAACGAAACCCTAAGGAGGCACGACGGTCTCTGCAAGGCCAAGAGCTCACTGCTGTTCAAATCCGGACGGGCGCAATAGGCTTACGGACTTCTTGTTTACACGGGGTGTCCCGGAGGTTCTGACTCCTGCCTGCGAGTGTGGCGAGGGACGAGAGACTGCCGAACACCTGGTAGTGTGGTGTTTGGCACCACCGTTGACTCGAAGACGGGAGAGAACTGGAATTCGGACACGACGGGACTTTTACTCTGTTCTACACGGCATCAATCCCACGACTGCACGGCTCGCGAGGAGAGTCCTCGACTGGCTGATGGACACGGGGAAGCTGCCGATGTACAGCTTAGCCAGGAGGCTCGAGCTAGAAGCGGCGGCCTGAAGCGCCCCCGTTCGGAGGCCAGGAGGCCTCCTCTCTTTGTCTATCGCAGACACACCAGAACGCACCGTTCCTTGATTGTTGGTATGGGTTTTTTCACCCGACCCGGAAGGGCACGGTTTTCCTGTACACTAAATAGCTGAGGGTCCGGCACGCCCTAGGGCATAGCGGAGTATGAATAATAATTTAGCCTCGGTATTGCGAGAGCTCTTCCAGCTTCTCCTTTCTCCCCATCTTACGATTAGCAGAATTGAGTCGGCACTTGCAGTGCCCCTGTGCCTCGCCTTGACACCACTTGTCTCTCACAACGACGGTATCTTGTGACGAACCTACTTTAGGACCCTGTCCTGTTAGGGTTCAGCTTAGGTTGAAGGTAATCTCTCAAGGGTGCTTAGGTTCGGTGCAGCCAAAAGGTGCACAACAAAGACTTGTCTCAACAGTAGGCTTCCGAGCTTATAGCGAACTGTAGTTGTGATTGTTAACTAGAGAACTCCCAGAGCTCTCCAGAACGAGTGACTATATACTCCCTTACGGAGCGTCAAACCCTCCTTACTCCCAAAACCCAAATCGCCTCCAAAATTTTCACTCGGTTCACCCCACCAGTGCCAGAAGCCCCCAACCAAACCCCGATTGCAAACTGAAAACCATTTCGCATGCAATTACGGCAACCAGATCATCTCCAGCCACATTACCCCGCCTCCCGCGCATGAAGCTCCATTACGTTCAATCATCCTTGATTGTACCGACGAGCTTGTCGCTAACAATGTCCTGCCCACCACCTCGCCCGCGACTTCGAGACCTGTAAGTTTTCAATTCTAGAAACTAAGTTTCTTGCTCGCTCATCAATCGCAGCTCAAGCAGACCATGGCTCCGAAGCCGATGTCATTCTTCACATACAAAGGGTTCACATTGCCCAATCCTCCCGACCTTCTTAGCAACTGCGAGACAGACATTATGACGACAGCATGGATTGTCAACCAGCTCCGCCATTCTTTTTTCAAGGATTAGTTATTTATTTTTTAAAATCTTACTCTATTTCTTTCCTTCTTAGACACATTTATTTAAGACTTGATTGAGTTCGATCACGCTTGATCGAACCACTCCTGCCCTACCCCACCAGATGTTGGACCCCTTTTGCCCTGTTACCGGCAAACGCCACCCTGTACCCGGCTCCGCCAAGTTCACGGAGGTCTGCAAGAGATGCAAGACTACGCTCCTGCTCGACCTCGTTTCTGACGACGACTCGGATCATGGAATTTCAGCCAATTCTGCCCTAACCCCTGTTTCGCCTGTCGCTATACCTCCTGCCCAACCTAGCCAGTCTGTCCAGCCTACCCAGTCGACTCCTGATATTACAACTACCCCTCGTCCATCTCAAGCGGGGCAGGCACTTACTGGGTTCAACAAAGCTCACTCAACTGCTCTTGCCGAACGCAACTCTCCAAACCCAAACGTCAAGCCTGTTCAACCTTCTCCAGTTGTGATCTCAATTACACTGGAGGTCTTCGCTGCGGATGTGGATGTTGTCACCATCGGGGGGCAGGAGACTCGTCGATGGACTGAAGTTGGCTCAATCAGCTCTTGTCTTCCAGTCCAAGTGCCTCTTGATCAGCACTTTGCCAATCACGAACACATTATCCGGTACTTGCTTGACAATGCCTGCAGGGCCAAGAAGTTTGCACCATCTGAGTTTCGATTCATCGGCAAACTCTCAGCTGGCAAGAACAAGAAAGTATCTGAGATGACTAGCCTTGATCCAGAGAGACCTGTCACATTCCGTGACCTTCACAAGGCAACAACAAATAGGGGGAATGTCAAGCCTGATGAGAATGTGTCTCTGTATCTCCTCAAGGAGAAACTATACCCTGTCGTACGGGAGGAAAGGGAGGACCTAGCTGTCAAGAAGACAGCAAAACGTGCTCGATCAGATACCCAGGGGTTAACAGCCATTGCGTCAAGCTCGAAGCTTGTGGGGGGTCTTTCTGTCTTGTCGAAGAAGGCTAAGTTAGAGCAGGACAAGGTGACAAAGAAGGATCAGGAGGAAAGAGTTAAGGAGGAGCCTGAGACTAGCGAGTCTGAAGCCAATGAGTATAACTCTGACGATGATGATGAGATCCTTATATTTTTCAAAACAGGAAAACGGCCGGTCGGTACAATCTCGAGACAGGTGCGCTTGGAAAGAATGTTAGTGACAAGCTGATCGGTACAATTAAGGATGATCTAACCGGAAGAAGCTTGATGCGCAAGACGTGGCGTAATGTGGCTGAATACAATCTTATTCCCGTTGTTGCATGCGAAGTGGATTAATTGCTGAAAGCGAGGTTTGGTGAAGGTTTGCAGGTGCAACGGTGGGGTGTGTGGATGAAATTCCGAATGCGATTTGGGTTTTGGGAGTAAGGAGGGTTTGACGCTCCGTACTCCCTGATTCCTGAGCTCTAGACTGCTCTCGATAGTCCGCTAGAGCTCATAGCGCTCGACGGCTCTCGAGAGGCCCTGAGAGCAGCTCCTAATTGGCTGTCCTCCTTGGCTCTCGAGTGCTCCTTAGAGCACTCTGTGATTGGTTCGTTAAACGACTGGCCCGGGGCGTCCCGCGCCCCGGGGTCCCACTTGTTGGCATATTCATAACAGCGAGCTGCTACTATTATAGTTCTTATATATTAGCCCTAGCGAGTGAGCGGTGAGGTGTATAGTACGGTATAAGGTGGGTATCTAGAGGCGTTGGTTACATATATAGATTGATTTGACTATATTGGTGAATAAGTTTAAATCCGTGCACCCATCTCCTGGTCAGGCCACCAACTGATCAAATCTTTCTCTACCCTTGACTCGGCACCCTCTCTATTCCAAACCACTCAGTTCCACCAAAAAAAGCTCAAATTCAGCTCCATTACTCTTATTCAAATTGTCTCTTCCATGGCTCCAGAAGATAACATCCAGCAGGCAATCCAAGCCGTCAGGGATGGCCAATCCATCCGCAAAGCTAGCGAGGCATGGGAGTTTCCTTTTCTACCCTCCGGGACCGAGTCGTCGCCAACGCCCAACCGAAGGGACAGTACAAAGCACAGGTGATGCAGAAGCTCAGCCCTGATCAAGAAAAACACTTGGCCGATTGGGTTTTTGCCCAGGAAGCTCTAGGGCTTCCGGTGAAGCATCGACAAATCGAGGTCTTTGCTAACCGTATCCTCCGTGCCTCTGGATCTGACCAGACTATCGGTGAACACTGGCTTCAGAAGTTCATCGGAAGATATCCAGTTTTAAAGACAAAGAAAGATAGACGTATGGATATCAAACGGTTGGATGCAGCTAGTACTGATGTTATCAAGGCCTGGTTCCATCTCCTCGCGATCCCAGTCATCCAGACAATTGACCCGCAAGCCCGTTGGAATATGGATGAAATAGGGATAATGGAAGGTCTGGGAATCAACGGCTTATGCGTTGGATCATCGGAGAAGGAAGCGTTGTCGAAACACCCCGAATCCCGGATCTGGACAACCATTATAGAGTGCATCTCAGCAACCCAAAAAGCTCTCCCACCGTTAGTCATCTTCAAGGGGAAAGACATCCAACAACAGTGGTTCCCTGATAACGACCAAGACCTTGATCCATTACGCAACTGGCGGTTTTCGACGAGTCAGAATGGCTGGACATCTAATGATAATGCCCTCGAGTGGCTGACAAAGATGTTTTGTCCGACGACGGCGACATCGAAGAAGAGGCTTCTTATTGTTGATGGCCACGGTAGCCACGAGACTGACGACTTCATGTGGACCTGTTTTTCCAACAATATCTACCTCCTCTTCTTACCTGGACATGCCTCCCACGTTCTACAGCCCCTCGACCTGTCGGTTTTCTCTCCGTTGAAGACCACTTACCGCCGTGGTATCAACGACCCCACTGTGATGACAGACTGTGCTCCCATCGGCAAGAGGCTCTTCTTACGGTGTTATGCGCAAGCCAGGAAGGATGCCATCACAGAAAGGAATATCCGAAGTGGCTGGAAGGCATCAGAATTGTGGCCAGTCAACCTAGACAAACCTCTGATGACTCGTCTACTGTTGAACTCAACCAGCCAGTCAGTCAGTCAGTCAGCCAGCCAGCCAGTCGTCGGCTAATCAAGACTCCAAACCGCAGCCAGGAGGTCCACAGATTGATATCAACACATGTCCGTCTACGACGACTGCAAACAATAGACCCAGTGGCTAGGATTCTTTTCAAAAAGGTGGGCAAAAGCCTGGACAATACAGCCATCAAGGTAGCTAGTCAAGAACAGAAGATCCGGGCACTGGAAGCTGAGGTAGATTTATCTCAGTGCTTAGACTAGTGTATTTGGGCGTAACGGCTTGCATTGCAAGCCTCAAACTGGCTTAGATCGTAAAATAGACCCACCACACTGCATATAGCCAATAGATCGAATTGATGCCCCACAACTGCAATTGAGCCCAACACTGCTCTGAGCGCATTATTTGGATTTTCTACCATTCGACCAATGATTTGAATTAGTAAATTGCGCCAATGACTATATTTCGATCAACATCGCAGCTGTAAACGCGCCGTCAGTTGGATTCAACTGCTCGAACTGCGCGCGTTTGATTGATACTAATATACCGTATAGATGGCTGACTCGGATGCTGAAGTGGGACCGCCCGCGCTGCCTGCGCTGCCTGCGCTGCCCGCCCTCCCAGCGACACTCCCGCGTACTCTCATACTACCGCACCACCCGTCGTCATCGTCCGCTCTCTCATCTACGCGTTCAGTCAGCACCCCACGGGGTACACCGAGTCCTTCTCGCCGCTTGGCGACCATGGCAGAGGAACAGGAATACGAGGCGGATTCGGAAGACGATGCCGACGGCGGCATCGCACCAGAGGATATTGTTCGAGAGACAGTGGGACACTGGAATACCATGAGAGGCAGGTCAAGGAGGTCCCGCAATGCGGGTATGTACAATTTGGACACGTTTATCGCCAGATGAGTAGAGAACCCTTGCCGAGCAAAGCAGCTAGCAGATGCTCTCCTCAAGCCCGATGTACAAGCTGCTCAAGAACGTCGTCGTCAAACTAGCACAGGGCGACGACGACAGCATAGCGAGCAGAATTCGACATGAATTGAAGCCATTGCAACTTGTTCCATCTTTCAGTGAATTCAAGCCCGAAGAGCAACAAGCAACAGATCCCATAACAGCCGAGGATATCTGCAAGACGGAAAGGCTCGACAAGAATCTCGCTAGAGCATGGCCGACACTCAAACAGAAGGCGCCTACTACCGTCAGACTTCTCTCGCAGGTCATGCAGACTCAATGGGAGAAGGATATCACCACTGTTTAAGTCAGCGATGACTTCAAGAGCCCTATCTATCTTGTTGTCTCTATTTTGCTTGGCGGCTTCACCCGCAACAAAGCCAGCTTCCTCCGGGATGTGTTGGGTCTGTATCTCATGGCGAATGGCACTGCACGTCGAGCCATTAAAGTCCTCAACCATGTTGGCATCATCCCCTCATACGAAACTATCAACCGCTTGCTGAATTAGATGGCGGCCAGTGCAAAAGAGGGCATCAAGAAGGTGGCACACGACCCTAATGCCATTGTGGTATACGACAACTTCAACTTCAAAAGTCGTGTTCGTGAGCTGGCTGGCGGCGAAGGTGTATAGGACTGCGCTTTTGCCGCATCCAGTGGCGGCGATGAGTACCGTATCTTTTTTGTCGTATGCAAACGCCTCACAGCCTTTATCTGACCGTCGTGAGCTCGTTCAGCGCCAGTAATTGCGCAAATGGCATCGTTGATGAGCTGATGAGTGGCGTCGAAGTCCATTTTCCACACTCTCTAAGCCGCGTAGGGAATACGCGATTGATCTGGCGATGGAATAACGGGCGCGAAGGTTGATACAAACCAGCAAAGCGTTGCTGCAAAATTTGACGAAGTTTGAATACAGTTTGTGGAATTTGAAGGGGGGTCATTGCTCGATGAAAGTGCATTGGTCGTAAATCTTTTAACCTCGACAACAACAGATACATAATGCAATATAGCCGCAACAATAAAATTACTATCGTTAAATGCGCGTAGTCAAGACCATCTTCTAGCACTATTTACATTCGTGGTACGATGTGTTGGTGTTGAGCTACTTACGAGTGACTGAAAGGCAAATTTCCCATTTGTATGGCGGAGCGTTGGTCGTATGCCCCAAAACTCAAATTATGAACCCAGACCTCTTTCAAAGGCGTTCTTCGTTAAAAGTGGGTGATGTTCTAGATAGGACTAGCGCGACACACTTGCACTGAAATTTGTATGGCAATACGTCTTACGCGCCTTGGCGCGGGTCATTTTCAGCCGCAGGCTGCAAAAAGGAAGAACGGCCCAGAAAGGAGGTCTGGGATTTCCGAGATAAAGGTAGATAGACTAAGGCCGAGAAAAAGGAAGAAAGTCAGGATGGATTCCAACACCTGGTTTGCCCAGATTGAACAGATCATGCAGGCTAAAAAAGCACTTGCGAAGCAGCTAGAACCCTCAGAGAAAGTAGATAGATATGTATTTGAAGATATGTGCCTGAAATGGTCAATTTTTGACCCTCCTGTAAGTCTCTCACCCCGGCAATCGCACACTCCACCTCTCGCACACCCTCCAGCCCCGAATTCCTGCCCAACCATCCCTCATCCCGTCCAAGGTCAAACCACAACAACTTAGTCAATTTAAATTGGTCAAAAATTCACAAGTTCGATATTGTTTCAATTGCTGGAAGCAGGGATTTTATGATGGCAAAGAAATACACCGAAGAAAACCTCCAAAAAGCCATCAGCGCCATCAGAAACGGAAGCATGTCCGTACGGAAGGCAGCCGAAGAGTGGGGCGTACCCCCCTCAACCATTCAGTCCCGGATCAAGAAGGGTGTCCGACCCAAGGGCGAATACGAAGCTACTGTATTGCAACAGCTTTCGCCTACCCAGGAAAAGCATCTGGCGGCCTGGATCACGATACAAGAGGACTTAGGCGTCCCTGTTTCCCATCGCCAGATTCGCTTATTCGCCGACCGTATCCTCCAGGCAAACGGCTCCTCAGAGACGGTCGGGAACGGCTGGCTTCCTCGATTTTTCAAGCGCCACCCAGAAGTTAAGACCAAGAAGGCGAAGCGAGTTGACTACAAGCGCATTGAAGGGGCAACGACTGAGGTTATTAGGACCTGGTTTGAGAAGCTTGTGCTCCCTGCTATTGAGGACATGCTGCCCGAGCACCGGGGTAATATGGACGAACTTGGAGTGATGGAAGGTATGGGAACAAACGGTTTATGTGTTGGAAGACAGGAGACCAGAGTTGCTATCGCCAAGAGTCCAGAGAACCGGATCTGGATCACGATCATCGAATGCATCACGGCAGCGGGTCAGTCGCTCCCCCCCTGGTTATCTATGAGGGCGCGGACGTTCAGCAGCAGTGGTTTTCTCGCAATCCACGCCTCTACAATGCTATCTCACGTTGGAGGTTTACGACAAGCCCAAAAGGATGGACAAACAATGATATTGCGCTTCACTGGTTGAAGCCCCCTGAAGAACAGCTACCGCCGTTACCTTAACGATATCATCCTTCAACGCAACGGACTCCCTCTCAACAAGCAGGACTTCATCGTCGCCTATGCTAGAGCCAGGGAAGATCTGATGTACAGCAAAAATGTTAGATCTGGATGGGAGGCATCTGGTCTCTGGCCCCTCAACATCGAGAAGCCTCTCGCGAGTCGTTTTGTCGACGTAGGACAACCCAGACAGGTTTCCACGCCTCGAAAACGACGCCATCGGTGACAAGGAAGTCTATCGAAGATTACTAGGCCATCATATAAGACTGTCCCGACGCCTAGACGCAGTCAAGATATCTTCAAGTTGTTGTACGAAGTTAGCCCTGAACTACGCGAGATTTTCAGGACGGACAACACGGTCAAGATCAGCTTTGATAAGATCGCAAAGCTTGTTGATGAGAAAACGATGGAAGTCTTGAATTTGCAACTGAAACTTGAGGCAGCTGAAGCCGAGTTGGAAAGAGTGAGGCCCAAGAAGAGGAAGGTCAAATTGGATCCCAACTAATATAATACTCTATAACTGACGAACGAAGCGACGCCAGCAATTTTAGGTAAATAGATCGCTTTATTTATATCGGTCTCTCTTTAGTATTAAATAGAGGGTTTAAGATATTACATTACCTAGGAAAACCCTTACTATTTTTAGCTACTTATCTAGTATCTTTATTTATACTTCGGATCAAAGCGAGCGCCGAAACCGCGTCAAAATTCGAAAGAAACGTTCGTACAGAGCCGCACGCGTGACAAAAACGCAAACCGACGAGAACAACGAGGAGGCCCGCGGCGGGGCCGAAGCGGAGTAGTAGAGGGGCACCGATGGAACAGAGGTCGCAACTTGTTTTATTTATTTTGTTACTTTGACCTCGGAAGGTGGGTGAGCCCTTTCGAGGAGATGGATCCACGAGATGGATCCACGGGGTAGCGGCAAGGCCGCAGCGGAGGTGCGGAGGTTTTCATCCAGCTTAGGCATGGTTTTTCGTACCGAGTTAATCGCTGAGGGACCGCATGTACTTAGTACCTAGCGTGATAAGGGAATGAATAATATAACTAGGTATAAAAGGAGTTTACTAATATAGAATTAAGTTTGGAAATATTATTATAGAGCTATAGAATCTAGAGGATTAGCCTTATAATCTTGAGCTATAAGTCAACGGTTTTAAATGTATCAATAAAATATTATTATTATTATTTCCTACACCGATATGCCCGTGGGCGCGCCGGTTCTTCTACTGCTATTTACAAAGAAAACCGTACCGTATAGGCCGGATAAAAACCTCTGTCTACCACTTTGAGACAACAATCTATGAATCCGTCATACTGCAAAAGAAAGGAAGCCCTTTGCCGGCCTCCGGGCCCTCTAGCCCTCCCCATCCACTGTTTCTAGCTCCAGCCTTCTGGCCAGGTTATACTCCAGTAGCCGGCCAGAGTCCATCAGCCAGCCAAGGACCTTCCTAACAAATCTTCTGCTCCGGGAACCTACTCCCCGTAATACGGTTTGTAGGTCCCGATGTGACCGAATCTCTCTGCCGTCCCACGGCCTTTGTAACGGCGGGTCGGGGCACCAAACCACCAAGTGCTCCACCGTCTCCCTGCCTCTCCCGCACTCGCAATAGGGGGTGCGGACCTCCGGGACTTTCACCCTGAACAGGTAGTCCCGGAGGCCTATATCCCCGATACGGGCCTGGGAAAGGAGGGAGCTCTGCGCCTTTGTAAGACCTTCGTGTCTCGTCAGAGCTTTGTCGGTAAATAAGAGGGCTGGGGGGTCTTCGTCGGCTATCCTCCTGTTTAATACCCTCTGTCGAGTAGTACTTTGTTGACTAGCTCTCTGTTGTTCCCACCGGGCCTGCCAGGCCAGTTCGACCACCTCCCTTGGTATTCGACCCCCTATCCTTCCCCCCGATCTTCCATTTGTAGTTAACCCACTGGGCCACTACACTAGCGGCTAGATCAGTGGGCGTGGGACTCTGCGGGCCCTGGCGGGGCCTCCGGCCTCGGGTTTTCCTCCTCTTGTTGAACCTTCGGTAGACCTTATTGCAGGCCTCAGTGATTAGATGCCCCGTGGTTATTCTCTCAGCCTCCGGCCCAGCCCCTGGTTGTAGGGCCTGCTTCTGTAGCCGGCCCTCGAAGTCAGCTAGCCGCTTGTTGAGATATAAGTCTAGCGGTGGCACCCAGGCCTCTGTTTCTAGGCACCGAATAGGAGCTGACTTGTATGCCCCTACTACTATTCGAAGGCTCCTGTTCTGAGCTTTTGACAAGACCTTTGCAGGCCCCTTCGGCCCTGTAGCTCCTGGAGCTGTTGGTTGGTGGAAGCTGGAGGCTCCGTAAGCTATGGCACTGCGGATGCACTTTACGTAGACCTCCCGAGCCCTGGATAGGCTCGGGCCCTATAAATAACGTATATTACCAACGAATGACCCATCTACGAATGACCCACTTTCCACGCGACGCGACACTTTTGCACCCAACATCAATTTCCTCAACCATCTAAGATGCAACCTACGTTCAAAGAAGACCGGATGGTCTTGGCACTTCAAGCTCTTAAAAACGACAAGAATCTGACCGAACGAACCGCGGCTAAGACATATGGCGTCGACCGTAGAACCTTGGGCCGGGCACATATCAACCACATCAGCAAGCTCGAGTTCCTTTGCGCCTTTCGCGAAGCCTTCTTTGCTTCCATGACAGAGAAGAATATCCAGGGTGGATTTGCAGGGGCCGGCATCGTACCATTCGATCCAGAGGGGGTGCTTTCTAAGCTGGATGTCAAGCTTGGGAGCCAATAGGTTCACGGGTCCCGTGGTGATGACTAAGCCCGCCCTCTGCGTTTCCTTTTCGGGCGCAAACGTTGCGGACTGTAAGAGACTGCGGCAATGTTGTTGCAATTAGGCAAGAGGTAAATGGTGCAGCGAGAAAGAGGGAAGAAGTAGGGGGCTTGTACGAGTTAAAGGCAAACCGATTTGATCCGGATGTAGTTAGCGTGCTAAGGCCCTATAGGCCCAGTGCCTCCGGGCGAAATAAATTCCATCCATCCGTTGTTGCAATTGGCGCTACCTCTAGGTTATAAGCTGAGGACGAAGGACAAGAAAAATGGAAAGATCCTATCAGCCCGTTACAAATATAAAGCTTGCTGTTCCTCAGTATCCCTCTCTATCCTCCTCCAGATATCACCAACACCTCTTCTCCCTGTATCGAATGGCTCGTGTTCCCTCTCCTGAGCTACTAGAGCTTCAATTCTATCATCTGCTCTGCTCCAATCCAGGTAGGCCATCATCTCCTCCTTCGTCCAGTCTCTTGAGCCTGTTGCAGTAGTACAGTGCTTCGTCATCTGCTTATAGTCGAGGCACCACTCGTAGCTTGCCTTGCTATATCGCAGAGGTAAACGCATTGCTTTCCGGTATTGCTGATTGGTTTTGATGCTCCCACGTGGTTGGGCTCTATACCAAGTTTCTCTTGCCTCAACATATCTCTGATAGATCGCCCGCGGGTCCCATTGAAGATGGACTTGACAAAGGTGATTGAGCGTAAGCTGGGGGGGGGCAGGTGGCGGGGGTGTAGGCGGCGGGGGTGTAGGCGACCCGGGCGTGTCGTTGGCGTTGAGCTGGATTGTTGACGATATAGCTGTTGTTGCAAGTGAAGCCCGCTGTAATAGCTCTGTATGCCTCTGAGGACACGCTTTGGCGGTCATTATATGACCCAACGCATGGCATCTGCTGCATCTGGGCAATGCCCTTGGCCGTGCTGATGCCTCGGCTATCTCAAACCCGCTAGGCTCTCGCCTGGTACTTGACTGCGGTATAGTCGAATCAGCAGCAATAGGATCAATGCGCTGACGAGGCTCCAGAAGCAACTGAGGAGTGCCATCACGTCTGAGATGCCACTGCGAGGCGAAATGCTCAAGTCGAAGGACTGAGTTCTGGCCAAGCAAAACCTCCAATGTATGAATGCAGGGTAGTCCCATAGATCGAGAGAAAGAACCTGAACAGGTTGGCGATATTGGAGGGTCTTTTCTGGTAAGGATTTTCCGTTGCTCGTCGACCTTCCTTAGAGCTTCGTGTGACACCCAACCACGTACCCCACTGTACAGTGATCCAGAGAGCTCAATCGGTAACCGAATCTGCTGTGTGGTCTGGTTGGACCTCAGCTCCCCAATTTGGTTGAGTAGAGCTTGCTTGATCGCCCTGCAGGCCTCAAAAAGATCTAATGTAGATCTCTGAAGGTACCCCTTTAGCAGTGCATGGATACCTTCAACACGTGAGGTTACCACGTTGCCAAAGTGAGAGTATTGATCAACCCAAGCCTTTACCAGCTTTTCCTTGTATGGATCGAGCCAAGTGGTTTTGATGTATCCAACCTCTTCGATGTGATGTGGAAGATACTGCTTCTCAAACTCTTCCACCCGCTTGTGGAATGTCTCCTCATCTGGCGATCTTATGATCAAATGCCAGAACTTGTAGAACGCGTTCCACGCTTCCAGTCCTTGATGCTGGCGGATGAAGGCTGGCTGGCAATGACGAAGAATTGCTTTGTTTGCATGCCATAAGCATAGCAGCGAAGCAGCAGATGGAAAGCAGGTAGAAACAGCGTTCATACATGCAATACACCGGTCTGTTAGAACAACAGAGGGGGTTCGAGCATTGCAGACCTCATAGAGTGATCTCAGCTGGTCCAAGGCCCAACAGTAGTCCTCTTCGGTCTCGCCATGAAGGAATGCGAATGCAATGCAGAAGGATCGCTGGCAAGCATCAACCCCGATCATATCAAGGAGCGGCATGCCGTAATTGTTGGTCTTGTATGTACAGTCCAGCAAGAGGGTATCGGGATAGGCCTGAAGGTACGCCAATGAGTCTGGATGGGCGAAGAGAACAGCTGTGACCCGGCCATCTGGAGAAAACTGCATTCGACTCCAGAATCCTTCTCTGTCTAGCTGGTTGGCAAGTGCGTGTATCGTACTCTGGCCTTCGCAAATGTCTCGTTTTGTAGCCGCAATGCGATTATAGATGTCCTGCTGGGTTGCCAGAGAATTGCCGTTCTGTCGTATATACGTTCTGATATCCTTAGGAGCTATACCGGAGTTTACAAGACTGGCCAATTGAGTCGCATCGTCCTTGGACAGCTGACGGTGTGCTGGATGAGCAGATGGATGCTGGCTTGGCTCATGATTGTGTAGGGAAAACCGTTTGTCGGGGCGATGCCTCACAGTCCAAGTACCCTTATCCAGAGATTCTCTGGCCAGGACTGAGAACTGGCAGCCGGTTCCCCGGGTAGTTGTCCTCCGCTGGCGTTCTCTCGACACGCTAAAAGGACGACACGATCGATCACATGTATATGTAATCGTCTGTCTGCCACTCTTCTCCTTGGTTGACCTCCCAGTAGTGAATGCGTAGCCCTTGGTCGCAGCCCATGAGTTGATAGACACGAACAGGGCATCCCTCAATTCGTAATCGAGTTCCGGGGGAAGACAATCGTCAGGAAATGACGTGACTACTTCAGCCAAAGGTAGACTCATCATGACTTGCACAAAGTATATCGTGTTGGGAGTTAACTGTCAGGACGAAGCCGCCATGATAGCTGCGTTCAATGGACCTTGGTGGTTGATTGGTGCCCGCACCACAACCCCTGCGTTTTACCTCCTGAACAATCTTCCTTGGCCATCATCAGCGTCGTCAATCAAGCACTTTTTCCATCTTTTCTGACAGACCTGCTCAATCCATTCTGTCGATTCTTAAGAGCTTCTTCCAGCGGTCACTACAGGTTCCGACACTAACTATTGTGGAGAGACGCGATGCGTTGCGCTCAAAAAGGAAACGCAGAGGGCGGGCTTAGTCATCACCACGGGACCCGTGAGCCTTTAAATCCACGGGTACCCGTGAACCTATTGGCTCCCGTCAGGCTTCATACACCAACACCCCCAAACTCCCGGCCTGGCACTGCACAACCTTGGGTCTCTAAGACCCCACACAACCCCCAAGAAGCCAGCTCGCAGTCAAACCTTATCAAGACTCACATCGCTAGCCATCAAAACAGCTCCCCAGCTTCAATGTTGGCTGCTGTTGACCAGCTAACCAAAGGTACAACGGCTGTAATGCACCAGGTGGCTCTCCTTCAGTCAGAGGTCTCTTCGCTCCGCAAGGCCAACGAGGCACTGAGCAAGCGACAGAGGGCCAAAAAAACACGTGTGCAGCTTGGAGGGTCACTTACTGTACAGGATGCACAGGATCCACTAGACCAGGGGGCTGTAGGTAAGGAGGGAGTGCAGGAAACGCAGCCGGATGGTAGTGGTACAGGGGGGGCTCGTACGAACGTTCGGTGCTGTAGTAAATGCCGCAAGCCTGGCCATAATGCCCGCACTTGCCAGGAGGGTGCAGAAGCCACTGATACAGCTGTTTCTGATGTAATTGTAGTTATTTCCTAGTGTTGTTGTAATATTTCTAGGGATAGTTAATGTAGTGCTGTGGGGGCTGGGTCATTCGTTGATATGGGTCATTCGTTGATAATATACGTTAAGGAAATACAAGGCCTCTACTTATTCCAAGTAGTAAGTAGCTAACGTAATCCATCACCTTCTGGGACACACCACCTTGTGGGACAGCTTTCTGCCCCACACCCCACCACGTCGACTTCGGACGCACTCCACTACGCCATTGTGCCCGGCAAAATGCCAAAGCCTCTACAGCACGAAGATAGAATCCAATTAGCACTCGAGGCCTTACGTTCAGGCCAAATCAAAATCATTCGCAAGGCTGCGGATGCGTTTGGTGTACCGAAGTCCACTCTCCACAGACGCGTCAAGGGGGGCGGTACGCGTCAAGAAGCTCAAGTCAAGAACCGAAAGCTACGCCCAACTGAAGAAGCAGCCTTGATTCAATGGATCGAGTCATTGGACGACCGTGGGATGTCGCCGACGATCGGTTATATCCGACAGATGGCTGACCTTCTTCTCCGCGAGCGTGGAGGCTTCACTCTACTCGACGCGTCTCTTACATCCACCCCGGTCCCGGCAATGACTGTCGGTGAGAACTGGGTCCAGCGGCTTCTTCATCGGCATCCCCATCTGGAGACGAAGTATTCTAGAAAGTACGACTATCAACGGGCCTTATGCGAGGATCCAGAGAAGATTTCAGCGTGGTTTGCACGAGTGCAAAGGACCATCAACGAATACGGTGTTCTTGACAGCGACATCTACAACTTTGACGAGACTGGTTTCCAGATGGGTGTTGCAAGCACGTCTAAAGTGGTCACTCGATCTGACCGACGGAATCGACCTGTTGTTATCCAGCCGGGAAATCGAGAGTGGACAACTGTCATCGAGTGCATTAACGCATCCGGCTGGAGTGTTGACCCGATGATTATCTTTGAAGGAAAAGTCCACATTTCGTCGTGGTACGACGGCTCAGTGCTGCCAAAGACATGGCGGATTGGAGTCAGCGATAACGGCTGGACAACCGATGAGCTTACCTTCGAGTGGCTTCGAGAAGTCTTCGAGCCACAAACTCGAAAACGGACTGTTGGTCGATATCGGCTTCTCATTCTCGATGGTCATGGAAGCCATTCGACGCCTGCATTCGACAAATTCTGTACTGAGCATCGGATCCTTACAGAGTGTATGCCTCCGCACTCGTCGCACTACCTTCAGCCCCTTGACGTTAGCTGTTTCGCTGTGCTTAAGCGGACGTACGGCGACCTTGTCAAAGCGAAGATAGCACTCGGGGTTCATCACATTGACAAACCGCGATTCCTCGAACTGTTTCTCGAAGCTCGGAAAAAGACATTCGATACAAAGAACATCGCAAGCGGCTTTAGAGCTGCAGGGCTCTTGCCTTTCGATCCAACTCAGGTTCTTTGTCGGCTACAAACCAGGATACGGACACCGAGTCCCCCTCCTACCCCTATCCAACCGCCAAGTCTGCCTCTCAAAACGCCCGCAAACATCGTCGAACTTGACTCTCTCCAGAGGAAACACCAGAGAGAGATAAGCCCAACAGATCAGGCGCTTCAGAAAATCATCAAGGGCTGCCAGATGGCGATGCACAATGCTACTCTTTTGCAGGAAGAGAACTCGCGACTTCGAGCTGAAAATGGTCGACAAAAGAGAAAGCGGGCACGCCGAGCTTTCATTCAGGCAGGAGGGACTATGACAATTGGAGAAGGGATGACACACATTGAGGCCTCCCAGAATGCTCTTCAGAAGGGCCAAAGAAGCCAGGAAGCTCGTCGAGAGGTCGAAGGAGAGGCGGGGCCATCGGACACGACTGCACCAAAGGCACGAAAGCGTGCGCAGCCGAAGTGTAGTGTTTGTGGCTCACTCAATCGAGCACAACGCCAGAAAATGCCCTTGTAAATAAGGACTCGAATTACATGGATTGTATTTCGAATAGACTCTCTTTTGCGTTGTGAGGTGCGTCCGAAGTCGACGTGGTGGGGTGAGGGGCAGAAAGGTGACCGGAAAGGTGGTCTGACTGGAAAGGTGATAGACTACGTTAGAACTAGTATAATATTATAGGCTCCCACTGCCGTAATCGGATACCAGAACCAGGACACCTTCAGAATCAATTTTCCACCCCGCCCCCTAGTACGTCGACTTCAAATGCATCTTGCAACACAACAACGAATCTATTGTAGTAGCAATCTATATCAATCTGTTCGCTATTTACAGTGGCAAGTCCTGGCAGTATGCTCAGTTGAATTACAGAGACTGCACCTTGGTGGTGCGCGTTTTCGTACGTTTGGTTCAACCGCTTCGACAGCTGTTACCTCCGCCTCTTGATCCTCCACACGAGCTTCCTGGGCCTTTGGGACCTTCTGATGCTCTGAGGTGGCCACTCCCTCTCCAATTGTCATAGAACCTCCTGTTTGGATGAATGGTCGACGGTGTTGACGTCGCTGCTTTTGTCGAGTGTTCTCGGCTCGGAGCCGCGAGTTCTCTTCTTGTAAGAGAGTAGCATTATGCATGGCCATCTGACACCCTTTGATAATCTTTTGCAGATTCCTATCTGTTGGGCTTGTTGCATTTGTACGCTGCCTCTGTCTCTGGAGGTGGTCAAGCTCAATGACATTTGATGGTGTCTTGAGCGGAAGCGTTGAGCTTGGTTGAACAGGTGTAGGTAGGGGGCTTGGTGTTCGTATTCTTACTCGGAGCCGAGCAAGCACTTGACTTGGATCTAGTGGAACAAGGCCTGTTGCTTTAAAGCCACTTTTGATGTTTTTCGAGGTGAAAGTCTTGGTGTGGGCCTCGAAGAGGAGTTCAAGGAAGAGTTGTTTGTCGATGTGGTAGATGCCAACAGCCATCTTTCCTCTGACCAAGTCACCGTACACCCGCTTGAGGACCGAGAAGCAACTGACATCGAGAGGCTGGTGAAGGTGTGACGAATGGGGTGGCATGCACTCGATAAGGATCGAATTCTCTTTGCAGAAGTTGTCGAACTCTGGTGTCATATGGCTCCCGTGGCCATCGAGAATCAAGAGGCGGTACCGGCCAACTGTTCGGCTTCGAGTTTGCGACTCAAACACTTGCTGAAGCCACTCGAATGTAAGCTCATCGGTCGCCCAGCCGTTCTCACTAATTGCAATCATCCAAGTAGGTGGCAATGGTGAATCTTGGTACCATGTCGAGATATCAACTTTGCCCTCGAAGATAATCATTGGGTCAAGAACCCAGCCAGTGGTGTTGATGCACTCGATGACAGTTGCCTACGCCCGATTCCCAGGCTGAACAACAACAGGTCGATTTCGCCGCTCTGATCGAGTGACAACCTTTGCTGTGCTTGCCACTCCCACTTGGAACCCAGTCTCATCGAAGTTGTAGATATCGCAATCGAGGATACCGTTTGACTCGATAGTGTTTTGTACTCGCTGAAGCCACTCCAACACTTTCTCAGGGTCCTCACACAAGGCTCGTTGAAGTCGTACTTCCGGAGGTATCTTGACTCCAAATCCAGGTGTCGGTTCAAGAATCGGCGTGCCCATTTCTCTCCAACAGTCTTCATCTCGTCAGCCACTGCTGTAACTGATGCGTCAGGCAAGACCAGGCTTCCACGCTTAGGGAGAAGAAGGTCGGCAATCTGTCGAATATACCCGATCGTTGGCGACATGCCCCGGTCATCGAGTGACTTGATCCACTGAACCAATGCAGCTTCTTCCGTTTCTCGAAGTTTTCGATAAGAAATTTGAGATTGTTGACGGGGGACGCGTCCAGCAACGCGTCCCCCGGGGGTAAGGTCGCGTACGGCACGTCAAAGGCATCTGCAGCCTTGCGAATAACTCGGATTTGGCCAGAACGGAAGGCCTTGACGGCTAAATGGATCCTCTCTTCGTGCTGCAAAGGCCGAGACATTTTACCGAGGTGGGACTGTGGGTGCGCGAGTCCAAAGTCGACGTGGTGGGGTGCGGGGCGGAAAATTAGTTCTGGAGGTGTCCTGGTTCTCAAGGTGTCCGATTCCGTTAGTGTGCGTCTAGTGGCAGCCTATATTATATAAACTTATTAAGGGTTAATTAGGTTAAACGTATACACGAAGATACTGGATAAACAGTTAAAAAGTAGTATTTTTATTATTATTTCTCTTATCACGCTAGGTACTAAGTACATGCGGTCCCTCAGCGATTAACTCGGTAGGAAAAACCATGCCTAAGCTGGATGAAAACCTCCGCACCTCCGCTGCGGCCTTGCCGCTACCCCGTGGATCCATCTCCTCGGAAAGGGGCTCACCCACCTTCCGTAGGTCAAAAGTAACGAAATAGATAAAATGAGTCGTAACCTCTGTTCCATCGATGCCCTTCTGCTACTCCGCTTCGGCCCCGCCGCGGGCCTCTTCGTTGTTCTCATTTTCCAGCTCTACCGCCAGCCGGAACTCGTTCAGCCTCCCCAGCCCAAGCACCCACCCCACCACTATGGCAGCCTTCTCCACGTCATCTAGCCACTCCAGTAGCTCTGCGCCGTCGTCTGGCCAGGGATGAGGTTTATCTGCGGCTCCGTTGCATTCGAGTACGAGGTGTTCGAATGTCTCGCGCGCCATACCGCAGCGGCATACCGGCGTTACTACCTCGGGGACCCTCCTAGTAAAGAGGAACCCTCGAAGCCCAATCTTCCCGGTCCTCGCTTGCACTAGGAGAGTACTCTTCGCCTTCGATAGCTCCCAGGCTGGGTCCCTCGACCGGTGTCGGTTCATGATAGAGGCGTCGAACCGCGCGGTCGCATCGGCCGGTTCGAGGGCCCGCCCCGGGTTCCTAGCGACCACCCTAGCTACCTCACTCTCCCATCTTCCAATCCACTCCCTTCTCATTGCCTCCTCCATCCACCTCTCGAGCTGTTTCTTGTGG